AATTGGCTGCCTTGAAGGAACCTACTCCATTCAAGTGGACGAAGGTTTCCGCCCGGTGGTACATCCCCCTCGTAAAGTGCCAGTCCCACTTCGAGATACCCTCAAGTTAGAGCTGGATAACATGGTGAAGAGTGGTATCCTCGCCAAGGTAGTTGAACCGACATCATGGGTCTCTAGCCTTGTCATAGTGAAGAAATCTAACGGGAAAATACGAGTATGTCTGGATCCTCGAGATCTCAACCGCGCAGTGAAACGCTCGCATTATCCACTTCCAACTATTGAGGAAGTAGCAACTCGCCTTAGTGGTGCTAAAGTCTTTAGCGTGTTAGATGCCAAATGTGGATTCTGGCAGGTACAACTTGATGAAAAGAGTAGTTACTTGACAACCATGAACACACCTTTTGGTCGCTATCGATGGCTCAGAATGCCATTCGGAATAAACTCAGCCCCAGAAGTATGGCAACAACGAATGCACGAGCTAGTAGAAGGACTCGCAGGTGTTGAAGTCATCGCCGATGATTTCCTAGTTTGCGGTTTTGGAGACTCTAATGAAGCTGCAATTGCCAACCATGATCAGAATCTCAAGGCTTTCCTCAGTCGCGCAAGAGAAAGAAACCTCACTCTCAACAGCGAGAAGTTGAAACTTCGACAGTCACAAGTTCCTTTCATAGGACACCTCCTTACAGCGGAAGGTCTAAAACCTGACCCGTCAAAGGTACAAGCTATAGTGGACTATCCAGTGCCTACCAATCTCGCTGAACTCAGAACGTTTCTGGGAATGGTGCAGTATCTGGCGAAATTCTGCCAACATCTGTCTACAGCATCACAGCCCTTAAGACAGTTGGAAAAGAAGGAAATGGAATGGCATTGGCAACACCCCCAAGATAAAGCCTTCAAGGAGATAAAAGAGCTCATCACTAAAGCCCCAGTCCTACAGTACTTTGACGTGAGTAAGAATGTCACTATACAGTGCGATGCCTCACAGTATGGCATTGGCGCAACTCTACTTCAGGAAGGACAGCCAGTTCACTACGCCAACAGGGCACTGACGTCGACAGAGCAAAATTACGCACAGATTGAGAAGGAGCTCTTAGCTGTTGTATTCTCTTGTGAGCACTTCGAGCATTACATTTATGGCAAGCACGTCACAGTCGAAACAGATCACAAGCCACTGATTGCTATACAGAAGAAGCCAATCAATACAGCTTCTAAGAGATTACAGCGTATGATGCTACGTCTTCAAAGATTTGACCTGAATCTCACTTACAAGCCAGGCAAAGAGATGTACATCGCTGACGCACTTTCTCGCGTTCTACCTAAGCAGTCAAAGGTACCAAATGCTAGCACCTCATCCTGCTATAAAGATCTAGAAACTGTCAACTTTGTTGAAGACTTATCGATATCAGAGTCGACACTTGCCAAGTTTCAAGTGGAAACGGCCAAGGATGAATCTTTACTAGCGTTGTCACAAGTTATACGCGCTGGCTGGCCTACAAAAACTTCCATGGTACCTACAAGCGCACAGCTTTTCTTCAAATACCGAGATGAAATGACGCTCCAAAATGGCCTAGTTTTCAAAGGAACGAAGATCGTTGTCCCAGAGAGCCTTCGCCGTGACATGATAGAGGAAACACACAAGTCCCATCAGGGACTCCAAGCATGCCTTCGAAGGGCCAGAGAGGTTTTCTTCTGGCCAGGAATGTCTGCACAACTCAAGAATCGTATTGATAAATGCTCTATATGCCAAAGTGTGAGACCTGAACAAGCCAGTGAACCTCTTCAGCCTCACCCAGTTCCTGACAGGCCATGGCAACGAGTTGGAACAGATTTGTTTACCTTCGAGAACCGAAACTACCTCGTATTAGTTGATTACTACAGCAACTTTATCGAGCTGGATCATCTTGCCGATACTACGTCCCAGACAGTCGTTCACAAGCTGAAGATGCATTTTTCGCGACATGGGGTACCCGATTACGTAGTTTCTGACAACGGTCCTCAGTACTCATCCTCAGAGTTCCGAAGATTTGCAGTAACGTGGAAGTTCACTCATATCACCACCTCACCACACTATCCACAAGCTAATGGGATGGCCGAAAGCGCAGTCAAAACCTGCAAGACTTTAATGAAGAAAGCTCTTCTGTCTCAATCCGATCCATATCTTGGTTTATTGGATCACCACAACACCCCCACTGCTGCGACAGGTATGTCTCCATGCCAACGACTTTTTGGTCGCCGAACTAAGACACTTCTACCCTTCTCAGAGTCTTTACTCAAGACTGACCAAACAGTTAGTGATCTTCTCAAAAGGGATCGTGTCAAGCAAGCGAAACATTTCGACCAACATGCTAAACAACTCTCAGAACTCAAATTAGGTGACATAGTGCGCATGAAGATGCCTGGAGAAACAAAGTGGTCAAAAGCAGTTGTTTCTTCTAAAGTGGCATCTCGCAGTTACAAGGTTGAAGTCAATGGTAGATTCTACAGGCGTAATCGCAAGCAGTTGCGTTCTACCATGGAACCACTTCAAGAAACCCCCTTCAAAATGGACGAAGATGACCTGACCGTTCCAGACAATCTGCAGGAACAGGACCAACCCCCTCCAGCAAGTTCTCAAGTAGGAACATCCATGTCCCCTCCAAGATCTCAACTACCCCCAACACCTCAAACAGAGCTGAGTGCAAGACCACCTCACGAAGCTACTACAACTGAAATACGGACACGACATGGACGATTGATCAAGCCACCTAAAAAGTTTGACATTGAGTTATAGTTAAAAAAAAAAAAAAGAAAAATAGGAAAAAGGGAAAGATGTTATGATATGCAAAAAAACCTTCCGGACATCAACGTTTGTTTTTTCTTTCTTATGTAACTCTCAACTGTTATGTAACTTTCTGGACTGGTTATGTAATCACTTCGGACTACTCACGTGTCAGTTCTCGGGTTACACGACAAAAAACATTTCATAACAAGAGAGTCGCTATCGCGTTGTTGTTGTTTCGTTAGCTGTAAAGGTAACCTGCCTCTCAAGTAATTAAAGTTTGTGTTCAAAGAAGCTTACTGGACTCAGACTCACTATCTTGCTCTCTCGCGTCATAAAGGACAAAACTTTTGTCAAGGTGTGCAAATGTGGTGCAAATTTGGGGCTCTAAATTTGAACTGAATTTGCACCAGCTGTAAACTGAAGGTAAACTCAAGTATTTGTTCCTGACAAAATTGCCTGCAAATGTGATGTAAATATTACATTTGCTCAACATTTACCTTACATTTGCTACCAAGGTAAACCTGGAGCTTTAACACATAGTTGTCAAGCATTTGCCTTCGGTGCAAAAGTGACATATTTACTATTAATGCAATTACAAGTAAACATTATGCAAAACAGTTTGTTTGCAGCATTTTTCAACCATATTTACTTGCAATAGAAATAAGTACCTTTGCACTTAATACACTCTAATTTGCTAATTGAGCAAAGCTGTTCATTTGCTATAAATTTGCATTGATGTCAAACAAAAAAAAATAAAACCCCTACTGAGTGGCCATTTGCCAGTTCCCTAAGGGTGGCTGATTAACTGGGTTTAACTGTATTCAGAATAAAATTTGATATAGATGAAATTGGAAGTAAATGAGATTGATCTATTTACCTTTGCTAGAAATCTGAGGGAAGTAACAATTCAGGCCACAGGCCTGTCAATCATCCACTTAGAGGCTGATTACAAGAGTCAGGCTGGCCTGCCCATATAATGTGATCTTAGAAAACAGTCAACTCCGCTCATCTAATCCACTCCTTATTAAAAAAAACTAATAGAACAAACAAAAGTGGCAGGCCTCTGCCTACCACAGATATAACATTTTATTGTCTTCATAAAAAATACAAACATATATTGCATGTGGAAATTATTATTATTTTAGCTGTTATCACACAAAACGGACAAATTATTTTGATTGGGCTGAACAAATTGTCTACAATATAAATCATGTGTTATATAGATCATGTCTTCAAAAATCAAGTCACAATAATTCCTAAGAAACTCTCATATACAATTTAACTAAATAAATAGCTTTACAAATCAAAAACCTTGGTATACAATTAAAGAATGGGTAGAAGAAAGACTTCTGTCACTTGAAAGCACTGAGTTACGAGATGTGCCATTTGATGACCCTTACAAATTTTCACCATTCAGATTCAGAAGCATACAGTTTCAACAGGATCACCTGAGAAAGAAATTTCTTGAAGAAAGTGATATAAGATCTAAATATTTATCATGCATGTCCTGATGTAACTGCAAAGTGTCTTCATCTGTGCTTTATAGGATAGCACCAAAATCTCAATTTATACTATAGATTTACTATAAGTAAATGTAAATGCAATATCAAAACTGAGTGAACCAAGTTTTATCCAATTACCAATATCCGGATATCCAAGTAATAACTACTGCATCACTTACAAACAATAAGAATAATTAATACATAATAGTTTGTGTTTCCAGCACTCTATAAAGGCAACAAAAAATAACTGTCTGTATCAAGCATTACTACAATGAGGTTAGCACTTGGTTATTCTCTGTAGTTAGTCCTTTTCTTCTTATTTTTTTTTTGTATATGTACAATACAATTGTATATGTATATTGTGAAATATTTATTTCATGATTATTGTAAATTTCATTTAATATATTCAAACTATTTATTCATGAACATCTCCCTATGAAACTGACACACTGTATTAATTTTACAGAAATATCTATTAATCTGTTGACTTAATCCAAAGCTTCAAATCAAACAGGGTAACAATTTTACCTACACAATTGCAGTACCACAAAAGCACTGACTGACAAGATGTGCCATCTCATCATTTGCCAACCTACGATGTGCCATCGAGAAAGCTTTCAGTGCTCTTGTGGGAACAAGTCTGGGTAGGAAAAAGAACAGATCCCCCCCCCCCAAAAAAAAATCTAAGAAACAGTGAACAGTTTCAACAGGATTGTATGTTAGTAAACATGTATTAATCACTTGATATGCAATTTTAGTCGCCCCTCTAGTTCATCAATTATCTCACTTAATTGTGGTTTTAACTTAGGATCACTAAGAATGCACTTTTTCCCCAAAGTACAAAGGAAGTGGCATTGGAGGTATGTACCAACTGCACAGATCACTCTTCCAAAAGAGAATACATCACTGGCATGTGAAGGTGGACTGGCACCACAGACAATTTCAGGAGCAATGTGACCATGCTTACTTTTGTAAAGTTTTTGTTCTTCAGGAGTGAAATGTTTCACAAGGGAACCAACTGCTGTTAAAGCTACACATTTGCCAAAATCAATTAATATGGCACGATACTCATTGTTTACATGTGAGATAAGGACATTATCTGCTTTGATATCTCTGTGAAGAAATCCTTGTTTATGTAAATAGGATATTGCCTGAGCCAACTGATTGATCAAGGTCAGCCAAATAACCTGTGAAAGGTTCAAACTTCTACTCTTCAGTGCCAAAGATAATGTGTAAGGCTTGTCCAAAACATGGTAAAAGGATGACACTAGATGGTAAGGCTTTGAAAGAGTACACATCCCAATAAGAAGAGGAAAATTTGCATGTTTGAACTTTGACATGACTCTTGCCTCCTGTTTGACCTCCTCTGCTGTAGCAGAGTAAAATGTTTTAACTGCAACAGGATTGCCCCTGTAAAACATCTTGTTACAGCACCCAAACACACCAGAACCCAGATGTACCTTCACCTCCATTCCAGATTCATCTTTTGGGGGCTCCAAAAGGGCACAGTCAATTTCCACAATGGATTCACATGTTGCTTTTGCAATGACCTACATTTCAGCAAGACAAAAATTAATGTACTGTAAATCCTTTGTTAGCCCCCCTTTTCAGAGCAGGAAATAAATCATAAATAAATGCCTCTCTAAATGTTGTAATGTATTTATTTATTTAAACAGATTTTTAAATAGCGATTTCTTTTCATGGTAACGTGAATGCAGTGACGCCAAGGTCAGATCAGCAAATGTAGATGGAGTCACACTTTCAACATGGCTGCTTTACTTGAAGTTAAGAGTTTGAGATGATGGTAAAATTTATACTAATGAGGAAGACTTGGTCAAACAGCGTCAGGAGGTTGATGCAGTGACTCATTCACTGACAGGACCCTAAACCACCACCCCTCCCCCCCCTCCCCTCCTCCACTTTAAGGGAGATGAAAATGAGGATTAGATGATGCACCCGCTTAAAAACCTTTCCGGCTATGAAGATTTAAAATATAGTACACACCTTCCCTTGCGCTACAGATTGCCTTGGAATCAATGTCCTAGCTTTTCTTGAAGCCTCCTCTCGCTTGAGAAGTGAGTGCCATCGATCATAATATTTTCTCGCTATATAGTCGCATATCTTTCGTTGTTTCTCGAGGCGAGCCTTCTCGATCTTTAATCCAGACGCAAGTGTCTTCTCTTTGTTAAGGTTCCTCTGTAGTCGTTTCCGTTTTTTCCTTCCTCTTTTCATTCGTCTTATCTCCTCCTTTGTGTTTTCACGGCTTATCCTACCCATGAACACGATAAAAAATGTTGAAAATTACTATAATCTTGCCCTTGCCTAGCTCGCAACATCAGATTCTGTTTTAAGGCGCCAAAACGACCGCTGACCAGCGAGTAGTTAACTTCAAGATTTTCGTCACCAGACTTTTTCGGACTTCGCAATGATAACAATGATAACAATGATAACAAACTTTTTTTTTCAGCTAAAGGAAATCACTACTAAATGGACCTTGGAGAAAAGAGGGCTGGGAGGAATAGCAAATATTCCCCCCTCCCCCCCAAAAAAAAAACAAACAAAAAAACAATTGTCTGTTTGGGTCTAACAAGGTGCGCACAGTAAAAAGGGAAGGGGTGATCTAGGATGGAGGAATTTGATACTTCAATGGTATTAATCTAAATGAACTGTACAAAAAATTACTAGTTGCTTGCCAGTCATTTTAATGGTTTATATAGAAAATCCCTAAGAAATCTTGCTAATGTCCATGCCATACAGTGGAACCCTAATAAAAGGAAGGTCCATGGGTCTCACAAAATATGTTCACAATATTATGAGGTTTTATTATATCAAGTTTTTTTTAATATATTTTACTTTTACTAGGGTGAAAAATGCATTGCATCATTTGCTAAACTGAGGACTTCTTTATATACAGGTTTTTTAAATCAAGGTTCCACTGTAACAGGTTGCAAATAAAAACAAAATTAAGTTTCCAACAAAAGCGCAAGTAATTAATAAGAAAAATGACAATTTTATACTGGCTGCATAATGTAACCATTGAGGGCCTGAGAAACCTAAATTCTGATAATAAGCACTGGGCCAACATTTTCCTAAAGCGACTTTTTGGTGGGCTTATTTTTGTTAATGTTCAATTATTCATTTAATTTTTTATAACATTTCCAGGACTTATCTAAAGTTAAAAGCAATTTCAATTTGATGCCTTGGCCTTCACCAGCCACCTTCAACAAATTAAAAAAAGTAAAAGTCAATAAAGGCATGATGATGAAAAAAGAACTGCAATGGTCTATATCTATCAAGATATAAAACTTGAACATAAAATAAACTATGAATGGTATCAATCTAATAAGCACTAAGATGAGTAGCACAATCACCATACCCACTTCTGTAACATGCATGGAAAATGTGAAAATTGCTAGTTTGGGACTAAATCACTTCTTTAGGTCTGTTTTAAATTCACATTTACTATTACAACTGATTTATTTCAAACTACTTTATTTTTGTCACATTTGATTCAAATTTGTATTTACCCATAATCCCTTGTGGGTGTGGTCTTTTTCACAAATAATCAATTTCAAGTTCACTGACATAGTAAAAAGTAGAAATAATAACATTTTGTATTACATGGAGGCTAGTATCTCCCTAGTAAGATCAACTGGCACTCTAAAAACTGACTTTCTGCCTCTTTTTACAACTTGAAGATCACATCACCATTTTTCTCTTTGAAATTCAGCTCTCTTTTTGCGATTCTTTTCATTATATTTTAGATTCCTTAGCCTATTCTTTTCCTGCTTTTTCCTCCTCCAGTCTTTGATCCTCGCAAGCTTTTCTTCCTTTTCGTTAACCATACCTCTTGTCAAGCGCACTTGCAGCGATATTTACAGATGGCTAAATCTCAGAAAAATTATTGAGCTTGAAGACCCCCGACCCTTGATAACGTCGCAGAAACCAAAATAGGAAAGGTTATCAAGCTATTTTCGACACGGAGATGAAAAGATGAAGGCGAAAGTGGCGGAGCAAACAGCAGATTTCATAGCGCTTTTAGTGGCATTTGTGGCGAGACTCCGTTCTCAATATGGCGTCAACATGGTAAAAAGCGTAGCGACTTGGTCAAAAGTGAATATTTTGGCCGTTTCTAAAGATATGGACCCGAAAACTTGGAAATGACAAGAAAAACTTATGAGCATTGAAGTGTAATCGATTTCGAAACCCGACTTTGCCGTGTTTGAAGTATAGTAGCGAAGGAGCAGGTAAGTTGATGAAAAATATTATTGCGTAATCAGGTTTTACAAAACCGTAGCGACTGTTTTACACTGATATTTCTCCGTTTATAGTCAATCCTTTAGACTGATTTTTCGCTATTTTAGAACACCAAGTATGAGCATTTGGTTAATGTGTTTTTGTTCCCACAGGATTCCAGTTCAGTCATTCTGCGGACAACAACTTGGTGTACTTCCAAATTCTGAAACCCAGCGTTACACAAAGGATGCTTAAGAATAATGAATCTTTTCTATGCGTTTTAATAAACTTGAAATGTCAAAGTTTTGCTCAAATGTAGTGTTTACTGTGTGTTATCATTAGGTGTAATTTGTTTGCTCAAACGAGCTTTCTTTTCATTGAAAAATGTACTTAAAAAATTTTACCACTGAGATTGTGTTACACGTTACAACCAAAATTGGCTCGATTTTTCATCTTTCACGGGTATTTTCTCAAAGACAGCAATGTGGTTTTCTAATTTTTTGCTTTTACTATAATCAATAAGAACAACTTTACCTGTAAGCAAAGATTTGGCTTCAATGAAAATGTAAAACAGAAGAAATCATTGAAAGTTTGCAGTCAACCCCCTATGGGCATGGTGATTGTGCTACTCATCTAAAGCTAACACTGCAATTTGCGTGTAAGAGGACAGACCACAAGGACATTTTCATCTTGGAGAATGTCATTTGCTGGTATAAACTTTCCACTGATTCTCTGAATTGGAATAAATGTTGATTCACCTTCAGGTTCAAAGAGATCTTTGCACCAGACCTCGACAGGAGCACCTAAGGAGTATCTTGATGGGTGAGCTTGAAACCAACGTACAGAAGCCAAAACAGAGGTCACATAATGTCCATTTACTTGTACATTTTGTTTCATAAAATAATCAATAACACCTGGTCTCAAATCAGCTCCAGAGGTGTCAATTGTGCCACCAAGTTTACACCACCTTGCCAACACAAATGCTTGATTTACTGGAGCCAAAGAGATCACCATTGAATTTACAACAAGCATAACATTCAATGTGAGTCGTAACAGAGGTTTCATCCAGCCCATCCAAAAACGTAGCATAGGATTTCTTTAGATGGGGAAGAACATCTACATCTATAGTGTCTCTTGAGTATGGTCCACAGCATGTGTACAAATAGAAACTGCTCTCAAATTCGCCACCAGTTCGCACATGACCAGTGGACAGCACATAAGCTTGGATAATTTCTCCAGACACCTGGTCCTTCTCAGTTAGACACTGTTCTTGAAGACTTCCTGATTGTTTTGAGTACAGTCTGTTAAGCAGAGGTTTAAATATATCTTGGAACTCAACAGGCAAAGGCAGATCCTTCATAAACTGACTTGATAAGAACTTGCGCATTAACTGTATCTCAACAGCACGTTGATTGGTTCCGTACTCGCCAAGAATTCCATTATAGCGCTCAAAGCTGAACAGCCAAAATGAATACACAGGTCCATAATCCAAGACACACTCAACAAGATGGGTATGCAGATGTATGTTTGGAGTTACTCTGTGTTTGCCATACAACTGTTCAAAACCCTGGCAAAACTTCAAAAGGTAGGAGTGGGCCAGCAATGCTTTTGTTTCTGTAAGAACAGTAGAGCACAGGCAAGAACAAGCCATGACAAAATTTCGCCACACTTCCATGTCACTGCTGGGCAAGGCATTCCACAAGGCATGTATGGAAAAAAGAACTGTAAATGATTTCCACTGATCGGCTGTGAAGCCCCCATAACTGTTCTGTATTTTCTTGGGCATTCTTCCCACGCTGGCGGGAACTTTAAGCTTGTCCATTTTTTCTTGTATCTGTTGCAAGTTATTCTTGTCAAGCAATGACTTCTCTGGATCTAACCATACATTCTTCATAATATGCTTAGCTGTCCCAGTAAACAGATTGTGCATTGGGTCAATAATGTGAAACCGAACACAATCAAAATAAGGCAACAACATTAATTCTGTATACCTTGTTCCAAACTGCTGTTCAAGGTTTGCACAGTCACCAGCAGTTGTTTGGTTCAAGATTTCCTGTGCTTGCAGTCTGTGCTCATTGTTACTCCTTGGAGGGCATGGTTCAAAGCCCGAAAAATCAATTTTGGTACCAACTGAGCCAGGGAAAAATTTCTTGCATTTTGAACAGCCTATATTTGATCCATGGCCAGTAAATCCACAAACCTTTCTCACTGCTGGGATGTCACAGCCAACACAAAGAAGAGCAGCATGGAATTTGGCATTTGTAGTTGACCCATGTGCCTTGACACTTATGCCATCTTTCCACAGCACATTCAGTTCAGCTACGAGGGGCTGTAAGTATGAATTAATGTTGTGTTTGGGTTCGTGGGGCCCAGGGATCACACCAACTAAGAAAACATTTTCTGGTTTGAACCTCTCAGCCCTGGGGAGGTTCATCAGAACCATATAGAGCACTCCAACACTATACACTGAATGCTTGAAAGGCTGGAACCAGTCAACATTGAGCATGAATGCATAGTTCCTCTGTGCTGCCAAAAATGCTTTCCCATCCACATTCTGCCATTCCTTCCAGATACGTCCATCAAAGATATCTGCAAGGAATCCATCAGGGATACTCCTGCTTCGCCATAATTCACATTTATCGACAAATCCTGGCCTTTGAAGGAATTGACAGAGATTGTCAATGATGCTGTTATAACAGTACACTTTGTGTGGGTAAAGCTTAGTCCCCCCACTCTTTAAGGAAACTTCTTTTAAAAGTGGTTCACCACACTTGGTACGGCGGAAATGTTGCCGATGGTTTGGAAACTGAACAAAAGTACACTTCTTGGTGACTTTTCGACCGCAAACCAGTTCATAGCAGTCATCAAAATTGTACAAAGTGTGACACTTTGGGCACACAATGTATTTAATAAATCTGTCTTTGTCCAGTCCCAGTTGCTTGCGTAGTAAATGGACTGACTTTGGGAACAGCACAGCAAAACTTGCAACAACTGGAAAGATTGTACCCATGGAATCAAACATTGCCCTCAAAAAAGTAAGAAGTATTTCCAATGCATTGTCAGATAATGAAGAAAATGAAGACCAAAGGCACAGGAAAATCAGCAACCAACGAAGAAGATGCTTGAAACTTCCATTTATTCTGGATGTGTTGTTAACATACACAGAGGGTAGTTGACCCTGATTTTGGGGGAAGTCTGTATCAACATCCTCACCAGGCAAATCCCACACTTCTTTGAGTAATGCATGTGGCATCCTCTCATGATAAATAAAGTCATTCTCTGAATCACTGTCATCAAAACCATGAACTAAAAGGTAATCTTCCTCCTCTAGATTGTGGATAGGAACACCATCCAAACCTGATAAGTTTAAAAGAGTTATGCATCTGTTATTCTGCACACATTTTTTCAAAAGGTATGCCCACTTCAAAACTGATAGCAGTTGGTGTGCTGCTGTTACAGTATACCTACATGTAGTGCTGAATGGACCATGATAAAATGAAAAATACAGTCAAGCCTTGATTAACTTACACCTCCCAGAAGGGGACAGGAACAACTTCTAAAATACAAAGGCACACTATGAAAGGGACTTGGCCCTTGACCCCAACTAATTTGCATTTTTTTTGCAGTTGGAGGCAAGAGGACTGCACAATTATTGTTTTTCTCAAATATCAAATCCACTTTAAACATAGTTTGTTTCTCAAAATTCTTTGTTTGCCCTTATATGATGAAAATAATTACCTCTAAATTAACTGGATAATTGTTAAATAATGTATTTCAAATTTGAAATTTAGGTGAGCATAAATTTTGAAGTGTATCTATAGAGCATTAACACCCTTACTGGTTATAATAATACTGTGGCAATATTTCACATTAGTTTGCTAGTTTTAAATATTTCTTTCTGTTTCATTCAGAATAAGAAGCAAATAAAATTTATTCTGTGCTACTTTTAGCTACAATGCATTGCCTTGTTTACTATTGACTAAGCCCTAGTCGTAAATGGGAAACCCCCGTTTTATAGTAACCCTACAAAAAGCAAGGTGTGACTCTGAAAATGACAGTTAGGCAATCCTGTTTGATTACAGTAACCTGTCTCACTAGTATGTGCATCAAAGTAGCGTTAGCCTATACATACAATGATATACCTGGTTCAGAAACGCTGCCTCCATCACAACTTGCCATTGCGACTGGTCTTTGAATGCAAACATCGTGCAACTGGTTCTCTTCTTCAGCACACACGTCAACATCTGCAGGATCGCTTCTTTCCTCATCTGAAGACTCTTCTTGAATCTGTCGAATGTTCCATTGACCACTTTCTTTGTTGTAGTAAAGATCTAAATGCTGCCTATACGTTCTCGTAGAGACGAAGTCTTGGCAATGCTCGCAGAATTTTCGTTTAGTCGACGACATTGATCGCCAAGAAAAAGAAACTCATGAGCCGTTTAACTGTTTATGTGCAGCGAAATACAAAACCAATCTAATAATTTTTTTTCTGTAACGATGAACTTGGGCTCACCGCTCAGCAGAAGAAAGACTGTGCATGCGCTTGCAACAAATAGGAGCAGAGACTGGACAGAGACAGCAGGGATTCAAGCAGACAACTGAATGGACCAGTAATAACATCAAATGATCTTCAAAGTAGTTAATAAACAGCTACGACGAGATGATGAATTGCGTTTGAACTTTAGGCGGGATAGTTCTTCGCTTTTTGTCTCGAAGTCCATGGCAAGGCAAATCCCGAGTAAATCAAAACACCGTATCATGGCAGAGAAACCAGCAAGACGTTCCAGAAGCTCTACCACTCGTACCACTACCACTAGTTCCACCAGAAGCTCTAACACTCGTAGTACTACCACCAGTTCCACCAGAACTTCGACCACACCGATCGTTTCACACGGCGTGCAAGCTCGTGGTCGCCTAGAACATCAAGAGGATAACTCGGCAGTCGAGTCGCTGCCAAGAGTTCTAGATGGATTAGGCAGTTTACAAGGATCGATTGAAACTTCTCTGGAATCTACTTCTTTGGAATCCACAGTATCCACCCCTTTGGTGCCGGCCGTCATACCGACGCCAAGAAGAACGTCGACTCCAACAGTATCTCGGGTCCTGGAGCCGCTTTACAGAACCCCGGTTGAAACTGCCAACGATAGTGGGTGCCAAGTTATGGAGCAGTTGCAGGCGTTTTTCGCTAGACAAGGGGATTTTAACAGAAGATTGGAGGAACGGCTCGAGGGACACTTGCAGGGCCAAGGGCGGGAAAACAGACCAACGGCGCAAGCGACGCGGTTTTCGAAGGCGCTTTCAGTAAGTCACCTCTCTTCATAGATTAAGCTTAAGGATAATTAATTTTTCTATTTTTCCCGCTTTTTTCTCCTTCAGCGATGATGAAAGTCAAAGTCCCAGTATACAATCCTATGTACTTGTAGAGGGTAAATGTACCCACCCCGCAGGGAAAAACGGATCAAAGTCCAAGGGTCCATTCTCACTACAAAACTACTATCCTTTGTTTGGAGTTAGACTACACAGTCTATATTGTTGATGGATGTCTTTCAAAACAAATGTGAACACCATGTTATGACTCTTGATCATTTTTAATATATGTAATAGTAATCCAGTGAAAATCCCCAAATGATTATATTAGTTTTGATCTAGAAGGCTTCAAGAGGCCATTTCTGAGTTACAGTGCTTGATTTTGGATAAAGACAGTGTCGGATAATAAAACCACCAAAATTTTTAGGGGTTCAAAATATTGACAGTACAGTGTAAAACTTATAGTATGTACTTTCTTGGGTGAGGCCATTGCATGTATTTAAGGCTGATAAACTTGATAGAGAAAGAGCTCGGACTAGGCTTTACTAATTCTTTTGTCACTGGAAAGGAAATTTTTTTTTCTGAAAAACATAATTCGGGTTAATTCCATTTTGCAGATGTACTATCATTTTTACAGATCTTGTTTCAGACTTATTTGTGTTTTAAAGGCATAAATTTACTTAAGCTATATTCAGTAAGGTGTCTGAAATTTTTTAACTTGCTAACTATTTTTTCAAGGCCCACATCAGGGATGTCTATTCCACTCTGACTAGTGAAGATGGTAAAGATGTTAAATGGGATCTATCCAAAAGGTCAGTTTTAATTTCTTCTAATTTTTTCAGAATGGGAAGCTAATGTCAATTGAGAGACCAAAATGATGTTTTGATTGTGGTTATAAAGACATTGTATGTTCCACAACAAACAGTCTTAGTAGAGTTAGTTTGACATAAATTCTGGTCTACTTAAAAGTGTAAGGGACGTAGTCACATAAAAAAAGGGTTCAATGTTGACTTTCCTTGTCAAATATTGTGGACTCTCATAGGCATGTACCACTCTGAGGGTTTAAAAGAGAATTAAGATGACAAAACAGTTCTAATTCAGCTTTGATTTGTATTTAGCTTTTCTCATGAAGATAACAGAGTTGTTAATGCAGCAATAATAAATGGAGTCAGAAGTACTGACACTTCCACACCATCAAATGTCATAAGAGGTAAGTGTTTTCTGCAAAAGTGATCAAAGTTGGGTTCAGTAGTTCAAATGTATCTGCAATAAACTCTGCATCAAAGGATATAAAAGGAAAGCTACAGTTAAGATTAATTGTTCAATTCTGTTTTTTTTTTTATGTACTTCCTTCCTTCCTTTCTTTCTTTCTTTTTTTATCTTTCAGGTGATGCTAACAATTTACATATAATTATACATATTTGATTGTAAAATTGCCACATTCTCTCCTTGTTTTCCTTAATGTTGAATATCTAGCCTGCTAGCAGAAATCTCTTTTTTTTTCTGTTGGAAAGAGAGTAGGAGACACCTGCTCACTAGCCATGAATATCCTTCCCTAGTATATATCACACAAATGAAGAATACTTAGTATACACTGAGTGGCTAACTAGGAGGTGAAAAGCCTTTGCATTTTACCTCTGAGTAAAAACAAAATGGTGCAAAGCAGTGATCACCACTTGTTTTTCTCAATTTGTCAGAAAATTAAATATTTATTAGTGGCTGGTTATTCACTTGCAAAATGTTAACTGTTTTTGTTCATGACAGCTGCCATGAGGGTGCATTTCAAGACCAAAAAAAGGCATAAAAAAAACAAAGACACCAACAAACAAGTAGAAGTGCTCCAAGACCAGCGCATTAGGAGTAGGAAGAATACAGTAAGTTTTTAGTTACTTGATAATTTCATTACACAGCTTGAAACGATCCTACTCTAAACTCGCAAAATTTTACGCCTACCAGTACTACATAACTAATGTAAAATTTATGTTTGGTACAGAAACGTTTAAAACGCTGCAAAGCTCTATTCCAATCTACATCTATTGGGGAAGAGGAAAAAGAGAAATACCGTTTGTGCCTCTCATCTGCAGATTACATGTCCTCAGAACATTCAATGTCTGAGGACAACAGTGCTGGGAACAGCAGTTCTGAGGATGAAGCCCCCTCAAAACAAAAGGTGCTATGTAGGAGGCCTCTTATGTGGAGGAGCAGTGAGCTAAACTCTCTGTTTAGCCGATTAGATCGAAAGAGTGCGAGAAAGCGTTCACAGAGGAGTGCCTCTATGATGATTGAGAGGAAAGATGGCCCTCCATCTACTCGAGAGGCACCAGAAGATGCTCCAGCATTTGCTTTGTCATAAACGAAATTTGATTACTATACATTTTAGATACAAAAGAAAAGGTTTTACTTACTGGTATCACGACAGCATGACTTACAGAAGTTCAAAAGTAAAAGACTCACTGAGTTTGGCCATTTGTTCACTGTTCTTATGTTAGACATGTATCTAGAATGTAGTATTGATATGAATATTGCAATCAACAATCCATCACTGAGGTGAAAAAAAAAAGCGTGTCAAAACAAGTTTTAGAAACTTTAGAGTGTTCTTTGCTTAAATGGTGGTTTCCTTACAACAAGGCAAATACTGGAGCATCTTGTGGTTTTCAGGAATATCATTTGTAAAATATTTAGTTGAGGTTTAGGCACTCATGCTTTAAATGTGTGGCAGAAATTTACATAAAGCTCATTTGGTTTCTTTTTTTGTTACTGTTCAGTGCAGCTTTCAAACATTTTTATCCACTTTTCAATTTTTTTAGAACTTGTAGAAAGTAATTTAGAAAATATCAGAGAATGCCATCATAGTTATTGTTACAGTTAAAAATTTAAATGATAAAAATAATGTGGTATGATAGCATGCATAAATACTCAATTTACTTTCTTACATACAGCTTGGAGTAAATATTGGAAAAAAAGTAATATATGCATAAGTGAATCATCCAAGAATTTTCAAACAAACAATACTCTACTGTTAATGTGCTTAACAGTGTAGCAGTCAAATTTATGTATGACAGTTTTTATTACCAAATTGAAAAATGAGATAAATAGAATATCTTAAAACGTTATTGGTAGCTAGAGGTCAGTACTCAAACCTACTTTAAAGATCAATGCTGTTTATATCAGAAGTTATAAGTCAAGTTATGTTTTTGTGGTCCAATTGAACAAAGGCAAATAAACTATTTAAAAAGTAATTGGCTGGTGAGTTCTAAAACCTAATATATAGATCTATACTATTTATAACAGTGGTTCTAAATATTCTGTTAACCCCAGTAAGCTGAAGTTGACACTCCCTTATAAGCAAAGTTAGATGTTTGTTCTCATTTGCTTATCTCAGCAAACTTATTCGGTACTGAGAATTTGATCATGTTTGCTATACAGAGCGAAGTTGGTCAATGCTTTTTTTGGTCAAGAGTTTGCTCACATTTACCATACCAAGCATACTGGGTCAAACTTTTGATTTTGTCAACATTTTATTATCTGAGCAAACTTATTCAATACTAACAATTTGATCATATTTGCCATACGGAGCAAACTTGCTCAATACCAAGAATTTGCCAGCAATTACCTGCCTATGCAAACCTCATCAATTCTACGAGTTTGATCATGTTTGCTGATTCAAATAAACACTCCAAAATTACGCTTTTGAGCACATTTACAGCGTTTTGTAAGCTTGCTGGTAATCATAAGTTTTCATGTTTTTACATCGGAAGCAAACGTGACGCAAAAAAGGAGATCTGCTCATAAATTTGCCTCGTATGTAAACAGGCATCAAATAAACACATTTACATCCACATTTGCCCCATGGGCAAATGAAACGAAAATTCATAGCTGCACAATACTTTTGTACAAGAGTGGAAATCTTTAACAAATGTGGCATTTACCACCTTTGCTACGGGTAACAAATGTGGTGTAAAATCGATCTTTGTTCTTTGGCAAACTGAGGCAAATATGTACAAATGTGGTATTTACTTCAGTTTTGCTATAGATTTGCTACCAACGTAAATCCATTTTTTCGTCCAGTGGCAGGAAAGCAACATTCACATCCCGCAGTTGCAAGGCTAGAGGTTTAAACTTAGCCTGGCTTATGAAAAGTGCAGGATGGTCTAATTCGAGCACTTTAATTCGAGTTCCGGCGCGGAACTCGTGGTGGTCGAAGGAGATCATGCGCTCCTCCTTCCTCTACCACTTTTCTGCATCGTACTAATAATTTCTGCGCCACTCCTTCTCTGGAATCAACATTTTGTTCACCAACGGTTGGACATTTACCGGAAAGACGTGTTTTGCATATTCCTCCTCCGTCTCAATTAAATATTCAAATTGACACCTTTCCCATCGGTTCGATAAACAATCAACCTGTCACGGCAATCGGATCGCAAAATCGCCATCGCACCTCAAGTACGGCACCCCGAGGCCGTAATCCGTCCAATATCTCCGTGATAAACTGTCGACCGCGACGAGAGGAACACGAGTTTGGCACGAACATCTTACTAGCAAACACACAGTCGTTAGCGCCTAAAATCGACGAAGTGCGATCTGTGATGTTGAACGTAAAGCCTGATTTAGGTTTCTTTACAGAAACTTGGTTACGTGAGACCATCAGTGACAGCCAAGTTAATATTCCTGGTTACTAATTTATCGCAAGAAATCGTTGTGTGGATATCCATAGTGGTGTAGGACTTTACATCCATGATTCCATCAAATTTAAACCGCTCGATGAATTTTCGGACCCTGATTTTGAGTCACTTTGGGTGTGGCTTAGGCCAAGGAGGCTGCCTAGAGGATTCCCCTACCTGGTTGCTGGTACTGTCTACCACCAACTTGTCACATACGTATAACGAGAACGCTGTTTACACCCTGCCACCGTTTGGTCTTTCAGATCATAACGTGGTCATCGTCTGCACTAAAAAGAGGCCATCCCGCGCTGGGCCTAGCAGAAAGTTAATTTCGAGGCGTGACACACGTGCCAGTATGAAAGCCGAACAAGGACGGTTCTTTTCAGCCGTTGATTGGTCCATTTTGGATTCTGCCCCTAATATTGATGAGCGCTCTAGACAACTGTGTAACATCATCACCGCAGGTCTGGACGCTATCATGCCCGCAGTGAAATCTAAGGTTAATCTCAATGACCCTCAGTGGATTACTCCTGAATTTAAGACTCTAATCGCCAAGCGTCAGCAAGCTTTTATGTCAGGGGATTTAGCCAGCTTCCGTCACCTTCGAAATACTGTTAACCGGGAGCGGAAAGCTCTTCGTGAGAGGTTTTTTGCTTCTAAAGTTAAACATCTAAAGAACACCAAGCCCTCCCAATAGTGGGGGGAGGTCAAGCGTATCGTTTGGATGAATCCTGCATCAGGTTCTGACAATCTGCGTTCGCTACTCCACGTTGAGGGACTGGATCACCATCTTCCAGACCATGATGTCGCAAATGCCATCAATTCTGCCTTTCTGGACCAAATAAAGTCTTTCTCGCCACTCAATGCTACTCCACCCTTCGGAGCGAACTCGGCGGTGGTAACCATTTCTGAGGTCGATGTTTTGACCGCAATCAGAAAGTTGAACCCCCGCAAGGCTGCGGGTCCCGATGGGATATCTAGTTGGGTGTTTGGGGAATATGAATTGTAGCTTTGCTGAGCAACAACTTCCCCTATCTTGGAAGCTGGCGGATGTGGTACCCATTCCTAAACAGAAACCTGTCGAAGTCATCAACAAGCACTTACGACCCATTTCCCTCACACCAATAATTTCCAAATTAGCCGAAGACTTCGTGATATCTGCGTTCATCGGTCCGGCTGTGTTGAAAATTATCGATCCCGACCAGTTTGGAGCCTTACCGAAATCCTCCACGGCCCTAGCTCTGACGTCCATGCTTCATCACTGGACGCGCGCAACTGATGGCACGGGATCTGCAGTCAGGGTGGTCCTGTTTGACTACCGCAAAGCTTTTGACTACATTGACCATCAACTGCTCACACACAAAATTTACAGTCTTGATATCCCTCGGGGAGTAGCACGTTGGGTAGTCGACTTCTTAGTGCATCGCTACCAACGCGTAAAATTATCTGCTGATTGTTTCTCTGAGTGGGGCCCCGTACCAGCTGGTGTACCTCAGGGGACAAAATTGAGGCTATGGCTCTTCTTGCTAATGATAAACGATCTAAGAATTCCCCAGATTCAAACTTGGAAGTACGTTGATGACACGACGGTGGCAGAGATCGTCCTGCGTAACGCATTGGGTGACGCCCAAACCGCTGTCAAAGTGGTGGAGGATTAGTCCAAAGCACAGAAGATGCAGCTTAACGCTAACAAATGCAAAGTTATGGTCATCGACTACAAAAGGTAGAAACACCATTTCACTCCCCTCTTGGTCGATGGCAAAAAAATTAGAGACGGCAGAGTCGGCTAGAATCCTAGGCGTGACTATTTTGGGTAACCTTAAGTGGAATAACCACGTCAATGATGTTATAAAAGAGCAAACAAACGATTATACTTTTAAGTCCTCCTGAAGAGAGCCCGCGTTCCAGCGGATGACATAATTAATTTTTACTGTACAACTATACGTCCTGTTCTGGAATACTGCGCACAAATATTCCATCATGCGTTACCTGCGTATCTTAGTGATGACATTGAAAGGGTCCAAAGACGCGCATTATCCATCATTTCACCAGAACTGTCATACCATGACTCTTTAGACAGGCACGGTTTAGCTTCGCTCTAGACGCATGAAATTATGTACGGATCTGTTTTTGTCTGTCTCAAATCCATCTCACAAATTATATAATTTTCTGCCAGATAGGCATTTTTCAGCTTACAATACTAGACACCAGCGCGTTTTTAACATGCCGCGCTTTCGCACTGAACGTTTTAAATTTTCATTTATCCCGGCTATGTGCGCGTGTGCTAACCTAGATTTTTAGCTATTCCACTGCTGTATATTAGCTATATTAGTTAGTAATTAGTAATTAGTAATTTTATTTAGGTCTTAGCATTTTTGTAATAGGTAGTCTTATATAGTCTTATATAATCAATGATTGTGGAAAGCACGCAATTTAGCCTATGGCTGCAATGCATTTTATTTGATAATAAACTATCTATCTATCTCTATCTATCTCTTTCGCCAGATTTTATGATAAACCTGTTGACACCACTCAAGCAAGTTTTGGCTCAGTATTGTTAAATTTGAACACAGTATAATCTCAGTATTTGTCTCTGCTCATCACGTTCTGCGAATAAAACTGTTTCCATTAGGAGGGCAGTTCGTTCTATAGGACTTTGAAATCTCATGTGACTCCGTAGTGACGTAGACTGATGACAAGGTAGAATTATAAAATTAAACGAGACTTACCTGCATGTAACTTGAAGTTTGATTACGACTCTATCTTGCCATCAGTCCGGAACGAAGGAGTCACATGAGATGTGCATGCGCGTCGCTGATCAGTATTCAACGTGAGTGATTTATGATTCGTCGCGTTTACATACAGTTCATAGCGCCGCTGACAATATACCTAGGGCGCAGCTTCCCACGCCACGTGAGTACTTTGAGCGTTACTTACAGGATTTTTTTGCCGTTTTTTACGGAGTTAGTTTTAGCGAAGGATCTTAGGCTGGGAAAGAAGCAATAACTTCAAATCGTCGGCGGATAGACCCTCATTTGTTATTCGTTTTTTATTATCCTGTATAGGAATACAAGGAATCAGACGCATAAAAGTTGTTGTGTGTTATTTATTCTGCCAAGCGTAGCTGGCCCCTACAGTGACAAAGGAGAAAAGGAACGAAGCAGAAAGGAGGAAGGGTACAATGTGGCTTCTTCGTTCCCGACTGATGACAAGAGAGAATCCTAAACAAACTTCAACTTATAGGTAAGTATCGTTTAATTTTATAATTCTTAAAAACTTTAGCGACATATGTTAGGTATAGTAAGGTTGGGGTATCGCAGTTAGAGAATATTTTAAAGAGATCCACCTTCGATTTAAGAAATAAGATTCAAACATTGAGCCACAAATAATTTGTGATAAAATAAAAGAAATCTAGCTTACCATTATTCCTCTGTAAATGAAATGTTCGTCCTCGGTAAAGTTAGCAAATCCAACAAATGGGAGTCGCTTAGCTGACATTTTAATTTCCCTGAGTCACCCTCTATGGTTCCAAAGTTGTAAGACTGAAATCGCTCTTTATCCACACACTCAGGCTGACAGGAACTTTCCGAATCCACTTCTATTTCTGTTATCAGGCTTCCGTTGAGCTTTTCAGTCCCTTCTACATTGTCGGGAAAGTTAATAGCTCTCAGATCTGACTCTGAAATGCGGCCTATGCTGTACACAACGGCAGATAGAAGAAATGTTATACAGAGATGCATGTGTAGTCTTCATTTTCGGTAGGTTTATGACGAAGAAAAACGAATGTTTGTTTCATTTCTTTCTGATTTGGTAACTAGGTAAGCAGGTGCAGGAAAGTCTAGAATTCTTGCGCTAACCTGGTGGAAAATTTGCTGGGTTTGCATCCGGGAAAGAAGCCTGATAGAGCGATGATAAACAAAAAAAGTTGGCCTTGATAATAAGTACTAGAACTATTTTAATAAAACAATTTTTACTATAGGGGAAATAAACCTTGATTTATTTTTTTTACATAAATCCTGCTGCTCAAGACTCTGTCGGAGACTTTGATTCGTGCGTGACACATGTCAGATGATGAGTGCGAACACTATGGACATTGAATGGTTTACATAATCAACGCAACCTTGAATGACCCTCTTAAATCAGTACTCGGCAACAACCAATCAAAATGTAGAAAATATCGTATAAGAGAGTGATTTCTTACAAATTTTGCAGATTAGCTTTTTACACACCTGATGTAAATAAGCGAATACGAGAGCGAAATAAAACAGTTTAATTGAGTCTCGTTCGTCAGAGTTCTATCCCTAGTAAACAGGACAAAGTTTACAAAAACTCCAGCGTTTTCCCATCCGTAAATCAATCGATTTATGGACGTTTTTCCCCGTCACACGTTTGCTCCCTCAGAGCAAAATAGGTTCATCCTAAATCTTTCAGCGCGTAGTTTTAAAGTAAGCCAAGCTTTCTAGTTCATACTGTTCCCTGCCGTCATCAGCCCCAAAAAAATTGTCAAAGAAAAGAAGACCGTAATATACTAATATACTTTCCGGTTCGTTAAGTGTTATAAATTCCATTTCTTTAATATGCAAAATGCAAAACCGTCTATGTCTTGAGCTTCTTCCTGCATGTAAAATCGATTAAAGACATTAAACTTTCAAGACCAAACAAAAATTTCGTTATTGAAGTTTGAAAATGTAAATGTTTCTCATAACAAATTTTAGAGCACCTACAAAGATTATCCATGCAAAGAAAACGAAAAATGTTTCGCAAGTGAAAAATCCAAGACACCTTTCTGTAAGTGTATCAGAGGTAAGTGAACCCGGTGTAATTTTGTAGTTTGTTGGCCATGAAATAATGTTCTTTAGGAGAATTGTAATAAAGTAGCTCTAGAAGAAGAGAGTTTCGAAAAGATGTGAAAACAATATATGACACAACCAGTTTTTGCTTTGGTGGTAATCATTACGACAGACAATATATATATTTCTCACATAAACTGCGGTGTTATACAGGGATTTCCGGCCCTGAGAAAAGCCGTAACAACATAAGTGAAAAAATATCGTATTTTTTCACTTGCGTTGATATACCCAATCAGCTTGCCGCATCTGGTGCTAATCCACCCGTCTCATCTGTCCTCGGCATTTTCAAAGGCCCAGTATTTTCCCCTCCAAGGGTTTTTTTTTGTCTTTCCTCTAACGGATCTACACTTACCTCTTATACACTTATAAAAATGAGTGTTTGATTTGTAGTCAACAACACAAATTTCATTCTCCTTGCGAGGATCATCTTCTCCGTAGGTACTCTAAATATTAAAAGAAAGAAAATCAGTATGCAGAGACATCAAAAGGATGATGGCAGCCTTTTTCGTTTAAGAAGGCTCCAAAGGGATTTTTGACCGCGCGAGATCTAGGTGCGAACATAGTGCGAGCTTTAAAAAAGTCAACATGCATAACAAACATGGCGGCTCGATACGATCGTACAATCGTTATCTGAAAAGGTGTGTTAAAAAACATTTTAGCAGTTTTTATGTGATGGAATCTAGGGCTTCCAGCAACTGCACCCGTAATATTTACAGGCCTTCCACGCCTGAAAAAGAGGTCAACCGAAAAGAAAACATCGTGGGAAAGATTGCCAAAAGGCGACAGATCGCGACAGATTCGAAAGTTTACGCATACTCAGATACAGATCTTAGCGAGGTTCTATTCCATTACGTGATGTTTTACGACAAAGAAAATAGGGATCTCTCGAGCAAAATTTATCGCGTTTCTTTCGGTGGAATTTCCTATGATTTGCTGGATCACAAAACATATTTGTGCCCCTCTAGTACTTGTTGATAACAGAAATTCAGAAGACCCCCTTTTTTCTCACAAAATGTGAAAATTTTAAGAGATTTCATCGAAGCAAATTGAAGAAAATCACTGGCAAAGCCAAATTATTACTGGCGAGCGCCTCCTTTCTTGGAACCTTAGCTCAATAATGAAAATCATTTCGATAATATTTACTACAACGAACGATATGCCAAACCTTTCTCATCGCCCTTTTGGTGGCATTTAGTGACCTAGAAAAGCGAAAACATAAAAAATTACTAGAAAAACAATACACTGGTGCGCGCGCTAATGGTGAGCAAAAACTCTATGGAGTCTCAGTCTTAAATAGCTAAAAACGCACTGCCTCTTGTCGGTTATGTATTAAATTTTATAAGAAAGAAACTCATAACATAAACAGTTTTTGTTTTGAATAGTCCTAAAACGAAATCATTCCTCTTTATTTCTGGATTAATTTCTACGTTGGCTTCTTCTGTGTTATTTCTAACTACATTTCATCAACCTTAAGTCTTTAAAAAAAAATTTATACAAGATTATGATTCATCTTAAGTTACATTCATTTCACGAAAGGACGCCTCAGTGAGTTCATGTTCCTTCTCTGGTGAGAATCTCTGCGTTTTTCATAACAGGTGCTTCTCGATACCGATAACTCTAAAAAGATATTGTATTCTTTGGAATCAGTTGACTCAATTGAGAGGCGAAACAACTTAATTGTTTAACATGACCTAGTTGTTTATAAAGGTTGATAAAACCCCGTAGAAACATGAAATATTTCAAAAGGCTAGAGTTTCAAGTGTTTTATCGTGTTGTTATCATTTCAACTTCCCAAGCTTTCCAAGCCCAGCATGTGCCCTCGAGACCCAGTGACTTCCATTCGACGTTACTTGCATTGCAGCAGCACCCTGACCGCTCAAATACATAAAAGGAAAGACCATTTGAACTGTTTTGCATTCCTTTTCATGAAATCATCTGGTTCGGAAGCATTTAATTCTAATGGTAAAATTTCCCTGAAACAAGAGATTCCGCCCAGTAATTAGGGGAGGGTATTTCTATTATATAATTGATGATTCGTAACAGCTGTCCGCTCTACCTAAGATATTATGATTATAGTAATAATGATTATAGAGGATTATTTACAACTTCTCAATCAGCGTATTCTTCGCGTCGTTAAAGAGATGAATATGGATACCACAAGTTAACTGAAATTAATTAATTTTGAAGAACTTAACGCTCTGTCACGGGTATAATGATTATCATTATAATGTAGATGAAAAATGTTTATGTACAACGCTTCCCGAGCGCATTCTTCGCGTGTTAGGCGCGTAAAAGAAATTGTTGCAAACTATTTTTTCACTTTAAGAATGTATTTTCACCTGCTAACCTAGCCAGGTCGCCGCTCAAAGTCAAAGAAATTTCCACATCAGTTCACGTGAAAAGCTTTCCATGGAGAATGAACATGTATCTGTGGATATTTAATCTCGTCTGTTCAGCTGTGTACGGCATAAGCCGTATTTCAGGGCCAAATTTGAAAGCTGTTAACTTTGCCAAAGAGTTAGAAGGACAAAAGCTGAAGGGAAGCCTGATAAAAGAAATAGAAGTTTCTTCGGAAAGTTCTTGTCGGTTTGAGTGTGTGAATGAAGAGCGATGTCAATCCTACAACTTTGGAACTTTAGAGGGCGACTCAGGGAAATTCAAATGTCAGCTAAGCGACTCTGATCGATTTGTTGGATTTGCAAACTTTACCGAAGACGAACATTTCATTTACAGAGGAATAAAGGTAAGCTTAATCTCTTTAGGTGTATAAAAAAATTACTTGAGGCTCAATGGTTGAATTTTATCTCTAAAATCGAAGCTGGATCTCTTTTTAATGTTTTCTAACAGTGATACACCAACCTTGCTCTAACTTATATAAGTCATCAAAGTTTTCTAAGAATCTTGCAGCAACCTGGTGGGAAATTTGCTGATGTCTACGTCAGGGAAAGAAACTTGGTAGAACCGTGATAACCAAAAAAAGTGTGACCTTGACAAAAAGTACTAAAACTATTTTAAGGAAATAATTTTTGCAATGAAGAGCTGGTAATCGAGTTTGTACAATAGGAGAAATAGACCCGGCTTTGTTTTTGATATAAATCCTGCTGATAAAGATTCCATTGTTTTTTCCCATCCGTACATCAATCGATTTATGGAAGTTTTGCCCCGTCACAAGTTCGCCCCCTTAAAGCAAAACAAGTTTACCCCAAATCTTTCAGCGCTTAGTTTTAAAGCAAGCCAAGCTTTCTAATTGATAAAATTTTCTGCCGTCGTCAGCCCAAATAAAGAGCGCGACATATTTTTTTGTTGGTCACAAAGTACAACTTTGATGGTTTCGTTCGGGTTGTTTTTGAATACTCCTTATGCGATCAACACGATGCACAGCTGAGGCCGTAGGATGTTTTTCGGAAACCAAAATCAAAAGTTAAATAACGTGGGTAATAATAAGCCTTCAGGGCTCAAAAAATTCTGCGCAACTCGAAAAATATCCCGCGTATTAGATATGAAACCATCGAATAAAGTGTGTGTTTTTTTAGGGCCGTTACTCTTACATATTTAAAAGGAATTTAAAAAAACCCGAAAAGTTAAGTTTTAGTTTAGTAGGAATAACGATGAATCAATGATAGTTATGAAATATTTCCGAGGTGGCTATTAATTATGAATGCGGAAAACATTCTGATGGCATCAGTTCGTTGTACTGTAAACCTCTAGCTATAGATAAAACTTTTACGTTTCTACCTTCTAATTTCTGTTTATATTCTGAGTTTTTTTTCTTTTAAAATTTAATACATGATTGATAAGAGGCAGTAAGTTTTCAGCTATCGAGAGGAGGCTCCAGAGGGTTTTTGTTCGATGTTGGCGGGCGCGCTAGCATATTGTTTTTCTAAAAATTTCTGTTTTCGCTTTTCTATATCTCTAAAAGTCATCAAAAGGGCGATGAGCAAGGCTAGGACTATCGTTTGCTGTAGTAAATCTTATCAAAATGATATTCGACATTGAGCTAAGGCTGCACCGAGGGAGGCGCTTGTCAGTGATAATTTTTGGCTTTGCCTTTGATTTTGTTCAATTTGCTACTGTGAAACCTCTCAAAATTTTCACAATCTGTGAAATTTGTCCCGCCGATCATTTAAAAGCCGAAATTTTCCTTGCTATGAATTATGAATTATGAATTTTTTTGTCAACAGGTACTAGGAAAGGTGCAAATATGTTAAACGGCCCAGCAAATCTAAGGAAATTCCATCAAAGGAAACGCGATAAATCCTGCTCGAAAGATCCCTATTTTCTTTGGCGCAAAACAGTACGTATTGGAATAGAACTTCGCCAAGATCTGTATCTGAGCATGCGTAAACGGTATTTTCTTTTCGGTTGACTACTTTTTCAGGCACAAAAGGCTTCGAAATGTTACGGGTGCAGTTGCCGGAAACCCTAGATTCCATTACATAAAAACTGTTTAACTGTTTTTAACCATGCCTTTTCAGATAACAATCGGGCGATCGTATCTAGCCGCCATGTTTGTTATGCATGTTGACACATTTTAGCTCGCGCTATGTTCGCACCCAGATTCCAGGCGGTCAAAAAACTCCATGGAGCCCTCTTAAACGAAAAAACCTGCCATCATCCTTTTGATATCTCTTTGTATAATGATTTTTTTTCTTAATTTTTAGAGCACCTGCGAGGAAGATAATCCTTGCAAGGAGAATGAGATTTGTGTTGTTGACTACAAATCGAACACTCCTGTTTGTAAGTGTATTAGAGGTAAGTGGAGATCTGTTCGGGGAAAGACAAAAACAACAAACAACTCTAAGAGAGGGACATACTGAAAATGCCGAGGAAAGATAAAACGGGTAGATTAGCACCAGCTGAGGCAAGGGTACGAAAGATCAAGGATGTAACTCCCATTACAAAAACATCTAGAGAGAGAGAGAGAGAGAGAGAGAGAGAGAGAGAGAGAGAGAGAGAGAGAGAGAGAGAGAGAGAGAATAAATATTTTTTGTTATCGTTAAAGTGTTTTACCTTTTTTTCGTTATTTCTAGATTGCCCTGCCAAGAACTGTCTTGACTATTATCAAAATGGTTCCAAAACCGACGGTTTGTACTGGGTTTACCCTGATGAAGAACACTAGTGATCCCTTTCTAAAGTGCTGTGTGACATGACAACTGATGGTGGAGGATGGACCACCTTTCAAAGGCGCATGAATGGCTCCGTAGACTTTTATGTCGACTGGGAATTATACAAAAAGGGCTTTGGAAATCTGAAGGGCGAGTTTTGGCTCGGAAACGATTATATTCACCGTCTGACTGCATCTGCCAGCATGGTGTTTCGAATTGATATGGAGGATTACGAAGGCGACCGACGATTTGCCTGGAGAAGAAGATGGAGAGAGACCGCGTATCAGTTAAGAATCACAAGACACGACTTTCGCTGGTGAGGCCGACGAAAGCGATGGTTATCGGGTGACAATCGATGGATACCGAGGCACCGCAGGCAGAGAGAGAGAGAGAGAGAGAGAGAGAGAGAGAATAAATATTTTTTGTTATCGTTAAAGTGTTTTACCTTTTTTTCGTTATTTCTAGATTGCCCTGCCAAGAACTGTCTTGACTATTATCAAAATGGTTCCAAAACCGACGGTTTGTACTGGGTTTACCCTGATGAAGAACACCCCTTTCAAGTGCTGTGTGACATGACAACTGATGGTGGAGGATGGACCACCTTTCAAAGGCGCATGAATGGCTCCGTAGACTTTTATGTCGACTGGGAATTATACAAAAAGGGCTTTGGAAATCTGAAGGGCGAGTTTTGGCTCGGAAACGATTATATTCACCGTCTGACTGCATCTGCCAGCATGGTGTTTCGAATTGATATGGAGGATTACGAAGGCGACCGACGATTTGCCGAGTACACGACTTTCGCTGTGGCCGACGAAAGCGATGGTTATCGGGTGACAATCGATGGATACCGAGGCACCGCAGGCGATTCATTGGCTTCCCATCCTAGGTCTATCAGGTATGTTGCATTGCAGCTTTTTGCACTTTGCTCTTTGAATGACCAGTAATATAAGGGTAGTTGAGGACTGCTGGAAGTCGAGGATCCCTACTCTTAAGCTGGTCAGCTTTTTTTTACATATAACAAATCTAAGCTGAAGTATCGCATCCCGGATGCTTCATCGCCGATCAGTTATTTCAACTTCCAGTTTATTGCTAACCAGGATTGCTTGTTTCAACAAGATGACATCCAATTCATGTTGACACCATTAACCTAAAAAAACATGTGTACTTGCTTACAACTCCATTTTTTCAAACTTTCCTGATAGGGGAATCTTTTTATGTGCATTGCTGACAATTAGTGCTCCTTACATATTTCCCACCATGCAGTGCAATCTGCACTTTACTGACTATGATATGCTGCTAGAAACATTGCTTCCTCGCTTTTTCTCAGTTTCTTACGATATGCTTTTGATATCTTAGAAACATGAGGTTTACAACCAAAGACAAAGATAACGACGCTAGAACTGGCGGAAACTGTGCGTTAACCTATAAAGGTGGCTGGTGGTATAATGGCTGCCATAACGCCAATCCAAATGGTTTGTACAAAGGCGGAGGTAACGCACAGGGTATTACATGGAGTACATTTCGAGGACAAGGATATTCTTTAAAGCACACCGAGATCAAAATTCGACCAGCATGATTTCAGTTGTGGTAGTTGCGTCTTTAAGCCAACAGCAAACTGTAGCTCCTAATTAAGAATTAAAGATGTATGCTGTGCGTGGAGTTATAATTCTTAATTTAGTTTGTGATGATTGTAATATACAAGTTCGGTTAATGAGACATTTTGTTGGCAGATGGCGTGTTTTACTGTAGTCTTTAATGTAAAATGGCTTTTAATGCTCTCCTCAAGCGTCACATTTTGTCTGAAATGATTTTCATTGGATTTTTTGTTATGTCTGGGTTGAGAATAAATTTGAATGTCGCTAATTGTGCGATGGTCAATAATCGGACGGGTAAGTGAAGATAGCAGCTTAGAGAAAACTCGTCCATGTAACACTTAAATCAAGTTGTGCCAGATAAAAATCCTTATGGTAAAAACACTAAGAGAAGCTCTTTATATTGCAAAAGAGATTTTTTAAAAAAAAAAATATATCGTTGGTTAAAGATAGTGAAGTGCAGTTAAACCTAAGACTTATTTAATTATCTCACCACTTTTCCATCCACTTTATTTTTCATTTCATCGTTGCTAGCGATCACCGCTTGCAGCCGACTATGAATAATTTTAACACTGTTGATATGTCTCTATTTTATGATACCATCCTTCCGTAAGCGACCACTTCACATGAGCCGACCTCAGTACAGGTGCCCTTCGCGTAACAGGACGCTTTTTTTGGTCGGTGGTAAGATAAGATGTACCTTGTAGTGGGCTTAAGTAAGTGTATTACGGATTAATACTGTAGTGACTGTAGGATTCGCTCCTTATTAAGAATATTACAAGTTGTGAAATAATGTAGTCGATTCTGTGGGATTTTAACCTTCTTTCTGTCGTTTGATTAGGCCGCAACAGATGATAGGTTCATTTGTTTTCGTTAGGTGTAATTCTAGGAGCATTTTATTACGGTTACATGATGTTCCAAATCCCAGGGGGATGGTTAGCATTACGAGTGGGTGGAGCTCGTCTGTTCGGAGCTGCTGTCATGATCACCTTATTGCTTACTATGTTAACTCCCATGGCAATGCGCTGGAACCCCATCGCATTGATTGTATTAAGAATGTTAGATGGCTACGTGTTGGTGAGTTAAAAATAATAATAATGGTGACGATGATAACGATTGTAGTAAAAAAAGTGAAATAAGTACTAGTATTGTAAATGGTGCAGTTTAAAAAGAAATCGTTTTTTAGAAAATTTTCTTAAGCTTCGATGTAAAAGTAGTTAGCGACTTACGATTATATATTTCACCAGGGATAAAGTCTCATAAAACTGGGGCAATGTATAGGATTATAATTATTTAGGACTTACACTTAATTTCTTTACCAGGAATCTGTCATATAAACACAATAGCCCTTTACTGACACGAAAAGTCAACTTTTTTAATGAATGAAAATAAAAGGATTGATAATCCCCGAATAAAAATCGTAAAGTGCCTTGGCGCTAAGGCTCAAGATGAAAAAAATGCGTTGAAAAACTACAAAAATAAACAATGGGCGTAATTTTAATGTACAAGTTCTCAGTTATTGACTTGGTCCTTACGGACAGAAGAAATCTTTCAGGTACTCGGCCAAAATCGGCCTGTGGCAAATCTTCCAGTTGTCGATTTTCATTCTCAGCCGCGAGAAATGCCCTTACCAAAGCCACTGATTTCGTAACTTTCGGTTTTTCTTTCCTTACAAGTTTGGTTTCCTTTCCCTTCAAGGAAAGTTTGAACGTCTCTGTCAGTAAGCGATACGGATTTTTCAGTGTTTTAGCAGCCGTTATCCGAACAAATCCCGATAAACGACCTTGAATTGAGGATTGTGAAGGTTTTGCCGCTCATACATTAACCTGACCGAGAGGCACAATTGACACGATTGGAGCAATTCCTAAAATTAATTCCCCGAACACTTCGTGCAGCTGAACTTGTTTCGCGGCAAAACTGATATTCTGATCTTAATTTCATGACCCAAGCTGAAAAGACTTCTTCTAGCCTTCCAACTAACATTTTTTGGTTGGCTTGGTGAAAACTTTGGGGTTAATTTTAAATGATCTCTTGAGCATAAGTAAGAAAGATACACGTATAAACGCGAAAAATAACGTTAGCCTGGTTATTATTCCACCAGTATGTAGAGAGCACGCGGAATTTTCCAGGGTATTAAAGTGAAGAACTGGGAAAAAAATAAGGGGTAACAAAATGGCCGAACACAACGATCCAAACTTTGATTTTTTTCGCTAGTTTTTCGTGCCTTGACTTTTAGAGAAACGAACTTCTAAGCGTGACAGATTTTTTTCTTGGTGTCAAAGTACAATTTTGATGGTAAAAGCTAAGTTTTTCGTTTGTCTTGGGATGTAGTCACGTGTGATGTGGATCGCGACGTTTCTACTGCATATGGCTAGTCTTCTTCAGGCGATGAGGTCATGTGTGATCTTATAAAGCATGATGTTCTGCTGTGATTGGTTGTTTTTCAACAGCTCTGATTGGTGCATTTTGATCCTTGCTGATCGCTCAGTGATTTGCTCCCTCGGCAGTCCGCTGTCGTGCGGCTCTCCTGCTGTTGTGTTTTTTGATCGTGGGCATCCACGCTTCTGGAATTTCTATTCCACTATCCTGTTGATGTTGTTAGGGTGAAGTCTTATGTGAATTGCCTCCTTGACCCTGCGCGTGTAGTAATAAGTGTCACGGTCAGAAGAGCTGTTAACGGTATCCTTCAACAGGCGGAACCACCAAAGCCTAAAGAAGAAGACTAGCAGTATGCAGTCGAAGAAGACTAGCAGTATGCAATCGAAACGTCGCGATCTACATCACATGTGACTACATCGTGAGACGTCACACATAACTCGATTGAAGACCTGTCATCTTTCTTTTCTTTACTTCGTATTTCAATAAATAATTACCCCAAAATATAATTTTAAGTGTCTGCTACATTTCAACATGAACTTATAGAAAATAACCATGGAGAAAGATGTTTTGGACCAAAGGCGCGTTTTGGGTATAAAGACGCGTAAATCTTAAAGGGCATGTTAACCCAAAAATACATGTTTTTCTTATACTATGTAAAAAGTGGCGTAGAAAACGAATTTGAAATTAGTTTTGTCCAATTCGACTTATTTTAGGAGAAAATCGGCATTTTCAACTGAAATTCCATTTCCGGTAAAAACAATAGCGAGAAGTCGTGACGTAAGAGGTGGAACCAAAATATTGCGCAACACATATTCCACAGTAGAACTGGTGTGGGAGTTCGTGTAAGTAGCGGTAGTTCGGAAGATGTTTTTTCAGAAGATAGCGACTCGAATGCCTTAAGCTTAGTACATGACAGCGCTGGGGATAATCCAGAATCTTCAGGAGAGTCTGGGCCACGTCCTTAACAATATGAGCCGTGTAGGGTTCACCGAAGCGATCCGCACGAAGACAGTACAGAACATGTCGACAGCGATGCGACCTTCTCGGAAACTCAGACTGGTATTTAATTTACTTTGTGATTTATTTGTATTTAACATGAAAATGCAATAAAGCGAGGGTACAATCTAAAGGAATGCAACAGAATTTTTTTTAACTTGAGCTTCTGAAAGTGTTTTATATAAAATTATCAAAGGTGCGAGTGTGGAACTTGTCAACCAATGCCGACAACTCATGAAAGTGTTTGTTGTACGGAAATCGGGCAATTTTGGCAAAATGGCCTGAAACCCAGATAAGTTGTATCACTGAGCATCCAGGTTTTCAGTCAATTTGCCTCGATTTCTGGGTGCTGGAGACGGCCAAGTACGCGTACAGGCAGCAGCAAAGCACAGATAATCACACCGGAAACGACTAAGCTAAATATTTTCTGTTTCATCTGTTTTGTTACATTTTGAGATCGATTTACTTGAGTTGTTTCTGCCATTGATTTAATAATACAGTACTAGAGCTAGTTGTTTTTCGCTTCTTTCCTGACAGGAAATTTCGCTAAATTGCCTACAGATAGCTTGTTCGTTGGTGTTGGGGATATCTCGGCAAACACTTTAGGGTCGCTGTGCTATCTTGTGCGGTAAACAATATCCTTCATCTCAGAAGCATTTCCATCGATAAACAAGTTGTATCATGTACATTTCCTTGTGTGGCCTTCATAATTATCCAACCCTGTTTGTGTTTGCTTCGATTTGAAATATTGAAAAGATAGTTTTGCAAGCTGAAATCAGGATCTTTTAAGTTGTACTCAAAATGATGAATATTGTCCTACTGACCTTTGAATGTATTTTCACTGCTGTGAAAACCGTGACACAAATTCTTCTGCTGTTTCTCTGCAGGGTTTCTCAAAGGAAGCACCAAGTGGGGCTGGCTTGGATTTTCCTATAGAACATAAGGGTTGATTATGGGATCCTGTATAGATTTCTTTGTATCGAACCGACAAAATTCCAGATCACGTTATTACACACTGATATCAACGAATTCTCCTTCTTTGATACGTGTTTCGAATTCAGGCAAAGGTTCAGACATGTCAGTGTCTTTTACGGGCTCAGCGCTGGCTTCCGAACAACTGGCTCCCCCATAATATTTCATTAGATGAGAAAAAAGATGTTTTTAGAGAACCAATAAAGCTATTGTTGTTTAATTAACGAAACGTTTTCATGTAAATCGATTTTGTACTTTCTCTGTTGACCTCTAACTTTTGAAGAGCTCAACTTCTTTCTCAGTTCGGTCGGCCACTTCCGAATCCTCGTCGTCTGCCGACTGTATGGGTCGTTTTTATACTTCCGAATAATTTGCTTCTGGTGAGGCCTGAATCGTCGGTACAGCACCAGGAAGAAAAATGACTGTTACAAACAACAGAACGTTCTAACGGCTCTACGAAATTGGCTATTTTCACTTGAACAAATTTCACAAATTGTCGCTTCAAATTTGCGTCATTTGGAAATATTTGCATTGTATGCCCAGTTTTGTTTGAATCAGTACAAAACTGGACGACACAACGCTTCACCATTACGAAAAATAACTCTGTTACAAATTGAGATAGGAGGATTCCTTCTGCAGTTTTTTTTTTTAATATTTCGGACCTTGTTCTTTTGTTGAAGATTGCTCAATGTTTATCTAACGCAAAATGGCTGTTAATGCTCTCCCCAAGCGTTACGTTTTGTCTGGAATGATTTTCATTGGATTCTTTGTTATGTCTGGGTTGAGAGGAAATTTGAACGTCGCTGTTGGTGCGATGGTCAATAATCACACGGTTGTGGTGGATGGAGAGATATTCTGCAGGGTAAATGAAGATAGTACCTTAGAGAAAACTCGTCCACGTAACACTTAACACTTAAATCAAATTGTGCCAGATAAAAATCCTTATGATAAAAACACCAAGAGAAGCTCATAATATCGGAAAAAATCAGGGTCAACCTCAATACAGATGCCCTTCGCTTGACAGGACGTTTTAAAAGCCACTGACAAATGTCGGAATACTTCGTGTTTGTTTTTTGAAAGTGACTTACCAAGAGACACTTCTATTGCAAAACTTTTTACTTTTAAGATTGCCATGTATCGTAGTTATTCTTTTGGTTAAAACATGTTTTCATGACATAACTAATGGGTTTAACGTTGTATTTCTAAAGAGATCAAATTCGTAAACATATATTATCCTCCAAAGAAAAGAAATTCTATAAGTAGCGCTTAATTGGCAGTAACATTTTATCAAAAAACTGTCCCCAGCTTTATGTGTTTAAATTGTTACTCCATGTTTTGATTCAGAATTGTTTGCTTAACTTAATTAGCTGCGCTTTTTTCTGACGAGGTGTAAATGGGCGCCAGGAAGTAAGCTGCCATCATCACGATTTAAAGGAGCGTGGGCGGAGTTGGTATGCCAGGCTTCCAAACAAAGGCAGTGGTGGTAGCGCCCATTAGTGGTGATAATTTTTAGACCTATCTCACCCAATTGCATGGCTGGTTAGGCATGTGTGCTCCGATAAAGCTGAATTTTCTTTTTTGCAAAAGAAGACCCCTTTTTTTGATGCTCTTTCAAACGTGTACCGAACTGACGTTTAGTCTGTCCGATATACTCGTTATCACAGTCATTGCACGGAATAGTCTGTTCTACAGACGTTAGCATTTATAACCAGACAGTACATAGACAAGAAGCTTATCTTACAACCAAAGAGGTCCGTAAAGAGTTTCTATGCTGCATTGCTAAAACTAAATCGTGGCGTCAAGATCCTAGCGGGAAATATTCATATGATCGCCGTCTGACTGGGAAACTATTCACAGTTTTGCGTACATTCGATGGCTTTGTTGATAACATGTGCTAGAATATAACTGTGAAGATAAATACATGGAAATTCATTAAATGCTAAGACATGTTGACTTGCATACCATGGAAGTTTCCGGAACATTTTATCAGGTCACGAAATCATGATGTAATACTACCATAATAGTTGTTGTAAGCCTGCAGAATGTTTTAAAATTCTTTGTAAAAGTAGTTATTAGCTTTGTCGGGAGTGACTGATCGTTTGGAAAGCTATACCGGGGGAAAGCTTAAAATTTAGAAATAAATCAACTATTATAGTAACCTTTCGTAAAACTGTTCGGGAACTGAACAAGGTTTAGATAAATCTTTATATATGGGTAATGTTTCTTTAAGTCACTCTTCCAATTTTTTAAAAAATTTTTTTTATCCTTCAATAAGATGGTCTAAATACGCCGTGTCTTGAAATCGCGAAAAGGTGTGGATTTTGGGAAACAATTTTCCAGACTTGGCAAAACTATAGAAAATAAAGACGAATCCTTACAAAGCAAACAAACAAACAAGCAAAAAATTGGAACTGAGTGTGGTTAGACACTAACGGTGGCAAGTGCAAAACTTGAATTTCACATTAATCAATAAATTGTGGGGGTATTGCCGCCGTAGACATCTTTTTTACATATTATAAGCCAGTTGTAGCGTATATCAGAAAAAAACAAATTATAAGCCATCAATCATTTGATTACTTTCACAAGAACCAGTTCCACAGGAAATCAATCCATTGTCAAGTTGTGAGGTAATCGAATAAAGATTTGTATCTAATTCTTCGAATGTGAAGAATTTGAAAACGATTCATAAAGTATAGCTTACACTAATCACTCACATATCAAGAGATTGTCGAGTGACAGACATGCTCGTTTTTTAACATATCAGCAAAAGTATGAACATCGATTTTTTTCACCTTTTAGTTTGATGAGTTTTCAACTAATGATTAAGATGATCAAGAGCTTTGTAATTTGTTATCTGAGGCCAAATGGTTCCGGGAATGATAAAATGGAAGAAATTATAAACACGAATGAGAACAACATGGACAAAAATTGTCTCAAGAAGTAAACAAGATGTAAAAGACATCATTCGTTGTGTCGCGCAGCATCAAGTTGGTGATTGTGACAACGATAATGACTTGGATGATGAGCTTCAGATTCCCGAGCATGGTTTTAATAATAAGGGTGCAGTTTCACATGCAAAAAACCTCAAGGATCCCAGCAAGTATATCTTACAATCATGTCACGATAATGACAATTACACGAATGAAGTACTGAAGTTATTACATGAGGAAAGCAACCAAACCAAATTTAGCAAAACGTCTGCAATGGACCTTTCATCGAACTATGTGATTTTCCAGGATGAAACACAAGCCATGATGAATGGAAAATGTATGCGCAGTGAGGCGATGTCGTCCTGTAGAGCCCTGACTTTAAAGTCGGTTTGGACTAGTATTTTCAAAATACTTAAACGAGTAATGAACAGTGTGGCACTGAAATATATCAGTTCTCAAGTTATTGATAAGCTGGTTTTGATGGAAAAGAAACCAGATGATTAAACTTCATAGCAAAGGATAGCTTTTCTCAGGCATTCAGCCAGTAAAACGAAGACCTATTACGGTGCGAAAGTAGCGGAGGAGCAAAAACAAAAAAAAAAAAGAAAACCAATGAGGAGTTGAATGCAGTCGTTGATCTTCACCTGATAAATGATGCCTGATGCCATCGAATTTTGACCTTGCTATATTCCTGGATAATATAAACAAAAACATGAGTAAAATGGCCAGCATTTTGGCCGTTATGATAGCTAAACAGAAAACAATTTAAGTCTCCACGCTAATGGTGACGAGCTAGACGACGAAAATGATATTCAAACGCTCACCGAGTGTTCAAAGGCCAACGGCCAAAAAGAGTGGGAAACGTCCGCAAAGTTAACAAAACTCCTTCAAGATTTTGCCAATAGTTATCTCTCAAGGAACTTACTTTAAATCTGACCATGCTACTCTCATGCTACTCTATCTTACAACTGGGCAGAGAGGACAGACCATACCCAGGGTGGATTTCAGCTACATTTAAGAAATGGACGACAGATACCGAATAACGATATACGAAAAATGGAAGCAGACTAAACTTGGAAGACATTAAGAACCCATTGATTTAGGATCAAACAGGTTGATGTGGGATCGTGCTTGTTTTACATCAGTGGGCGAACAAGCAAAGACGATAGGGGGAGCGATCTCGCAATCGGCCGATATGCCCATACAACATATGGTGCTCTCAGGCCGAGAAATTGCAGAAATGTCTGTCATGACGAAATTCTAATGTTTTCCAGTTCGTTAAGTGTAATGAATTCCATTTCTTTAATATGCAAAATGTAAAACCGTATATGTCTTGAGCTTCTTCTTGCATGTAAAATCGATTAAAGGCATTCAACTCTCAAGACCAAACAAAAAAATCCGTTATTGACGTTTGAAAATGTAAATGTTTCTCATTACAAATTTTAGAGCGCCTGCGAAGATTATCCATGCAAAGAAAACGAAAAATTTTTGGCAAGCGAAAAATCCAAGACACCCTCCTGTAAGTGTATCAGAGGTAAGTGAACCCGGTGTTATTTTGTAGTTTGTCAGCCATGAAATAATGTTCTTTAGGAGAATTGTAATAAAGTAGCTCTAGAAAAAGAGAGTTTCGAAAAGATGTGAGGACAATATATGACACAACCAGTTTTTGCTTTGCTGGTAATCATTACGACAGACAATATATATATTTCTCACATAAACGGCGGTGTTATACAGGGATTTCCGGCAATGAGAAAAGCCGTAACAACACGCGTGAAAAAATATCGTATTTTTTCACGTGTGTTGATATACCCAATCAGCTTGCCGCATCTGGTGCTAATCCACCCGTTTCACCTGTCCTCGGCATTTTCAAAGGGCCCGGCATGTTCCCCTCCAAGGGTTTTTTTGTCTTTCCTCAAACGGATCTCCACTTACCTCCAATACACTTATAAAAATGAGTGTTTGATTTGTAGTCAACAACAAAAGTTTCATTCTCCTTGCGAGGATCATCTTCTTCGTAGGTACTCTAAATATTAAAGAAAGAAAATCGGTATGCAGAGATATCAAAAGGTGATAGCAGCCTTTTTCGTTTAAGAAGGCTCGATATGATCGCACAATTATATTGTTATCTGAAAAGGTGAGTTAAAAAATGTTTAGCAGTTTTTATGTGATGGAATCTAGGGTTTCCAGCAACCGTAATATTTATACGCCCTCTGAAAAGGAGGTCAACCGAAAAGAAAACATCGTGGGATAGATTGCCAAAAGGCGACAGATCGCGACAGATTCGAAAGTTTACGCATACTCAGATACAGATCTTGGCGAGGTTCTATTCCATTACGTGATGTTTTACAACAAAGAAAATAGGGATCTCTCGAGCAAGATTTATCACGTTTCCATCGGTGGAATTTCCTATGATTTGCTGGACCGTAAAACATATTTGTGCCCTTCTAGTGTCTGTTGATAACAAAAATTTATAAGACCAATCTTGAGATAGAGGAAGAAAACACTAAATTGCAAATGGCGGGAAAATTGCCTTTGTAACCCCTTATTTTTTTTTTTTTTTTTTCTCACAAATTGTGAAAATTTTGAGAGATTTCATCGAAGCAAATTGAAGAAAATCACTGGCAAAGCCAAATTATTACTGGCGAGCGCCTCCTTTCGTGGAGCCTCAGCTCAATAACGAAAATCATTTCGATAATATTTACTACAGCGAACGATATGCCAAACCTTTCTCATTGCCCTTTTGGTGGCATTTAGTGACCTAGAAGGGCAGAAACATAAAAAATTACTAGAAAAACAATACACTGGCGCGCGCGCTAATGGAGAGCAAAAACTTTATGGAGTCTCAGTCATAAATAACTAAAAACGTACTGCCTCTTGTCGGTTATGTATTAAATTTTAAAAGAAAGAAACTCATAACATAAACAGTTTTTGTTTTGAATAGTCCTAAAACGAAATCATTCCTCTTTATTTCTAGATTAATTTCTACGTTGGCTTTTTCTGTGTTATTCCTAACTACATTTCATCAACCTTAAGTCTTTAAAGGAAATTTATACAAGATTATGATTCATCTTAAGGAAGATTCATTTCACGAACGGATGCCTTAGTGAGGAGTTCTCGTTTTTTCTCTGGCGAGAACCTCTGCGGTCTTCATAACAGGTGCTTCTCGGCACCGATAACTCTAGAAAGATACTGTATTCTTTGGAATCAGTTGACTCAATTGAGAGGCGAAACAACTTAAAATAAAACCTGATAAAACCCCGTAGAAACATGAAATATTTCAAAAGGCTAGAGCTTCAAGTGTTTTATCGTGTTATCATCATTTCAAATTCCCAAGCTTTCCAAGCCCAGTATGTGCCCTCGAGACCCAGTGACTTCCATTCGACGTTACTTGCATTGCAGCAGCACACTGACCGCTCAAGTACATTGCATTCCTTTTCATGAAATCATCTGGTACGGAAGCATTTATTTCTAATGGTAAAATTTCCCTGAAACAAGAGATTTCGCCCAGTAATTAGGGGAGGGTATTTCTATTCTGTAATTGATGTGACGATAGTTTTTCGCTCACTACACTGGAATTTTCGAAAAAAAAGGGAAACGAGGGGGAATTAGCTCGCTGGAGGCCACTCAGCTTGCGAGAACGGAAACTCGTCACGGTTTCCTGGCACACGGAGATCTGCTTCGAGTGAGCTTGTACGGACGTCAAGGAAGAGACAGCGTTTTGGGTCCACAGTAGGTTTTTATTCTAGGTCAGGCCAACAAGTGACATGACCTCTAGCATACTCAAGTTTGTAATCATCAAAGCTGTACAAGGACTTGCTTAAGAACTAACTGGTGTGAGGTGCTATTGTTACACAGATCGCAATATTTGAATAGACACAAAGGAGCGGGAAAAGATCTCTTTGAAGTTAAACGAAAACTACTTAAGAGAGTGTCTCTGTAAGAGCGGTCCGGTCGATTTTGCTTGAGACACGGATTTCGCTCGTTTCTTGTGTGTTGTAAGACATTCATGTACCTATACTAAAACAACAATCAGTTTGATCGGATCTCTTTATTTTTCAAAGTTTTACGGAAATTAAATTTCACTCGAGCAAAGGCTTGCCGTGACACTTTTTAAGACTTTAATTTCATACAACTTTGGAGGACAATTTACAAAAAACTACGGAACTCAGCAAAAAACAAATACCACAGCCATGTATATTAACTTTATCTTATCTATCGAGGCGACTTTCGTAAATATCACTTTTCAATCAAGGAAACAGGAAGACTTGAATGACACCTTATCCGTTCGCCTAGATCACAAACGCCAAAACCGATCAGATTCAAGGTAAATTTTTGAAAAAGTGAGGCGTTCTAAACTGATCCAACTAACATAGCTAGGAAGTAGGTACCATAGAAAAGGTAATTACAGAAAAAAACTTTGCGGCCTGACCTTTACGAGAACTTTATAACTCCGTGAACTTACCTAACTTTCGGTAATCTACAAGTTTGGGCGCCATTTTGAGGGACTTGTCAACATGAAGCGTAACCGATATAAATCAAGCAGGTAGATCTAAAACCGTCAGAAATACATACGAAAGCAATTCAAATGAACTTTAATATTAATTCAAGCAGCAAAATTTGAAACTGTTCGTTAAACTTACCATCCCCATGCGACCATTTCTTCCAACAATTCAAACACTACGACTAGTGTTCCAATTTCCCTCGTCGATTCCACCGTAAGAAATAACCTGTGCCACCCAAGCTTCGACTCGAATGTGAAGTACAAATCAAATAACACAACTGCTTCATCTTCGCGGCAATATCACGCTGGTATTTTGATTTTCTGATCGACAAGCAAGGTGATCAGGAATCGATCGGTATGTTTACCTCATAAACGTGACCGCTGACCAGTCGCTGAGTGAAAACAGTATAGCGCGGGGTGGGGTGGGTGGCGGGCTTATCGTCATAAGATATTCGAATACATACTTAAAAAGCTTTAGGACTATCAGTCTAAACAGTGAAGGCATGCTTCGTGCTACAGACAACTTTCATTTTATTCTCATAACTTTCTCCTTTAAATTAGAGCTGGTATTAATTAATAGAGTTATCAATATATTTTTAACCGGGGTACCCATATAACCTTTTTGCCTGTCATCTGTGGTGTAAAATAAAGTGTATTTTCCACCAGAACCTTTTATTTATGCCCCATTGCACGGAATGAACACTGTTCTTAGAATGTTTGTACTAAGTAATTTTTGCTGCTTCCAGGAATGTGTGCAAAATGATAGAGATTTGATTCATTCCACTGACACGTTCTTTTAAGTTATGGCGCGTGCAGGTTTTTCCTATCAAAAGTCGCGCGTGCAACATACCGGAATTGAAAATTCGTCGTAAAATCGCACGAACCTTAGAAGGAGTGTAGGCAACTTTGACTTCTGGCGAGATGAAGTGGATGGTTCAAAGGGCCCCCTGAGATTTTTTTCAGGACTATAAGTGAGATTTGTTTATAACTATAATAATCGTCCTCAATAGCGGACGGTGCTTTTTACCCATTGTTGTCATCATTATCGTTATCACGCCGGAAGAAGTATAAAGCCGGCATGTCGCCTTACCTAACTGGAAATTGTTCTCTCTTTTGCTCCCCTTGGATCCTGGAAACTGTTACTATTAGGACGATCAAAAAGAAAGCCTTTATAATTATTGAAACTTTTGATTAACAGAATGTAAGAAAAATCAGTGGGGAGAGTTATTCGTGTATCTTATAACCTAAACGATATTTTTCAATAAAACAAATACCCCTTAATTCAATTTACCTTAGTTGTCTCGTGTTTAAAAGTGGCGTTTCTGGGGACCGTAGATTCTTCTCTGATTCTTCTTGTCTCAGCCAAGACTCACTATCATCAACTTTTTTCTTGTGCCTCTTACGGCATGGGACACAGAGAGCTGAGGTAAGCGATTGAAAATTTTTCAGTTAAAGTAAAGCCCAGTAGCATCCATCAGGAATTGAAAACCGTAATGCACTGTTTACTTTTATTATTCTTAATCAAATAAGGGGTGTTTAAGTCTGCAAATTTAATCATACTGGTTAATGAGAATCATACAAACTGAGGAAAACTGACCGCAAATAATTGTGAACCGTACGCATGAATAAGTGTGTTGCGTTGTCAGGTGATTTAACCTTCTACAAAAACATTATTGATTATCAACCAAGCAACATTGTACATATTTCCATCTGCAATTAAAAGCACTTACACATAGATCTTACACATAGATTTTTTCAACGTGATGTGTACTTAAGTACCCTTCATCTAATAAAGAATTTCTTCTCTTTGCAAGCAAATATGTCCCGTGACAAAAATATACAACAGAAAATGTTACTGAAGACTACCTGATTCAACTGGAATAATAACTCCAAACAGCTTTTGAATGTCCTGAGACATATGCTAGTTAATTACATCTCTGCCTTGGATACGCTTCCTGACACCATCATGATCAGGATACTGACATGTTACCTTTGCACTTCTCCAAAACTTCCCCAAAGTGTGGCGATACTTATAGAAAATCCACATTTTTTTTGTCTATCCTCCTGAGCGAGGTGAAATAGGCCAATCCTTTCCAAGATTAGCTCATTTTCACTTAAGACCTCTTTAGACAGGTGGCAGCTTATCAAATGATGTTTTACTTCGTCATTGCATTCAGACAGTCGTACCAAACCACTTAAGCCACGCGATCAACCAAAGTTTTTTCCACCTTTGCTATTCAAAAAGCAGTCCTGAGACATAATGAACGTCTCGCTAGCGAACGACTTCTTCCTGTACTTGTAATTGTTTCCAACACGATACAAGTTCGGGAGATCTAAAGGAACTCACTATAACTTTGTATACTCGATACGATTTCAATTTCCGCGTCAAAGGAGAAGCCTACTGTGGTCAGTGGTTACGCTCGTGCGGTAAAGAATGGGTTTGTGACTTTCTTACTCAATTGAAAGACTCGCGTTACTCTTATGAAATGGCAGAACGGAATACAGACTTAGAGCAGTCTCTTATTTTTCTTAAAGATAGTGAGGTCACGCGTATCCTGTGAGCATGGAGAAGCCGCGAGACGCGAGACTCGTGTCTCGCGTCTTTGCCGCTCCACGCTCTCAGAGTTGGGCGAAGACAAGACACGTTATTTCTGGTGCGATACAAGAGGTTCAATGGTTATCACGATTATCTAAACACATTTATTTACGTGGTGAAGATTTGTTTGTAAATCTATGAATTGATGCTAGTCCTATTTGGAACGAAATGTATTTGAAAGAAAAAAAGAATACTAAGTAATACAAAAGTTGTCTGGAACACGAAGCATGCCTTCACATTAAGACTGACAGTCCTAATGTTTGTCATGATACTTTAATGCATATGTTCGAATGTTCCCAAAAATCTTCTGATAATCTGCCCGCACCCACCCCTCACCCCGCCCTCACCACTGAACCGTACTGTTTTCTCTCAGCGGCTGGTGAGCGAGCACGTTTATGAAGTAAACATGGCGATCGCTACCTGATCACCGTTCTTGTCGATCCGAATGTCAAAATACCAGCGTGATATTGCCGCGAAGATGAAGCAGTTATGTTATTTGATTCGTATTTCACATTTGAGTCGAAGCTTGGGTGGCACAGGTTATTTCTTACGGTGGAATCGACGAGGGAAATTGGAACACTAGTCGTAGTGTTTGAATTGTTGGAAGAAATGGTCGCATGGGGATGGTAAGTTTAACGAACAGTTTCAAATTTTGCTGCTTGAATTAATATTAAAGTTCATTTGAATTGCTTTCGTATGTATTTCTGACGGTTTTAGATCTACCTGCTTGATTTATATCGGTTACGCTTCATGTTGACAAGTCCCTCAAAATGGCGCCCAAACTTGTAGATTACCGAAAGTTAGGTAAGTTCACGGAGTTATAAAGTTCTCGTAAAGGTCAGGCCGCAAAAGTTTTTTTGTAATTACCTTTTCTATGGTACCTACTTCCTAGCTATGTTAGTTGGATCAGTTTAGAACGCCTCACTTTTTCAAAAATTTACCTTGAATCTGATCGGTTTTGGCGTTTGTGATCTAGGCGAACGGATAAGGTGTCATTCAAGTCTTCCTGTTTCCTTGATTGAAAAGCGATATTTACGAAAGTCGCCTCGATAGATAAGATAAAGTTAATATACATGGCTGTGGTATTTGTTTTTTGCTGAGTTCCGTAGTTTTTTGTAAATTGTCCTCCAAAGTTGTATGAAATTAAAGTCTTAAAAAGTGTCACGGCAAGCCTTTGCTCGAGTGAAATTTAATTTCCGTAAAACTCTGAAAAATAAAGAGATCCGATCAAACTGATTGTTGTTTTAGTATAGGTACATGAATGTCTTACAACACACAAGAAACGAGCGAAATCCGTGTCTCAAGCAAAATCGACCGGACCGCTCTTACAGAGACACTCTCTTAAATATTCCATCTGTTTCTACGACGTAAAGAATCTCAAAATTAAAAAGACGAATGCCATAAACTCGAGGCCATTAAGGTAGGAAACTTAGATGCCAATTCACAGCTCTGATATAAAAAACAATACCTATCTTAATTGCAGTAGCGCAGCTTAGGAGATAAAAACGGAAAAGCAATAAAAAGTTTCTGCTTATCTATGCAAGGTTGGATTGGAAACCATCGTATAAAAAGAAATTAAAGTTACGAGTATAAACTCAGCTTCTAACTACCATGAAAACCAATTTTTCCAGAAAGACCATTAACACTTATATTTACCTAAAAAACCATGTAATAATTAACAAAAGTGCCGCCATGCAGGTGCATAATGAAAGCGAGTAACAAGCAAAATCTATTCTAAAAGCTACTGTGGTTTTTATACATTTTTTTGATTTATTAAAATGAAAGGACTTGAAATGGTTAAATGTGAAAGTTTTCGAATAAATATGTTCCGAATAACACACACGGGAAAATCAGTAAATTTTCCCGTAACACTGATTATTCATAACAGCTGTCCGTTCTACCTAAGATATGATGATTATGATAATAATGATTATAGAGGATTATTTACAACTTCTCAATCAGCGTATTCTTCGTGTCGTCAAAGAGACGGATAGGGATACCACAAATTATAGGACGGTTTCCTTTTATTAAATTAGTTAATTTAGCGGAAGAGCTGAACGCTCTGTCAGGGGTATTATGATTATAATAATAATGATGATAAATGTTTATATACAACGCCTCCCGAGTGCATTCTTCGCGTGTTAGGCGCGTAAAAGAAATTGTTGCAAAGTTTCACCCGCTAACCTAGCTAGGTCGCAGCTCAAAGTCAAAGAAATTTCCACATCAGTTCACGTGAAAAGCTTTCCATGGAGAATGAACATGTATCTGTGGATATTTAATCTCGTCTGTTCAGCTGTGTATGGCATAAGCCGTATTTCAGAGCCAAATTTGAAAGCGGTTAACTTTGCCAAAAAGTTAGAAGGAAAAAAGCTGAACGGAAGCCTGATAAAAGAAATAGAAGTTTATTCGGAAAGTTCTTGTCGGTTTGAGTGTGTGAATGAAGAGCGATGTCAATCCTACAACTTTGGAACCTTAGAGGGCGACTCAGGGAGATTCAAATGTCAGCTAAGCGACTCGGATCGATTTGCTGGATTTTCTAACTTTACCGAGGACGAACATTTTATTTACAGAGGAATAAAGGTAAGCTTAATCTCTTTTAGTGTATCAAGAACTACTTGCGGCTCCATGTTTGAATCTTATCTCTAAAATCGAAGCTGGATCTCTTTTAATGTTTTCTAACTGGTATACACCAACCTTACTCTACCTAACATATGTCACCAAAGTTTTCTAAGAATCTTGCGGTAACCTGGTGAAATTTGCCGATGTTTACGTCAGGGAAAGAAGCTTGCATTGGTAGGGCCGTGATAACCAAAAAAAATGAGACCTTGACAAAAAGTACTAAAACTATTTTAAGGAAATAATTTTTGCAACGAAGAGCCAGTAATCGAGTTTTTACAATAGGGGAAATAAACCTGGCTTTATATTTGACATAAATATTGCTGATCAAGATTCCAGTGTTTTCCCATCCGTACATCAATCGATTTATGGAAGTTTCGTCCCGTCACAAGTTCTCCCCCTTAAAGCAAACAAGTTCACCCCAAATCTTTCAGCGCTTAGTTTTAAAGCAAGCCAAGCTTTCTAATTCATAAAATATTCTGCCGTCGTCACAGGCGGCCCAAGCTCCAGCTGTGAGATAATCATCTTGCGCAATAACAGTCATGGCGGAATTATAAGAGTTGGTATGGGCATATTTACGACCGCCCTCAGGAATTAAAAAAAATACGTCAAATTCTCAAAAAAAAAACCGCACCTTACTTCCACAGTGTATCATTTGTAATCTGACCGCTTACTTTGATGAAAAGAGCCCATTTTAGCGAGTTGTTCCTTTCGAGGTTTTCAACGTACATAAGAAAAGCCCAAGGCTGAACATTCCATTTCCGAACGCCTGATCCGAGAAGCGAAAAATCCAAGCTCAAAATTACCGGGCGACCACAAATTCAACGCAGAATCCAAGCAAATATACTGTAGTTTCATTTAAATTCACTAAAAACTCAATCTTCCCCGCGCAACCGACACTAAGCCGACAGCTAGCCCCAGTTAACTACTCGACATGAATAGAGCAATTGCTAACAATTCGTGTGGCTAAACTTTGCTAGCGGCAAAACTGATATTCTGATCTCGATTTCATGACCAAAGTTTGTCTAGCCGCCATGTTTGTTATGCATGTTGACACTTTTTAAACTCGCGCTATGTTCGCACCCAGATTTCGCGCGGTCAAAAAACCCCATGGAGCCCTCTTAAACGAAAAAGTCTTCTATCATCCTTTTGATATCTCTTTGTATAATGATTTTCTTTCTTTAATTTTTAGAGCACCTGCGAGGAAGACGATCCTTGCAAGGAGAGTGAAACTTGTGCTGTTGACTACAAATCAAACACTCATTTTTGTAAGTGTATTAGAGGTAAGTGGAGATCTGTTCGGGGAAAGACAAAAAATACTCTAGGAGAGGGATATACTTAAAATGCCAAGACAGATAAAACGGGTAGATTAGCACCAGCTGAGGCAAGGGTACGAAAGGTCAAGGATGTAACGTCCATGACAAAAATATCTAAAAAGAGAGAGAGAGAGAGAGAGAGAGAGAGAGAGAGAGAGAGAGAGAGAGAGAGAGAGAGAGAGAGAGAGAGAGAGAGAGAGATAGAATAAATATTTTTTGTTATCGTCAAAGCGTTTTACTTTTTTTCGTTATTTCTAGATTGCCCGGCCAAGAACTGTCTAGATTATTATCAAAATGGTTCCAAAATCGACGGTGTGTACTGGGTTTACCCTGATGAAGAACACCCCTTTCAAGTGCTGTGTGACATGACAACTGATGGCGGAGGATGGACCACCTTTCAAAGGCGCATGAATGGCTCCGTAGACTTTTATGTCGACTGGGAATCATACAAAAAGGGCTTTGGAAATCTGGAAGGCGAGTTTTGGCTCGGAAACGATTATCTTCACCGTCTGACTGCGTCTGCTAACATGGTGTTTCGAATTGATATGGAGGATTACGAAGGCGACCGACGATTTGCCGAGTACACTACTTTCGCTGTGGCCGATGAAAGCGATGATTATCGGGTGACAATCGATGGATACCGAGGCACCGCTGGCGATGCATTGGTTTCCCTTGATAGGCCCATCAGGTTTGTTGCATTGCAGCTTTTTGTACTTTGCTCTAGGAATGACCAGTAATATAAGGGTAATTTCTGAAAAGCTCCTGCCCAAGAATTTGGAAATACGTTGAGGACTGCTGGAAGTCGAGGATCCCAATTCTTAGGCTGATCAGCTTTTTTCTTCTAATGACAAATCTAAGCTAAAGTATTGCATCATCGCCGATCAGATTTTTCAACTTCCCGTTTATTGCTAACTAGGATTGCTTCTTTCATAAAGATGACATCAATTTCATGTTGACGCTATTAACCTAAAAAACATGTGTACTTGCTTACAATTCCTTTTTCTCAAACTTTCCTGAAAGGGAATCTTTTTATGTGCACTGCTGACAATTAGTGCTTCTTACGTATTTCCAACCATGCAGTGCCATCTGCTTTTTACTGACTATGATATGCTGCTAGAAGCATTGCTTTCTCGCTTTTTCTCAGTTTCTCACGAAATGCTTTTGATATCTTAGAAATATGAGGTTTACAACCAAAGACAAAGATAACGACGTTAAAATCAGCGGAAACTGTGCGTTAGACTATAAAGGTGGCTGGTGGTACAACTACTGCCATAACGCCAATCCAAATGGTTTGTACAAAGGCGGAGGTGACGCACAAGGTATTACATGGCAGTCATTTCGAGGACAAGGATATTCTTTAAAGCACACCGAGATCAAAATTCGACCAGCGTGATTTCAATTGAAGTAGTTGCGTCTTTAAGCCAACAGCAAACTGTAGCTTCTGATTAATAATTAAAGATGTTTGTTGTGCGGGAGTTATAATTCTTAATTTAGTTTGTGATGATTGTAATATATGAGTTCGGTTAATGAGATATTTTGCTGGCAGATGGGCGTTTAGCTGTAGCCTTTCAACGCTCCTAGTGGTGATAAACCTTCTTATTTTGTTTGTGAAATAGTTTCATTGATTTATCTACGTATATAAAGCCCTTTTTCTGTCTTTGAATATATGTCGCTCCTTCATTGAGAGAAAGGCACTTTTAATTCGTATTGTAAAAACGTTACTTATTTCGTCAGTGGAGACTTTCATACATATTGATGATGGGCTTAATTGCAATTAAACGTGTCAATGTCTCAAAGATTGTCTAATGGAGAAGTTATTTCGTAACTGACGCTGGCTTACAGACGCACTTAAAATAAACATCAGCAGAGCGTTGCAAAATATCTCCCGTCAACTCGATGAAAAGAGACCTGCGATAATTTACTCGTGTTTCATCTTTTCTCTGATACGTCGCACATTACTCAATTGAAGACCTGTCAACTTTCTTTTCTTTACTGCGTCTTTCAATAAATAGTTACCTCAAAGACCACGAGACATTCGCTTAAACCGTGAACTCCCTTAGATGGTGCCAAGCTGAATTATGGCCAACAGATGGAAAAAGATGCGTAAATCTTAGTCTGTTACAAATCGAGATAGGAGGGTTCTTCCCTACTGTCTTTTTATTATTTGTGTTCCTGCTTATCGAAGATTGCTTAATGTTTATCTAATGTAAAATGGTTGTTATTGCTCTCCCCAAGCGTTACATTTTGTCTGAAATAATTTTCATTGGATTCTTTGTTATGTCTGGGTTGAAAGTAAATTTGAATGTCGCTATTGGTGCGGTGGTCAATAATCGCACGGGTAAGTGAAGATAGCAGCTTAGAGAAAACTCATCCATGTAACACTTAAATCAAATTGTGCCAGATAAAAATGCTTATGGTAAGAACACCAAGAGACTCTCATTGTATTGGAAAAGGGTAAATTTAAAAATATATACATATATATATCGTTGGTTAACGATAGTGAAGGGCAGTGAAACCTAACTTCAGCTAATTATCTCACCACTTTTCCATCCATTATACTTTCCATTTCATTGTTGCTAGCGATAACCGCTTGCAGCCGACCATAACTAATTTTAGCGCTATTGGTTTGTCTCTATTTTATGATTCCATTCTTCCGTACGCGACCACTTCACATGGGTCGACCTCAGCACAGGTGCCCTTCGCGTAACGGGACGTTTTTTTCGGTCGGTGATAAGCTGAGGTATACCTTGTGGTGGGCTTAAGTAAGTGTGTTACGGATTAATACTGTACTGACTGTAGGATTCGCTCCTTATTAAGAATATAACAAGTTGTGAAATAAAGTAGTCGATTCTGTGGGATTTTTATCTTCTTTTTGTCGTTTGATTAGGCCGCAACAGATGATAGCTTCATTTGTTTTCGCTAGGTGTAATTCTAGGAGCATTAGGTGTTCCAAATCCCAAGGGAATGGTTAGCATTATCACGAGTGGGTGGAGCTCTTCTGTTGGGAGTTTCTGTCATAATTGCCCTATTGTTTACTATGTTCACTCAGCCTTGATTGTATTAAGAATATTAGAGGGCCTCGTGTTGGTGAGTTAAAATAATAGTAATGATAACAATGATAACGATTGTAGTAAAAAAGGTGAAATTAATACTTGTATTTTAAATGGTGCAGTTGAAAAATAAAATCTTTTTTTTGTAAAAGTAGTTAGCGACTTACGATTATTTATTTCACTAGGGATAAAGTCTCATAAAACTGGGGCAATGTATAGGATTATAATTATATAGGACTGACACTCAATTTCTTTACCAGGAATCTGTCATATAAACACAGTAGCCTTTTACTGACAAGAAAACTTAACTTTTTTAAGTAATGAAAATAAAAGGATCGATAATCCCCGAATAAAAATCGTAAAGTGCTTTGGCGCTAACGCTCAAGATAAAAAAAAAAAAAAAAAAAACGCGTTGAAAAACTACAAAAACAAACAATGGGCGTAATTTTAATATAAAAATTCTCAGTCATTGACTTGGTCCTTACGGACAGAAGAAATCTTTCAGATACTCGGCCAAAATCGGCCTGTGGCAAATCTTCCAGTTCTCGATTTTCGTTCTCAGCCGTGGGAAATGCCATTACCAAGGCCACTGATTTCGTAACTTTCGGTTTTTCTTTCCGTACATGTTTGGTTTTCTTTCCCCTCAAGGAAAGTTTTAACGTCACTGTCAGTAAGCGATACGGAGTTTTCAGTGTTTTAGCAACCATAATCCGAACAAATCCCGATAAAAGACCTTGGATTGAGGATGGTGAAGGCTTTGCCGCTCATGCATCAACCTGACCGACAGGCGCAATGGACACGAATGAAGTAATTCCTAAAATTAATTCCTCGTCTGGCTGAACTTGTTTAGCGGCAAAACGAATATTATGATCTTAATTCCATAATCCAAGCTAAAAAAACTTCTTTTAACCTTCCAACAAACATTTTTTGGTTGGCTTGGTGAAAACTTAAGAGTTAATATTAAATGATTTCTTGATCAGAAGTAAGAAAAATACACATATAAACGCGAAAAACAACGCTAGCCTGGTTATTATTCCACTAGTATGTAAAGGGACACGAAATTTTCCTGGGTAATAAGGTGAAGAACAGGGCAAAAAATAAGGGATAACAAAATGGCCGAACAGAACGATCCAAACTTTGATTTTTTCGCTAGTTTTTCGAGGCTTGACTTTTAGAGAAACGAAGTTTTAAGCGGGACAGATTTTTTTGTTGGTCATGTAGTACAATTTTGATGTTTCTTTCGTTTTGTTTTCGTCTTTCGCGCACTCCTTATGCGATGGATGTGTTTCGTAAACCAAAATTAAAAAACTAAAAAGTTAAATAACGGTGGATAATAATAATCCTTCGGCGCTCGCAAGAATACTGCACAATTTTCAAAATATCCTTGTGTATTAAATTTTACATCATCGAATAAGGTATGTATATTTTTTAGGGACATAACTCGTACATATTTAAAGAATGCAAACTGCATGAGGCATGCACACACAAAGGAAATTAACACTCAAAAGCGAAAATACCCCATGGAAATACTAGAAGCACACAAAACCGTAGCAAATTAAAATAAGCCTGAACTGGCAAAGGGCTTAAAAGTTTTCTGCAATGTGCAACCTACCATTCCAAAACTTGGAACCACTGCTCGGTTCTACCTTCGTCATGGACTTTCTGAAACGGTACAAAAAAAAATTGGAATTTAACTTTCTTCCCTGTTCGAATCGTAATCGATTCGAACAGTTACTCGTAAGGAATAACTTTGATGGCAAAAAGGTTTATGTGGGATCGCGTTTGTTTTACACCAGAGGGCAACTAGCAAAGATGATAGTGGGGTGATCTTGCAGTCGGTCGATATGTCCATAGAACATATGGTACTCTAAGGCCGAGAACTTCCAGAAATGTTTGTCATGATGAAATTCAATTGTTTCCCGGTTCGTTAAATGTTGCAAATTTCATTTCTTTAATATGCAAAATATAAAAGCATGTATGTCTTTAGCTTCTCCTTGCATGTAAAATCGAATAAAGGCATTTAACTTTCAAGACCAAAAAAATATTTCGTTATCAACTTTTGAAAAGATAAATGTTTCTCAATTTTCTTTTCCTAATTTCAGGGCACCTGCATGGATTATCCATGCAAAAAAAACGAAATATGTTTCGCAGGCCACAAATCCAACACACCCCTCTGTAAGTGCATCAGAGGTAAGTGAACCCGGTGTAATTTTCTAGTTTGTCAGCCATAAAGTAATGTACTTTAGGAGAATTGTGGTAAAGTAGCTCAAAAAGAAGAGAGTTTCGAAAAGATGTGAGGACAATATATGACATATACAGTTTTCGCTTTGCTGGCAATCGTTACAACAGACAATTTGTATATATTTTTTGTCAAAGCGTTCTACTTTCGCGTTTTGTTATTTTCTAGATTGCCTCAAGAACTGTCTAGACTATTATCAAAATGGTTCCAAAACCGACGGTGTGTACTGGGTTTACCCTGATGACGAAGAACCTTTTCAAGTGCTGTGTGACATGACAACTAATGGTGGAGGATGGACCACCTTTCAAAGGCGCATGGATGGTTCTGTAGACTTTTATGTCGACTGGGAATCATACAAAAGAGGCTTTGGAAATCTGGAGGGCGAGTTTTGGCTCGGAAACGATTATCTTCACCGTCTGACTGCGTCTGCTAACATGGTGTTTCGAATTGATATGAAGGATTACGAAGGCGACCGACGATTTGCCGAGTACACTACTTTCGCTGTGGCCGACGAAAGCGTAGATTATCGGGTGACGATCGACGGGTATCGAGGCACCGCAGGCAACGCATTGGCACCATCTGACAGAAATGGTATCAGGTTTGTTACAGGCATTTCAGTTTTTCGTGCCATGTAGAATGAATAGAATATCTCCTTCCCAAAAAAATGAATAAAATAGTTATGACCGTCTAAAAGTGAAGATCCCAATATTTAAGTTGATCAGCTCTTTCTACATATACGGAGGAAGCATCAATGCGGAATGATCGTATTTCACTATTCATTGATATATGCACCATTGCTGATGAGACAATCTAACTCCAAGTATATTGCTGACCATAATTGCTCCTTTTATATTGTATGTATCGCCCTATGCTTCATTTTTGGCATCACGATACCTTTCTGTTTCCTGTTCAAGGAATCATTCCTCGTACACTTTTCTGACAATGCAGCGCTTCTTGGATATTTCTGACGAAGCAATTCTACCAGTAACATTGCTGTCCAGCTTCTCGTCAGTTTCTTACAAAATTCTTTTTTCGTCATAGAAATATGAGCTTCACAACCAGGGACAGAGACAACGACGTTTATCAAGGTGGAAACTGTGCAGTGGTATATAGAGGTGGCTGGTGGTATAGTGCCTGCCATAACGCAAATCCAAATGGCTTGTACCAAGGTGGAAGTAGCGCACAAGGAATTACCTGGGCACTATTTCGAAGACAAGATTATTCGTTAAAACACATTGAGATCAAACTTCGACCTGCATGATTTTATTTGAAGAAGTTGCACGTACAAGCCTCTTTTGCAAAGTGATAGTTGTAGCGTAATAATGATAATATCGATAATAGTAATGATAATAATGATAACAATAATGATAATGTCTTTATTCATCGTGATAAAAATGCACATCAAGATGTTACATACTGGATATAAATGCAATAAAGGAGCGATTTAGGATTTCATCCTTTTATCTATATTATTCCTAAAAGTAAATCTTTTTTTAAAAAAAACAACAACAACAGCGTATTTTGTTTAAATTTGGTCTTCATCAAAGTCTGTTTCTAAGGCGCACAGGTGATTCTTTATCTCTGGTATGATAACTAAGTAACGGATGGTCTTCATGTTTTAAGTCATTTAAAAAGACAGCAGTCTCTATTGACTTAAAGGTCGTAAATATCATAACTAATTGATGTGTCTCCGTTCTTGTAAAATCTTTTTCAAAAAAAGTATAGTAAGGTCAGAAATACTAGCTTCATAGATAAAAAGAAAGTTTTGAAAGCACAGTTGCATTGAAAAGGATGTTTGTTTTTTTTATCTTGGGGAGCTTCTTCTTTGCGCAGGCTCTAATTACAATAAACTATTATGGGCTTCATGGACCTTGACCCTGAGATGTGAACTTAACTTGCAATTACCCTGTATCGTGACTCTCCATAAAGGAAGGCTACTATACTGCCTTATATCGTAGAACTGAGAAAAATTAGGTTGATTTACCTCTCTTACGTAGGACTATGGACTAATCCCTCATCTCTGCTGATGTTAGAGTGCATGCTATTTGCAGCAGTAGAGTCCATTAACCTTAGATGAAAGCAAAGTCAGAGATATCTGGTAAATCGCTACCTATCAAGAGATAGCGATATCTGCTCTGTGCTCATTGATTCTTGTAAAGTTTGTAATGATTGTAAGATAGCTTGTAAGCGGAGTGGCATTAAATTAGATGGAGTTTACAAGCAGGTCCATGGTACAAGTGTACGTTTTGCTTTCTGCGATAAAACACAAAAGTAGAACTGCACAATCTGAGTTAAGTATTTATACAAAATATTTGAGTCACTCGTGATTTGATGTTGTAGCATTGAAATACGGAATGCTTTTTCGTAAGCATATTTATAGAGTTTGTCTTCACGTCGTGTTAGTTATGTAAAGAAGTGTAATATATATTTATAGAGTTTTCCTAACCACTTGGATCCTCCTCAAGCCGTTGCTCAACGAAATTATCAGTTAATATCGCCTGATTTACTCTTTCTAGCTCCTGTTTTGACCAAATTAATTCTTAAATACAAACGGTTGGCGAACTACTCGACACAAATGGAACAATTCCTAAAATTTATTCCTCGAAAAATTTGCGCGGCTGAACTTGTTCAGCGGCAAAACTGATATTCTGATCTTAATTCCATAACCCAAGCTAAAAACTTCTTTTAATCTTCCAAAAAACAATTTTTTGATTGGCTCGGTGAAAACTTAGGGGTTAGTCTCAATATAATCACTTGAACAGAAGTTAAGAAATTACACACGCTAGGCTGGTTATTATTCCACTAGTACGTAAAATTTTCCAGGGTATTAAGGTGAAGAACCGGGCAAAAAATAAGGGATAACAAAATTTTCTTGACTATTTGAAAGACTACCCCAGTTGTTCCTTTGGTTGTAAATTGCTAGACTACGATATAACAGGTCAACGAAGGATATGCCTTGTATGTAATTGATTGATATAGCTATTGTTCACTGAGTCTGGACATTAAGATTATGATAAAAAAAAAGTTTATTTAAAGGAACTCCTTGAAAGGGGTTCCTTCGCGATTAAAGAGCTTAGAAATAATTTCACAAGTTAACGAAGGGTATGCATTACATTTATTTGATTAATAAACAACGTGCGTCCTTTACTTCTAGATTAAAATAATTATGATTTCAATGACAATAAAGTTTATTTAAAAGACCTCATCGAGCGCATTCTTCGCCCCGTTAAAGAGATGAATAGTGATATCACAAGTTGACGGATTGTATTCCTTTTCTGTCGAGGATTAGTTTATAGCAACTGTCCGCTCTGCGTGGGGTATGATGGTTATAATGATAATGATTACAGAGTTTTATTTACGAGTTCTCAACCAGCGCATTCTTCGCGCCGTTAGAGATGAACAGGGATATCACAAGTTAACGAAGTGTATTCTTTTTATGTAATTGATTAATTGGTAACAACTGTCTACTCTGCCTGGGGTACGATGAATACAAAAATTATGATGATTGCAAAAAATATGATGAAAAAGGTCTATTTACGATCCCCTCTAGGGGCCTCTTCGCGTCGTTTAAGAGATGAATAGTGATATCACTGTACTGTATTTCCTTTTATGCCATAGATAATCTATAAAAACTTTCCATTCTACCTGGTGTGTGATGATTATAATAATAATGATTACGAAGGTTTATTTTCAAGACCTCACCCAGCGCATTCCTCGCACCGTTAAAGAGATCAATAAGGATCTCACAAGTTAAGGGAGGGGGTTTCTATCATGTAGTTGATAATTCATAACAACTGTCCACTCTATCTGAGGTATTGTGGTTATTACGATAATGATTATAAAGGTTTGCTTACAAGTTCTCAACAAGCGCATTCTTTGCGCCGTTAAAGAGATATAAAAGGATATCACAAGTTATGGGAGTGTATTCTTCTACGTTTTAATTGATAACAACTGTCCGTTCTGCCTGGGGTATGATGATTACAAAAATTCTGATGAAAAAGGTTTATTTACAAGATCCCCTCTAGGGGCTTTTGCGTCGTTAAAGAGATGAATAAGGATATCACAATTTAAGGGAGTGTATTTCCTTTTATGTCATTGATAATTTTAAAACAACTATCCACTCTACCTGGCGTATGATGATTATAATAATAATGATGATAAATGTTTATGTACAACACCTCCCGAGTGCATTCTTCGCTTATTTAGAGCGTAGAAGAAATTGTTGCAAGCTATTTCTTAACTTTAAGAATGTATTTTCACCTGCTAACCTAGCTAGGTCGCCGCTCAAAGTCAAAGAAATTTCCACATTAGTTCACGGGCAAAGCTTTCCATGGGGAATGAACATGAATCTGTGGATATTTAATCTCGTCTATTCAGCTGTGTACGGCATAAACCGAATTTCAGAGCCAGATTTGAAAGCTGTTAGCTTTGCCGAAAAGATGGCAAGACAAAAGCTGAACGGAAGCCTGATAAAAGAAACAGATGTGGATTCGGAAAGTTCCTGTCAGCTTTAGTGTGTGGATGAAGAGCGATGTCAGTCTTACAACTTTGGAACCCAAAAGGGCGACTCAGGGAAATTCAAATGTCAGCTAGCGACTCTGATCGATTTGTTGGATTTGCTAACTTTACCGAGGTTGAAAATTTCATTTACAGAGGAATAAAGGTATGCTAAATCTGTCTTTGTGCATCAAAAATTAATTAATTGCACCTCAATGTTTGAATCTATATATTCATAATCGTAGCTGTAGCTCTATTTCAGCGCCTTGCATGATTCTTTCTGAAGCTGTGCTCCACTTAACATGGTTGGGAATTAGCGCGGCATTTCGATTGATCGATTGCGTTCGGGTGCAAGGAAGCGACAGCAGGTAGTTGCTGGTTAAGACAGGAGCGAGGTTGTTTCACATCATGGGGGTGAACTTGCAACGGTAGAAGTTGAGCCAACTTGAAATGGCGCGAAACCTCTATAAATTACATGGCACCCTCGGGCACAGGACTTACAGAATTGTTTAACACAATGAAAAACGTTCAAATGTCGTACAATTTCTTAAGTGTCATAACTTTCATTCTTGGAATATTCAAAATAGAAAACCGTTCATGCACTGAGTCTCTATCTTCCTGCATATAAAATCGACGAAAGAACTTAAAATTAAAAAAAGACAAAACGTTTTTATCAATGTTTGAAAAAACATACGTTTCTCTATTTTCCTTCCCTAATGTTAGAGCATCTGCGAAGGTGACCCGTGCAAAGAAAACGAATTATGTGTCGCAAGCTACACATCAAAAACTCACTTGTGTAAGCGTATCAGAGGTAAGTGGAGACCTGGTAGATTTTTGTAGTTTGAGAGAAGCTCATGTCCTAATTAATCAAGGGATACGTTGTCATATGTTACCTCGATACAGGACAGCAATGTTCTGAATGTTACTTTATGTAATCAATATGGTGCTCAGTTAACACAGTGGGAAGTTTTTCAAATACTAATAGCTATGGGGCTTGGGAAAAATACCACACAACTCGCAAAATATTGCGCGTATTATTTTGCGCGTATACTATCGACTAAAGTGTATTCATAACAGACGGTAACTTGACTACTTGCTGTTTACATTTAAAGATTGCCCCAAGAGCTGTCTTGACTATTATCAAAATGGTTCCAAAACTGACGGTGTGTACCGGGTTTACGCTGATGAAGAAGAACCCTTTCAAGTGCTGTGTGACATGACAACTGATGGCGGAGGCTGGACCACCTTTCAAAGGCGCATGGATGGCTCTGTAGACTTTTATGTCGCCTGGGAATCGTACAAAAAAGGCTTTGGAAATCTGGAGGGCGAGTTTTGGCTCGGAAACGATTATCTTCACCGTCTGACTGCATCTGCTAACATGGTGTTTCGAATCGATATGGAGGATTACGAAGGTCATCGAAGATTTGCCGAGTACATGACTTTCTCCGTGGCCGACGAAAGCGATAATTATCGGGTGACAATCGATGGATACCGAGGCACCGCAGGTGACTCATTAGCTTCAACTCAGCCCATCAGGTATGTGGCTGGCAATTCGTTTACCGATGTTAGAAGAATGAAAATTGACATTGAGAAATTTATCAGTGGAGCGCTGCTGCTCAAGAATGCGTGACTTACCGTTCACTTGACGAAGTTGAAGATCCTTAAACTTAACTTTATAAACTTCTCCTTTGCCTCATGTTTTAGGAACAACTTCATGTATATTATTGACCATCACTGCCCTTTTTAAATTGGTCATTGACATTGACATTGCTCCTTGCAGCATGATTTACTTTTTGTGCACTGCTTTGTGCACAGATTTCCATGTTTTTCTTCTTCACTTTCCTTCTCATGCCTTCAGCAACATTGCTGCCCACCCAGCTTCTTGTCATTTTTTCACGAAGTTGTTGTTGTTTTTCTTTTTTTCAATTTAGAAATATGAACTTTACAACCAGAGACAGAGACAATGACGCTAGTGACGTTGGAAACTGTGCAGAGTATTTTAGAGGTGGCTGGTGGTATAATAGCTGCCACAGGGCAAATCCAAATGGCTTGTACCAAGGCGGAAGTCACGCACAAGGAGTTAATTGGATCTCATTTCGAGGACTAGATTATTCGCTTAAGCGCACTGAGATCAAACTTCGACCAGCATGATTTTTTAATTGTAGAAATTGCGTCTTTAAGCTCTCAGCCACATATGTATGTAACTGTATCTTTCACGAATTAGAGACATCTATCAAGCCTACAGTGATTCTCTGTTAGCTTTTGATGATTGTTATATTTCCTTTAGCGGGGTGGCATCAACCGAGACAGAGTTTTATCGCGTTTAATTATAAGGATGCTGCAAGTTTTATTTACTGCAGTGCAGTAGGACAAACGCAAACAAATAGATTAGTAATTTTAAATTGGATCATTTCAGCTGCCGACTTTGTCTCCTGAGCCAACTTATAAAGTTTGTAATCGATTTTTGGTAGCAATGTATGGAAATGAGTTGAATGTTCATAGAGTCTACCTGGGTGCTATAAAAGTTGTTCCTCGACGAAGTCATCAGTTGGTATCGCATAATTTGTTTTTCTCGAGCCCTTGCTTTAACAAAATAAATTATTAAATACAAAAAAAGGCGAAATATACCACACGATATGGAGAAATTCCTGAAATGAATTCACTAATCCTTTTCCAATCTTACTACTGCCTTCATTTAACAGAATTGCGCTAATTCGGCTTGCTTTTGCTAAGGTGATACAGCTATCTTTTTTTTTTGTCGTCCGAGCAAGCACTAGAGGTCATAATTGTGACTGGAGGTGTCCTCCGAAACAAGTTCTGGTCTAATAGAGGTTTAGATCTGACTACTGGCTAGAAGTACTGTGCAAGCTTTACAGCGTGGCTGGTCACGCAAACTCTGAAAAAGTAGTAGCCCTCCTGTTGCTAACTACGAGTTTTTCTGGAAATCCCGTTGGTGCGCTACGAGTTAACAAGTAAGTAAAAAAGAAAAAAAAAACAAAAAAAGAAACAGAGAAATTGCAGAGGGTATGTCCAGTAAGGCCTGATGTCTGTGTAGTGTTCTCCTAATTCTGATAAAAGTCAAGCTCTCGTGTGTAACATCCTGTTTACCTGAAGTTAAGGATTCACTATGGCTGATGACGACTACGAGAGACTAGTGCCACTCTACTCCCGGCCAAAACTCGTAGTCGTAGTCAGATCTGAGGAACTCTAGTATCCGAGAGGCAACGGTTCGATTCCCGTCGTAACCTTATCATTTTAGGCTTCTCTGCTATTGCTAAAATTGCAGCTCACCAGTAAGGTCATTTCCTGCTGTAATCCTAATGCCGTTGTGTGATTCGATGCCAAGACAATAACAAAATTAACAATTGTGTGGCTGCAAATGACGATTTTATTTTGAAGGAAGTAAAACATGCATATATATTGGGAAGTTAATGGTTAAATGTTGTGAAAAAATCAGCAGTGGCACCTCTTTGTTTCAACTCGAAGGTTGTTATTAATTATGAATCGGGATAGCTTTAATTGGTTTAATTCGATTAGTTTAGATCCACCTCATTGTTAATTCAGCGAGTGCGATATCAGTCGAAGTTAGCATAGGAAAAAAGAAACATGTATCTACGGGCCCTACTGATGTTTTCACTTATGGGCCTTGCAGAAGCTTCAAATCGTTTTTCGGAGCCAGATTTTAAATCTGCTAATTTCGCAAAGGCGATAAACGATCAAAAACTCAACGGGAGTGTCCTCAGAGACTTTGAAGTAGCATCTGAAATATCTTGTCAGTTTGAATGTGTCTCTGAAGATCGATGTTTGTCATACAACTTCCTTCCCATCCACGATAAGGAGACAAGTAGATGTCAGCTAAGTGGCTCGGACCGATTTGTGAGTCAGGTGAATTTTACAAAAGAGAATGGAGCATTATATCGAGGAATACAGGTAACAAAACTGATGAACTCGAATGTCCTCGGTTCGTTAAAGTGTCTTTTCTTTTCTCGTCTGAATTTATTTCAAACAGGATGCTGCGATTTTCATTACAGTCAGGCTGGTTCTTTCAAGAATTTAATAAGAATGCATTCTTTGTAAACTAGGATCGTTCTATTTCGTGAATAAAAGAATAGGAGCTCTTAGATGATGCAGCGATTTTGGTACTGATTACCTTGCATGGTGAGTGAGTAATTACTGGGTTTTGAGGACACATGCTGGGCTTGAAAAGCTTGAGAAGTTGAAATGATTACAACACGATAAAGCGCTTGAAACTCTGGACTTTTGATATATTTTATGTATCTAAGGGGTTTTATCAACCTTTATAAACAACTATTTATTATTATTTTCATATTAAACAAGTTGTTTCACGTCTCAGTTGAGTCAACTGATTCCAAAGAATACAATATCTTCCTAGAGTTATTGGTGCTGAGAAGCACCTGTTATGAAGAAGGCAGAAGTTCTCATCAGAGAAGAAACGAGAACTCCTTACTAAGGCATCCTTTCGTGAAATGAATCTACCTTAAGATGAATCATAATCTAATATAAATTTCCTTTAAAGAGTTAAGGCTGAACAAATGTTGTTAGAAATAACACAGAAGAAGCCAACATAGGAATAAATCTTGAAATAAGGCGGGATGATTTTGTTTTAGGACTATTCAAAACAAAAACTATTTATGTTCTGAGTTTCTTTCTTTTAAAATTTAATACATGACCGACAAGAAGTTTTCAGCTATTATGGAGATTCTCAATGTTTGCTCAATGTCGGCACGTACGCAAGCGTATTGTTTTTCCAGAAAATGTTTATGTTTTCGCTTTTCTAGGTCACTAAAATCCATCAAAAGGGCGATGAGAAAGGTTCAGACTATCGTTTTCTTTAGTAAATATCATCAAAATGATTTTCTTTATGGAGCTAAGATTCCACGAAGGGAGGCGCTCGCCGGTGATAATTTGGCTTTGCCTTTGATTTTCATTTTGTGAAAAATTTGTCCTGCCGATCATTTAAAAGTAAAAAAAAATTGGGGTTGCTGAGGCAGTTTCCTCGCTCTTTGCAATTTTGTGTTTTCTTCCTCTATCTCAAATTTGGTCTTATGAATTTTTTTTTATCAAAAGGTATTAGAAGGGCACAAATATGTTTAACGGTCCAGCAAATCTTGGGAAATTTCATCAAGAGACGCGATCAATCTTGCTCGAAAGATCTCTATGTTCTTTGTCGAAAAACAGTACGTAGTGGAATAGAACTTCGTATCTGAGCATGCGTAAACTTTCAACTCTGTCACGATCTGTCGCCTCTTGGCAATCTCTCCCACGGTGTTTTCTTTTCGGTTGACCCCTTTTTCAGGCGTAGAAGGCCTGGAAATATTACGGGTGCAGTTTCAGGAAAGCTAAGATTACATTACATAAAAACTGTTAAACTACTTTTAACACACCTTTTCAAATAACAATCCCGCGATAGCATCGAACCGCCATAGTTGTGGACACTTTTTAAGCTCTCGCTATGTTTGCACCCAGATCTCGCGCGGTCAAAAAACCCTATGGAGCCTCCTTAAATGAAAAAAATCCGTCATCATCCTTTTGATATCTCTTTGTATAAAGATTTTCTTTATTTATTTTTTAGAGCACCTGCGAGGAAGATGATCCTTGCAAGGAGAATGAAACTTGTGTTGCTAACTACAAATCAAACACTCATGTTTGCAAGTGTATTAGAGGTAAGTGGAGATCCGCTCGGAGAAAGACAAAAACCATTCTAGGAGAGGGATATACTGAAAATGCCGAGGACAGATGAAACGGGGAGATTAGCACCAGATGAGGCAAGGTTACGAAAGATCAAGTGTGTAACGTCCATTACACAAACATTAAGAGAGAGAGAGTGAGGGAAAGAGAATATATAATTTTTGTTCTCGTCAAAGCATTTTACTTTCGCGTTTAATTTCTAGATTGCCCCAAGAACTGTCTAGACTATTATCAAAATGGTTCCACAACTGACGGTGTGTACTGGGTTTACCCTGATAAAGAAGAACCCTTTCAAGTGCTGTGTGACATGGCAACTGATGGTGGAGGATGGACCACCTTTCAAAGGCGCATGGATGGCTCCGTAGACTTTTATGTCGACTGGAATTCATACAAAAAAGGCTTTGGAAATCTGGAGGGCGAGTTTTGGCTCGGAAACGATTATCTTCACCGTCTGACTGCATCTGCCAGCATGGCGTTTCGAATTGATATGGAGGATTATGAAGGCGACCGAAGATTTGCAAAGTATACGACTTTCGCTGTGGCCGGCGAAAGCGATAATTATCGAGTGACAATCGATGGATACCGAGGTACCGGAGGCGATGCATTGCTATCTCTCAATAAGCCTATCAGGTATTGGTTCATAGCAGCTTTCTGTACTTTGCTCCAGTTATATAAGGGTAAGTTTTGAAAAGCTCCTGTCCAAGAATCTGGAAGTACGTTTAGGATTGCCGGATCCCTGCACTTAAGCTGATCAACTTTTTTTTACAAATGACAAATCTAAGTTGAAATATCACATTCCGGATGCATCATCGCCGATCAGATATTTCAACTTCCAGTTTATTGCAAACTAGGATTACTCCTTTCAACATGATGACATCAAATTCATGTTGATACTATTAACTTTAAAAAAAAAGCGTACTAGATTACAATTCTATGTTCTCAAACTTTCCTGATGGGGGAATCGTTTTATGTGCACTGCTGACAATTAGTGCTCCTTACATATATCCCACCACACAGTGCCGTCTGCACTTTACTGACTATGATATGCTGTTAGAAGCATTGCTTCCTCGCTTTTTCTCAGTTTCTTACGGAATGCCTTTGATATCCTAGAAACATGAGGTTTACAACGAAAGACAAAGATAACGACGTTAAAAGCAGTGGAAACTGTGCGTTAAACAATAAGGGTGGCTGGTGGTATAATAGCTGCCATAACGCCAATCCAAATGGTTTGTATAAAGGCGGAGGTAACGCACAAGGTATTACGTGGGGGTCATTTCGAGGACAAGGATATTCTTTAAAGCACACCGAGATCAAAATTCGACCAGCATGATTTCATTTGTGGTAGCTGCATCCTTAAGCCAATAGTAAACTGTAGCTTCTAATTAAGAATTAAAGATATCTGTTTTGCGTAGAGTTACAATTCTTAATTTAATTTGTGATGATTGCAATATACAAGTTCGGTTAACGCGACATATTGTTGGCAGATGGCGCGTTTAGCTGTTGTCTTTCAACGCTCTTAGTGGTGATAAACTTTCTTAAATTTTTTTTGTGAAATAGTTTTATTGATTTATCTACGTATGTAGAGCACTTTTTCTGTCTTTGAATTTATGTCACTCCCTCAGTAAGAGAAAGGCACTATTAATTCGTATTATGAAAACGTTACTTATTTTGTCAGATGAGACTTTCCCAGATATTGATGATGAGCTTAGTTTTAATTAAACGTTTAAATGTCTCAGAGATTGTTTAATTGAGCGAGTTATTTCGTCACTGAGGCTGGCTTGCAAACGCACTAAAAATAAACATCCGCGGAGCCCAGCAAAATATCTCCCGTCAACTCGATGAAAAGAGACCTGCTACGATTAGCTCGTGTTTCATCTTTTCTCTGGTACCTTACACATACCTCAATTGAAAACCTGTCCTCTTTCTTTTCTTTACTGCATCTTTCAATAAATAATTACCTCAAAATATAATTTTAAGTGTCTGCTACATTTCAAAAAGAACTTAGATAACTATATAAAAATAACTATGGAGAACGATGTTCTGGACCACGAGACATTTGCTTAAACCCTGAACTCCCTTTGGAGATAGTGCTAAGTTGAATTATGGCCAACAGATCTATAAAGACGCGTAAATTTTAACTCTGTTACAAATCAAGAGAGGAGGGTTCCTCCTACTTTTTTGAAATATTTGCGTCCCTGTTTATCGAAGATTGCTTAATGCTTTTCTAACGTAAAATGGCTGTCAACGCTCTCCCTAAGCGTTACGTTTTGTCTGGAATGATTTTTGTTGGATTCTTTGTTATGTCCGGGCTGAGAGTAAATTTGAATGTCGCTATTGGTGCGATGGTCAATAATCACACGGCTGTAGTGGATGGAGAAATAATCTGTAGGGTAAGTGAAGACAGCACCTCAGAGAAAACTCGTTCATGTAACACTTAAATCAACTTGTGCCAGATAAAAATCCTCATGCAAACACTAAGAGAAGCTCAATTTTTTTAATGTATATCGTTGGTAACGATAGTGAAACGTAGTTAAGCTTAACACTTAGTTAATTATCTTACCACTTTTCGATCCACTTCATTTTTCAATTCACTATTGCTAGCGATCACCGCTTGCAGCCGACCATGACTTATTTTAGCGCTATTGGTTTGTCTCTATTCTATGATTCCATTCTTCCGTAAGCGACCACTTCACGTGGGCCGACCTCAGTACAGGTGCCCTTCGTGTAACCGGACGTTTTAAAAGCCACAAATGTTGGTCGATATACCGTGTGTTTGCCATTCAGTTTGAAAGTGACTTACCAAGAGACACTCTTTTTGCAAGATTTTTTACTTTCAAGATTGCGATGCAATCGTGTAGTTATTCTTTTGGATAAAAACGTGTTTTCCATGACATCGTTATCGGGTTTAACATTGTATTTCTAAAGATATCAAATTCCTAAATGTTTATTTTCCTCCAAACAAAAGAAATTATATAAATAACACCTAATCGGTAATAATGTTTTATCAACGAACTACCTTTATGTGATAAAATTGTTACTTCAGAATTGTCTTAACTGTTCTACAGGAAGCGGAATTCAAATGGGAACCTGAACTGAAAGGTAAAAAAAAATAAATGAATCAATTAAAATTGATGACGTTAACATTTATAACCAGGCAGTACATAGGCAAGAAGCTTATCTTACAACCACGAAGATCCATAAAGAGTTCCTATGCTGCATTGCTAAAAATTAATCATGGCGTCAAGATCCTATGGTAGGAAATATTCACATGACAGGTGTCTGACAAGGAAACTACTCGCAGTTTAGTGTACATTCGATGGCTATGGTAAAGACATTTGTTATGGGATATACCTGTAACGATAAATACCTGGAAATTTCCAGAATGCTGAGACATGCTGACTTGCATAACATGGAACCATATGAAACATTATATCAGGTCACGTAATCATAATGTAATAATACTAAAATAGTTGTGTTGTAAGCCTCCAGAATGTTTGAGAATACTTTGTAGAATTATTTCGTAACTCTTGTCGGGAGTGACCGACTGTTTGGAAAGCTATACTGAGGGAAAGCTACTGTGAAATTGTTCCTCTCAAGGAGCATTGAAGGAAACTGTGATTTTTTTTGGTCAGTGGTGAGCTAAGATATACCTTGTAGTGGGCTTAAGTAAGTGTATTGAGGATTAATACTGTACTGACCATAGGATTTGCTCCTTATTAAAAATATTATTACAAGTTGTGTAATAAAGCAGTTGAGTCTGTGGGATTGTTATGTTCTTTCTGTCGGTTAGATTATGACGCAACACAAGATAACTTCAATTTTTTCCCCCTAGGTGTAATTTTAGGATCATTTTATTACGGTTACATGGTGTTCCAAATCCCAGGGGGATGGTTAGCATTACGAGTGGGTGGAGGTCGTCTGTTTGGAGCTGCTGTCATGATCGCCTCATTGTTTACTTTGTTAACTCCCATGGCAACGCGCTGGAACCCAGTTGCATTGATTGTATTAAGAATATTAGAGGGCCTCGTGTTGGTGAGTTAAAAATAATAATAGTGATGACACTGATAACGATTGAAGTAAAAAAAAGTGAAATTAGTACTAGTATTTTAAATGATGCAGTTGAAAATAATCATATTTTAGGAAATTGTCTTAAGCTTCGATATTAAAGTAGTTAGCGACTTACAATAACATATTTTATCAGGGATAAAGTCTCATAAAACTGGGGCAATGCATACGATTATATTTAGGATTAATACTTAATTTCTTTACCAGGCATTTGTCGGAGGGAGGTAATGTGGGGAAAATAGAATTTTGACTTACAGAGGAACTTGAGCCCTTTATTACACCTATTTCGAAATCACTGGTGGTCCCTGTAATCTGATTGGCTCTAATTGATGTGATTTATTCACAAATTGCACCATTTTTTGCTTTAAATCGCATCTTTTTTCCAGCCAATGAGGTGGCTACACTAAAAACAGAACAACCAATCAGATTTCAAGGCTTGTTTAAAGTAACCCGTCAAATTGCAGGAAAATGAAAGACAAAGACTGTCATGCGGCAAATTTTGCAACTTTTGTTTCAAAAACTCTTATTTATTCCCCCAAAAAATGGATGAATTTAATTTCAGACCGGCTCAGTAATACATCAATGAAATATTTGAACTTACCAGGTCCTGTATTTGGGTGATTTCAAAATGGATGTAATAAAGTGGTAATTAAACCTCGTGTCGTGCAATTTTGGTCTGAAATCATACTTTTGGTTATAAATCGAACTCGCGCTGGGCGCTCGTTTGATTTTGAAATCATGCGTATGATTTCAGCCCAAACTGCACTCCACTCAGTTCAATTACCATTATGTATCATTAACATATTTAAACGCCTAAAACAAAATGTCAGAATTTGTCCTCTTGGTAAGTAGTTTTGTAGCCAGTGTAACTTTATACGTACAAGTGCGATTTTAGAAAAAAATTGTTCTTGTGTAAGGACCACGCCCAACGTTCTCACCATTACCGGTTAGTCTTTGCAAAAGTAATAGCAATTCCTTGGGATATGACTGCAATGAATAAAGGAACTAATTTGTTTACTTCCATGAATGTCAGGGTGTTCTATTTCCTTGTAATCACGCTATGTGGAGTCGATGGGCGCCTTCAGCTGAGAGAACAACTTTAGTGACGGTTTCCATAACAGGTTTGCCCTATAATTATATCTGGTGATTTTCCTTCAACAAAATCTACCCATGCACTCACGCACTTGGACTTTGCTTATCATCTCAGGGGGAAGCATTGGATACCTCCTTACTATGCCTATTACAGGCTTGCTCACCAAATATGGTTTTGATGGGGGCTGGGCCTCCGTATTTTATTGCTTTGGTGAGTATCTGAGCTCAATACAGTATTGTGAAATTTTATCGTTTGGAAGTAATGCGTCAAAGACATATAACGTACGAGTTTTATATGTCACTGACTTCCTTTTCCATTTGAGTTATCGATGATTTAAAAATTATTTCGATTTTATTTACGTCTTTATCTGAACATTGCAATGTAGCTGCTGCTGCTTTTATTCTTTTGCAATAAACTGCTGTATCTATGCTTAAGACTTGTTTCGATTCTATGAGTTTTAAATAGTTTCTACTCGTGGGTCGATAGCGATTTTCGTCATGAAAGTTGGATAAGCTCAAACTGAAGGGCTCGTTAGACCTAAGCTAATCTTTCCTCCTTGTCACTCACACGTGCCTGTAATATCCTGATGTATCCACCCTCTCCTCCCTCCATTCCACTAAAGGGCCTCTTGCCTTAGAAGAGGTGGCTAAACCAGTCAGTCAGTCAGTCAGTCAGTCACACAAGAATACTTAAATAGAAGCCGTATCGAAAATGATTTCATGGATTTTTTTTATCAGGTGTGTTTGGTATAGTGTGGTACTTCGTTTGGCTGATGGTTGTCTACGAGTCTCCTGCACTTCACCCGACCATATCAGATGACGAGAAGAGTTTAATACAAGAAACAGCACTGGACATGTCTAAGGTAGGTCTCGTACATGACCTTTGGTGTACTTCTAAATGGGCAATGTTCCATGCAGTGTTTGTGGTATTTTTGGTTTACATGTATGATCCAGTTCCATGCCATATGATGTTTAGCATGTAGAGCTAATTTATACTAAAGGGATAGCCTATTCTTTAAATGCTTAAGCGAGAACTGGATTATTGGAAATGAGAAAAAAATTAAAAACATGGGAATTCGACTAAGATTCAGATAAGGAAATTTGCCTCGAAACTTAGGTTATTTAATCTCCTCACCTCAATTCCACTCGCTCCCGCTCTCCTCCCCTACCCTCTCCATCCCTTCTCCTCCCTCGCGTCTCCACTTCCTCTTTTTGTTCAAGACCTGACCTAAGTGGTCTGGAAAAATAAAATAAATTGTGGCTGAATATCCGCGTTTTTCTTAAGTTAGAGACAGTCTTCATGCATTGATTTTATCTTTTCTACGCATTCTTCTTCAACTTTATTCTGAGTTTCCTTGTCCATTCTATAACGTTACATACATCTTTCCTTTTTTTTATGATTATTTTTATTTGATTTAATCCCAACATATAGTACTGTCTTTCTTTCCTCAGGTAGAGAATATTGTAATTCCTTGGAAATCTATCTTACTATCACCACCTGTTTGGGGAATAATTGCGGCCAATTTTGCATTGGATTGGGCGTTTTATATTTTGCTTATATCGATGCCAACTTTTCTACTAGATGTCATGAAAACATCTATCACCAGTGTGAGTTTATAGCACCATGTTAAGAATAGGCCAATTCTAACAGCAGAGCTTTTGTTAGCACATTTACGTACCTGCATTCATTATAAGACCCGCCCAGGCCAAAGTCCGGCTCGGTGAGATGCGAGATGGAAAAAACGCAAGGAGAAAGGAAAAAAAGACGAGGCCAGTATTATCTATATGCTCAGTCTACACAGTATGACCTCTAGCAAACTATTTTCTTATTCGACACTCATACTCTATCGTGAAGTAAGTAATGGTCCTTGCTAAACTTCTAAACTGGGCTGCTTTCAACTAAACCTAACATTCAGTGTTATTCTTCTTTTCTTATCTTTATTTTCAGATGGGATTCATGGCTGCTTCACCTTTTCTCGTCGAAGGTGTTTGTTCTCCATTGTCTGGCTTAGCAGCAGATGTGCTGAGGAAAAGTACGGTATCTACAAAGAACGTCAGAAGAGTTTTTTACGCTGCTGGTACGAAAAAAAAAACCGACTCACCAGTCCATATTTTCTATACCTCTAAGTTGGCTAAAGGTTTCTTAGTGACTTGTCTGTGGTAATTGTCAACGATTTTCAGTGAAATGACTGAACTAACTCAACTCGTTTTAACTTCAAGATCCGAAAACGTATGTACTCAATTTTCGTGGTAGATATCCTCATCATAGGGTTGGCTCCAAGTACTAGAAAGATGAAGCGAATCCTATATTTTAATTGGCCTCTCGGTCGGGATCGCCCTCTTTCATCTTGCTGGTTTCATTCTACAAGTTATTAGGCAATTTTTCTATATAACAAGAAAAACGAAAAAACGTGTTCTGGCTGTTTTAGCTAACACAGGGTTACAAACCCCTTTTTCTTCAGAGTGAAAAAAAGGGGATCAGCGATTTGGTGGATTTTTCTCTAATACCTGTTACTCGCTTAAGATGACTGGATATAGGTTTCATCCTCGTATCGGTCAATAAAAGCGCAACTTCCAGTCTCCATTACCTCGAGCTTTTTGCGAATTTTGTCTACACCTTAACCGATAATCTATTTCACCTTTCTTCTTGATAATAATGTCTTCCTTTTTCTTCTCCAGGCGCCATAGCGAGTGGGTTTTTAGTACTCATAGCTGGTTACTCTTTAAATGTCACAGTGGTCGTTATTTGCATGAGTCTGGCTGGATTGACTACGTCACTGGCATTCCCGGCATACACTGTGAACATGCTAGACATTGCTCCGCGTTACTCGAGTATCATCATGGGCGTTTGTAACACTGTTGGAACTACAGCTGGGTTTGTCAGTCCAACCATAGTGGGATTCATTGCCCAAGATAAGGTTGGTATGGAGTGCAATTCGATTGATTGCAGTTAAACCAAAGCCAAGTAATTACAACAGCCAATCACAGCAAAAGAAAATGTCACAAAGAGCCAATCAGAATTCAGAGTAAAAGCACAAAGCCAATTCATTTTACCTAAGAGCAATCAGTAATGCGATTTATAAACATGTAGATACCATGTTTTAATCTGAGGCGAGCATGGAAACTCAAAAATCGAAATCTTCAGGTGAAAGATTATTTTTCCTTTTTGATGACATTCAGGAACATAGTAACTCTTAAAGCATTGTAAAGTAAGGCAGAAGAGACTTACACTATGCAGTACTTTTCAAGATACGAGCCCTGAGTAGCCCAGCGTTCATGCACTCGACCCGGGCCTCCCGCATAGTCCGCCATATTTGCATTCGGTCTATATCAAATCATAAAAGCTCCTAATGTAAATGCTGTACTCTAAGTTTTCAAAAAAAAAATGTTTGACCACATAGCAAAATGCATAACTTCCTTTCCTTCTTTCATAGACTGCTGAAGAGTGGCAAAGGGTCTTTTTGTTAACATTTGTAATTTTACTTGGAGGGACTTTCCTATTTTGCCTTTTGATGTCCGGAGAACGACAGGATTGGGACCAAACTATGAATAAACCAACAGACGAAAACATTGAATCTGAAAGTGCTACTGGTAGCTAGAACAATCCTAGACATAGGTTCTTAGCGTACCTTCGTATACAATATACATATATAATATATATATATAATCATTATTCATCCGCTGGCGGGGAAACGGGGGGGGGGAGGTGAGGGGGTTGGAGGATTTGGTTGTTTCACAATACCGTATAACTGATCTTGCCACAGGACTCTGTAATCATCTTACGATCCCCCCTCCCCCTCATTGTGGTAAATTGGCCGTCAATGTCCTATACTAGGTAATTTAGTGTTAACAACTGAGTTGAAAACGTAAATTAGCCACCGTAAAGGGTAAAAAAGCTGACGTTTCGAGCGTTAGCCCTTCGTCAATCGCTCTGACGAAGGGCTAACGCTCAAAATGCTCAAAACGCTCAACTCAAATTACCCACTATACTCTCCCACCGACGCAGCATCACGGCTTCTTTAGAAACTTACCCCTTTATTTAATGTCCTATAGTACTTCGTTTATACTTTGCTGACGACGAATGATTCCGCCTCCGTTTCCTATGAAAACCGTGCGATTCTCCACCCCAAAAACCTCTGCCTCTTACCCTAACCCATCCCAGGTGACAAATAACGAGTGGTTCTTCAGCAATTTTCTGAGTTGGTTAATCCAGCCAATCCGTGGTGAGGAAACCAGTTTGTACGTTATTCAATAAAGTTTTCCTTTGTTGTGCAAAATAGAGTTGAGATGCAAAATGAATGTGTTCTGCAAAAGTGTATAGAACTTTCCTGCGAGGGAACCTCTTCGTTAACATTTGTCAAGGTTTATATTTGAACTTTTTTTCTAATTAAACCTCCGTTTGTTATTTGTTTTGTTTTGTTTTTTTATCATTGTATATTCTCTATCAAATCTAAGGTGTCGCATTTTAAGATGTTCCGACGGGCGCCACCTGTAATCCACCATGTTAAAACCTCAAGCAAACTACTTCAAAATGGCTAAATGCTTTTTTATGACATACGGTTTAAAATACATCTATACTACCTTACTCTTTGATAAATAAAATGAAAAATGATCAATGGAGCACTAATGAAATATGATACGTCTTCTCATACAGTATTTGGTATTGTATTGTTACTTAATGTTTTTAACTGTGTAGTTATGATTAATTAATGAAATTCAAATTTCCGCTGCTAAGTAGCGCGAATTGATCGGCGTATCTATGTATCTTGTTTCATGCGGACAGCGTAGTAGTTCTATGCATCTCCCTGTCAGAGATTGCACTCCGCTGGACAAAACTTTTAGTTCTATGAGGACTATCTTCGGGCATAATTTAAATCAAGTGCACCATATTGTAAGTATTGTCAGATACGCTGTAAATATTTTTACAAGGATTTAGTGGCCTTAATTTAAAAGAATGGCACCTTGTTCGAATGGGATTCCGAAGAGGTACGTCCTTTATGTCTTGGTGTTTTGGAGTTTCTTTACAATGTACGCGTTGCGAACCAATCTGAATGTGGCCATCGGAGCAATGGTCAAAAACCACACAGTTGTCATCGATGGAGTCGAGACAGAAAAGGTAGATAACGCTACTCTTACTTGAATCCCTTGATTCAAAATTTTATTACGCTACATAATTAGAGAAAGACAACTCGCAGACTGATCATGGAATAGAAACCGACAAGGAGGTAAAGGTCTGTGGTCCGTGGTTTCGCGACTCAAGGGATTTTTTCAAGTAGAGAAGGCCAGGGTCTTGAGTTTTCCGAATAAATTTAACACCCGCCGTGACCGACTTTACACGTGCGGGTGGCATTTTTAAAAATGATAAATTCAAGTTTTCATATCACCGAAATCAAATAACCACATAGTAACGAAGACTGCTGCTTGTAAAAGAGGGAAGAATCTTCGCCTGTTAAATAAAGTAAGCTTTCAGAGCGTGCACTCAGATTGCGTGGTATTAAATAATCAACTAAATTCTCTAACATGTAAGGAAGTATCAATGACACTGTAAAAAGCAATGCCAACAAAATTTTGTTGTTCTTCTTGCATCAAATTGACACCACCGACTTTGATACTGACTTTATGACCGCAAGGATCGCGAAATATATTTCCAAGATCGTGGTCACGGCAAAAATCCTTGCCAATCCGGTCGCCCATAGCAAGGCTGGAATAAACAAGTGATAAACGCATTTAAACTTTACCCAACTTGTTTCGTCGTCAAGTTCTTTTTCTAGCTTTTTTTTTCCCAGGAGGCAGAATTTAAGTGGAGCTCAAAATTACAAAGCAAGATTAATTTGAAATTGTCGTTGTTCTGTGTTGACGTATGGTATATATAGAGAGAATAATACATGGCTGCGCGTAGATATGGAATTTCTTATAGTGTGTTCAACTCGAGTTCAACACAAGAAATTCACTATACTCACAGGGGTGGTACTGGGTTCGTTTTATTACGGCTACGTTGCGTTACAAATCCCCGGAGGCTGGCTTGCCTTAAAACTCGGAGGAACGCGCCTGTTTGGTTCAGCGGTGCTGATGGCTTTGGTCTTAACATTATTAACCCCGTTAGCTTCCAGAGCAAGTGTGGTGCTTCTTATTGTTGTACGAGTTTGTAAAGGATTGGTTCTGGTTAGTATTAGTTTTAATTACCGAATTCATAAACGAAATAAAGCACGATGGAAAGGTAACAATCCTAGATGCAATTCTGATTTTATCAATAAGCAAGTGGGTTATGTGTTAGTTTTATTTGAGTGGTCCTGTTGAAGTGACCGTTCAATACAGTTAACTAAAAGACACAACGCTAACAGGCCGTTGGGACTCGGTCAAAGATGACCGCGACCGCTCAAGAGGTGACCGCTTTTTGAAGGTGAAAATTGCAGTAACTAAGGGGAAAAACTTAGGACTTTGACAACTGAACACATAGTACATGGTGACCGCTAAATACAATGCGCCCTAAGGCTCGACTCTACAAAGACTATAACCTCCCACGTTACCTCAGACTTCCTTTTTTTTTCATCTCTAATCTGCCTCTCTAGCCACAAATGAGCTTTTACCTGGTTTCTGACACATATTTGCCAACTATTAGGGAGTATTGTTTCCTTGTAACCACGCTATCTGGAGCAAATGGGCACCAAGCATGGAGAGAACTACTTTAGCCACTATAGCAGTCACAGGTACTTTTCAAACCCGTTCATTTATCATTGATTTGTTTTATGGATCGTTGAAAATTGGTCTAAAAAAATTGTTTTCTTGGATGGAATTATACCGAAGAGACAAGAATTAACCACTGGCGTAGCACATTGATGAAGGATGCAAAAGATCGGCATGGATTTCAAATGATAATCTTGAGAAATCTACTCCTAAATTTTTACGAGAAGCACAGGTCGCAACAAACTTCCTTCTGCTGGTCTCCCACTCAATTTTTGGCAAGTTGGTAAAGAAATAAAGATATTTCAAATCGTTTTCTCCAGCTTGGTTTTTTTCTTCTTTTAATGGTTTTCCCATGGTTGGAACAAAATGTTTTCAAAAATGCAAAACTTGACATTTCTGATTGAAGGTTGCACTGTTGGCAGTATAGTAACAATGCCGATTTCTGGGTTGTTAACAAGATATGATCTTGATGGTGGATGGCCAGCTGTGTTCTATGCATTTGGTAAGAAAAATGTTTAAGATATACAAATAATCCTTAGATTGCTTTGCTTAATCAGGCAAATAAACAAAGATGAACCAATTCTCTAAGGCCTCAAACCGGATTCAACAGTCAAAGGAAGAAGATAGATTGACATCTATGAAAGTTGGGGTAGGCAGTGGCGGTTTTGTTCGTAAATTTCTTAGGAAGTAGTGTTTGATTTTGCCTCACTGTTAGTTTTGCCTAAAGTGGTGTCGCGGGAGGTCTTAACCAGAATAGTTTAATTCCGCTGAATTCGTTTACAAGGCAAACGGAAGTCATTATTCGGAGTCGTGCACAAGAAGACTGACGTTCTGATTGAAAACAAAGTAAAAGTACAAGGCGCGTAGATTGCTTGAAAAAGGAAGAATTGGTATTTTTATGGAAACATTCTCAGTGCAAACGATAACTTACGAGTCTATCTTAACTAGAAATGACTTTCATGAGATATAGATATCCCAACTGACAAAGCTCAGACTGTCCCTCATCATCCTCCTACTTTCTTTTTTTGCCATTTCTACCTTTTTTTACATTTCAAAGTAAATTAGAGAATAGCAGCAACTTTTCTTTCAGCCTGGCCCGACCGAAATTAGTTTACTTTTGTAATGTACACATAATATTTTGTACGATTTACTTTTACTCGGCTCATTTTCTTCGTCTCAGATGGGATTTGCGGCTGCCGCTCCGTTTGTTTTCAAATCTTTAACTTGTCCCTTGGCGGGAGTCACCGCTGACCTTCTCAGGCGGAATATTCTTTCTACCAAGACGGTGAGACGCGTGTTCCACATAACAGGTATAGCACAATTTTTAAAAGTGGGAAATGGTGAAGCATAATCCCAGTGGTATCAGGCGAAATGCTCGCGAAATGGTCCTGAAGTAAGAAACCGTTATAGCAGACCTGAAACGTCTTTTGAGTTACATGGCGGATGGCATTAACATTAGGTCTTCGTTATAGTGTAAATGGTTTTCATTATCCTGCGTTCTGTACGTACGCCTTTACTCCTTTTGTCAGAAGTTGATCACCTTGATGAACTCTATGCAAATAAAATTGCTTTCTCGTAAATATGAGATTCAAACCAACACATACATTTTTTCTTGACGTCGAATGCCACAGGAATAGCCAATAAAATGAAAACAGTCTTTAATTAACCAAGACATCTAACTGACGATCCTCCGCTTGCCAAGTATACCGGGTACTTTGTATATGATCGCATTTTGTTTTGCAGGTGCAGTTACCGGTGGACTATTTATTCTAATAGCGGGCTATTTCAAGAATCCTGATGCTGTGATAGGTTGCATGTGCGTTAGCGGAACTGCCCTCGGATTGGTTTATGCGGGCTTCCAAGTAAACATGTTAGATATAGCGCCGAGAAACGCGTCTATCGTCATGGGCATCGTGAACGCGGCCAGTAACACCGCTGGCTTTCTCAGTCCCATGTTGGTTGGGTTCATAACGCATCACAAGGTTCGATCCACTAAATAGCTTTGCTCGGCCGATAGTATCACTCTGTTGTGTGTCTTTTCCATCTGTGTCATGGTACTCCTCCCTCCCGTGTACTAGAGGTTTATTTACGAGTTCTCAACCAGCGCATTCTTCGCGCCGTTAAAGAGATGAACGGGGATATCACAAGTTAACAAAGTGTATTCTTTTTATGTAATTGATTAATTGGTAACAACTGTCTACTCTGCCTGGAATACGATGAATTTAAAAATTATGATGATTACAAAAAATATGATGAGAAAGGTCTATTTAAGATCCCCTCTAGGGGCTTCTTCGCGTCGTTTAAGAGGTGAATAGTGATATCACAACTTAAGGGAGTGTATTTCCTTTTATGCCATAGATAATCTATAATAACTTTCCATTCTACCTGGTGTGTGATGATTATAATAATAAAGATTATGAAGGTTTATTTTCAAGACCTCACCCAGCGCATTCCTTGCACCGTTAAAGAGATCAATTAGGATCTCACAAGTTAAGGGATGTTATCAAGTTATCATGTAGTTGATAATTCATAACAACTGTCCACTCTATCTGGGGTATTATGGTTATTATGATAATGATTATAAAGGTTTGCTTACAAGTTCTCAACAAGCTCATTCTTTGCGCCGTTTAAGAGATATATAAGGATATCACAAGTTATGGGAGTGTATTCTTTTACGTTTTAATTGATAACAACTGTCCACTCTGCCTGGGGTATGATGATTACAAAAATTCTCATGAAAAAGGTTTATTTACAAGATCCCCTCTAGGGGCTTTTGCGTCGTTAAAGAGATGAATAAGGATATCACAATTTAAGGGAGTGTATTTCCTTTTATGTCATTGATAATTTTAAAAAAACTGTCCACTCTACCTGGCGTATGATGATTATAATAATAATGATGATAAATGTTTATTTACAACACTTCCCGAGTGCATTCTTCGCTTATTTAGAGCGTAAAAGAAATTGTTGCAAGCTATTTCTTCACTTTAAGAATGTATTTTCACCTGCTAACCTAGCTAGGTCGCCGCTCGAAGTCAAAGAAATTTCCACATTAGTTCAGACAAAGCTTTCCATGGGGAATGAACATGAATCTGTTGATATTTAATCTCGTCTGTTCAGCTGTGTACGGCATAAACCGAATTTCAGAGCCAGATTTGAAAGCTGTTAGCTTTGCCGAAAAAGATAGCAGGACAAAAGCTGAACGGAAGCCTGATAAGAGAAATAGATGTGGATTCGGAAAGTTCCTGTCAGCTTGAGTGTGTGAATGAAGAGCGATGTCAGTCTTACAACTTTGGAACCCAAAAGGGCGACTCAGGGAAATTCAAATGTCAGCTAAGCGACTCTGATCGATTTGTTGGATTTGCTAACTTTACCGAGGTTGAAAATTTCATTTACAGAGGAATAAAGGTATGCTAAATCTGTCTTTGTGCATCAAATATTAATTGCACCTCAATGTTTGAATCTCTCTGTTCATAATCGTAGCTGTAGCTCTATTTTAGCGCCTTGCATGATTCTTTCAGAAGCTATGCTCCACTTAACATGACTAGGAATTAGCGCGGCATTTCGATTGATCGATTGCGTTCGGGTGCTAGGAAGCGATGTGGTAGAGTTGTTGGCGAGCTGGTTAAGACAGGAGCGAGGTTGCTTCAAATCATGGGGGTGAACTTGCAACGGTAGAAGTTGAGCGAACTTGAAATGGCGCGAAACCTCTATAAATTACATGGCACCCTCAGGCACAGGACTAATAGAATTGTTTAACATAATGAAAAACGTTCAAATGTCCTACAATTTCTTAAGTGTCATAACTTTCATTCTTGGAATATTCAAAATAGAAAACCGTTCATGCACTGAGTTTCTATCTTCTTGCATATAAAATCGACGAAAGAATTTAAAATTTAAAAAAATACAAAACGTTTCTATCAATGTTTGAAAAAACATACGTTTCTCTATTTTCCTTCCCTAATGTTAGAGCATCTGCGAAGGTGACCCGTGCAAAGAAAACGAATTATGTGTCGCAAGCTACACATCAAAAACTCACTTCTGTAAGTGTATCAGAGGTAAGTGGAGACCCGGTAGATTTTTGTAGTTTGAAAGAAGCCCATGTCCTAATTAATCAAGGGATACGTTGTCATATGTTACCTCGATACAGGACAGCAATGTTCTGAATGTTACTTTACGTAATCAATATGGTACTCAGTTAACACAGTAGGAAGTTTTTCAAATACTAATAGCTATGGGGCTTGGGAAAAATACCACACAACTCGCAAAATATTGCGCGTATTATATTGCGCGTATACTATCGACTAAAGTGTATTCATAACAGACGGTAACTTGACTACTTGCTGTTTACATTTAAAGATTGCCCCAAGAGCTGTCTTGACTATTATCAAAATGGTTCCAAAACTGACGGTGTATACCGGGTTTACCCTGATGAAGAAGAACCCTTTCAAGTGCTGAGTGACATGACAACTGATGGCGGAGGCTGGACCACCTTTCAAAGGCGCATGGATGGCTCTGTAGACTTTTATGTCGCCTGGGAATCGTCCAAAAAAGGCTTTAGAAATCTGGAGGGCGAGTTTTGGCTCGGAAACGATTATCTTCACCGTCTGACTGCATCTGCTAACATGGTGTTTCGAATCGATATGGAGTATTACGAAGGTCATCGAAGATTTGCCGAGTACACGACTTTCTCCGTGGCCGACGAAAGCGATAATTATCGGGTGACAATCGATGGATACCGAGGCACCGCAGGTGACTCATTAGCTTCAACTCAGCCCATCAGGTATGTGGCTGGCAATTCGTTTACCGATGTTAGAAGAATGAAAATTGACATTGAGAAATTTATCAGTGGAGCGCTTCTGCTCAAGAATGCGTGACTTACCGTTCACTTGACGAAGTTGAAGATCCTTAAACTTAACTTTATAAACTTCTCCTTTGCCTCATGTTTTAGGAACAACTTCATGTATATTATTGACCATAACTGCCCTTTTTAAATTGGTCATTGACATTGACATTGCTCCTTGCAGCATGATTTACTTTTTGTGGACTGCTTTGTGCACAGATTTCCATGTTTTTCTTCTTCACTTTCCTTCTCATGCCTTCAGAAACATTGCTACCCACCCAGCTTCTTGTCATTTTTTCACGAAGTTGTTGTTGTTTTTCTTTTTTCCAATTTAGAAATATGAACTTTACAACCAGAGACAGAGACAATGACGCTAGTGACGTTGGAAACTGTGCAGAGTATTTTAGAGGTGGCTGGTGGTATAATAGCTGCCACAGGGCAAATCCAAATGGCTTGTACCAAGGCGGAAGTCACGCACAAGGATTTACTTGGATCTCATTTCGAGGACTAGATTACTCGCTTAAGCGCACTGAGATCAAACTTCGACCAGAATGATTTTTTAATTGTAGAAATTGCGTCTTTAAGCTCTCAGCCACATATGTATGTAACTGTATCTTTCACGAATTAGAGACATCTATCAAGCCTACAGTGATTCTCTGTTAGCTTTTGATGATTGTTATATTTCCTTTAGCGGGGCGGCATCAACCGAGACGGAGTTTTATCGCGTTTAATTATAAGGATGCTGCAAGTTTTATTTACTGAAGTGCAGTAGGACAAACGCAAACAAATAGATTAGTGATTTTAAACTGGATCATTTCAGCTGCCGACTTGTCTCTTCTGAGCCAACTTATAAAGTTTGTAATCGATTATTTTTGGTAGCAATGTATGGAAATGAGTTGAATGTTCATAGAGTCCACCTGGGTGCTATAAAAGTTGTTCCTCGACGAAGTCATCAGTTGGTATCGCATAATTTGTTTTTCTCGAGCCCTTGTTTTAACAAAATAAATTATTAAATACAAAAAAAGGCGAAATATACCACACGATATGGAGAAATTCCTGAAATGAGTTCACTAATCCTTTTCCAATCTTACTACTGCCTTCATTTAACAGAATTGCGCTAATTCGGCTTGCTTTTGCTAAGGTGATACAGCTATCTTTTTTTTTTGTCGTCCGAGCAAGCACTAGAGGTCATAATTGTGACTGGAGGTGTCCTCCGAAACAAGTTCTGGTCTAATAGAGGTTTAGATCTGACTACTGGCTAGAAGTACTGTGCAAGCTTTACAGCGTGGCTGGTCACGCAAACTCTGAAAAAGTAGTAGCCCTCCTGTTGCTAACTACGAGTTTTTCTGGAAATCCCGTTGGTGCACTACGAGTTAACAAGTAAGTAAAAAAGAAAACAAAAACAACAAAAGAAACAGAGAAATTGCAGAGGGTATGTCCAGTAAGGCCTGATGTCTGTGTAGTGTTCTCCTAATTCTGATAAAAGTCACGCTCTCGTGTGTAACATCCTGTTTACCTGAAGTTAAGGATTCACCAGGGCTGATGACGACTACGAGAGACTAGTGCCACTCTACTCCCGGCCAAAACTCGTAGTCGTAGTCAGATCTAAGGTGCTCTAGTATCCGAGAGGCAATGGCTCGATTCCCGTCGTAACCTTATCATTTTAGGCTTCTCTGCTATTGCTAAAATTGCAGCTCACCAGTAAGGTCATTTCCTGCTGTAATCCTAATGCCGTTGTGTGATTCGATGCCAAGACAATAACCAAATTAACAATTGTGTGGCTGCAAATGACGATTATATTTTGAAGGACGTAAAACATGCATATATATTGGGAAGTTAATGGTTAAATATTGTGAAAAAATCAGCAGTGGCACCTCTTTGTTTCAAATCGAAGGTTGTTATTAATTATGAATCGGGATAACTTTAATTGGTTTAATTCGATTAGTTTAGATCCACCTCATTGTTAATTCAGCGAGTGCGATATCAGTCGAAGTTAGCATAGGAAAAAAGAAACATGTATCTACGGGCCCTACTGATGTTTTCACTTATGGGCCTTGCAGAAGCTTCAAATCGTTTTTCGGAGCCAGATTTTAAATCTGCTAATTTCGCAAAGGCGATAAACGATCAAAAACTCAACGGGAGTGTCCTCAGAGACTTTGAAGTAGCATCTGAAATATCTTGTCAGTTTGAATGTGTCTCTGAAGATCGATGTTTGTCATACAACTTCCTTCCCATCCACGATAAGGAGACAAGTAGATGTCAGCTAAGTGGCTCGGACCGATTTGTGAGTCAGGTGAATTTTACAAAAGAGGATGGAGCATTATATCGAGGAATACAGGTAACAAAACTGATGAACTCGAATGTCCTCGGTTCGTTAAAGTGTCTTTTCTTTTTTTCTTTTCTGAATTTATTTCAAACAGGATGCTGCGATTTTCATTACAGTCAGGCTGGTTCTTTCAAGAATTTAATAAGAATGCATTCTTTGTAAACTAGGATCGTTCTATTTCGTGAATAAATGAATAGGAGCTCTTAGATGATGCAGCGATTTTGGTACTGATTACCTTGCATGGTGAGTGAGTAATTACTGGGTTTTGAGGACACATGCTGGGCTTGGAAAGCTTGAGAAGTTGAAATGATTACAACACGATAAAGCGCTTGAAACTCTGGACTTTTGATATATTTTATGTATCTAAGGGGTTTTATCAAGCTTTATAAACAACTATTTATTATTATTTTCATATTAAACAAGTTGTTTCACGTCTCAGTTGAGTCAACTGATTCCAATACAATATCTTCCTAGAGTTATTGGTGCTGAGAAGCACCTGTTATGAAGAAGGCAGAAGTTCTCACCAGAGAAGAAACGAGAACTCCTTACTAAGGCATCATTTCGTGAAATGAATCTACCTTAAGATGAATCATAATCTAATTTAAATTTCCTTTAAAGAGTTAAGGCTGAACAAATGTTGTTAGAAATTACACAGAAGAAGCCAACATAGGAATAAATCTTGAAATAAAGCGGGATGATTTCGTTTTAGGACTTTTCAAAACAAAAACTATTTATGTTCTGAGTTTCTTTCTTTTAAAATTTAATACATGACCGACAAGAAGTTTTCAGCTATTATGGAGATTCTCAATGTTTGCTCAATGTCGGCACGTACGCCAGCGTATTGTTTTTCCAGAAAATGTTTATGTTTTCGCTTTTCTAGGTCACTAAAATCCATCAAAAGGGCGATGAGAAAGGTTCAGACTATCGTTTTCTTTAGTAAATATCATCAAAATGATTTTCTTTATGGAGCTAAGATTCCACGAAGGGAGGTGCTCGCCGGTGATAATTTGGCTTTGCCTTTGATTTTCATTTTGTGAAAAATTTGTCCTGCCGATCATTTAAAAGCCAAAAAAAAATTGGGGTTGCTGAGGCAGTTTCCTCGCTCTTTGCAATTTTGTGTTTTCTTCCTCTATCTCAAATTTGGTCTTATGAATTTTTTTTTTTTTTTTTTTTTTTATCAAAAGGTATTAGAAGGGCACAAATATGTTTAACGGTCCAGCAAATCTTGGGAAATTTCATCAAGAGACGCGATCAATCTTGCTCGAAAGATCTCTATGTTCTTTGTCGAAAAACAGTACGTAGTGGAATAGAACTTCGTATCTGAGCATGCGTAAACTTTCAACTCTGTCACGATCTGTCGCCTCTTGGCAATCTCTCCCACGGTGTTTTCTTTTCGGTTGACCCCTTTTTCAGGCGTAGAAGGCCTGTAAATATTACGGGTGCAGTTTCAGGAAAGCCAAGATTACATTACATAAAAACTGTTAAACTACTTTTAACACACCTTTTCAAATAACAATCCCGCGATAGTATCGAACCGCCATACTTGTGGACACTTTTTAAGCTCGCGCTATGTTTGCACCCAGATCTCGCGGTCAAAAAACCCTATGGAGCCTCCTTAAATGAAAAAATCCGTCATCATCCTTTTGATATCTCTTTGTATAAAGATTTTCTTTATTTATTTTTTAGAGCACCTGCGAGGAAGATGATCCTTGCAAGGAGAATGAAACTTGTGTTGCTAACTACAAATCAAACACTCATGTTTGCAAGTGTATTAGAGGTAAGTGGAGATCCGCTCGAAGAAAGACAAAAACCATTCTAGGAGAGGGATACACTGAAAATGCCGAGGACAGATGAAACGGGGAGATTAGCACAAATGAGGCAAGCTTACGAAAGATCAAGTGTGTAACGTCCATTACAAAAAAATTTAGAGAGAGAGAGTGAGGGAAAGAGAATATATAATTTTTGTTCTTGTCAAAGCATTTTACTTTCGCGTTTAATTTCTAGATTGCCCCAAGAACTGTCTAGACTATTATCAAAATGGTTCCAAAACTGACGGTGTGTACAGGGTTTACCCAGATAAAGAAGAACCCTTTCAAGTGCTGTGTGACATGACAACTGATGGTGGAGGATGGACCACCTTTCAAAGGCGCATGGATGGCTCCGTAGACTTTTATGTCGACTGGAAATCATACAAAAAAGGCTTTGGAAATCTGGAGGGCGAGTTTTGGCTCGGAAACGATTATCTTCACCGTCTGACTGCATCTGCCAGCATGGTGTTTCGAATTGATATGGAGGATTATGAAGGCGACCAAAGATTTGCAAAGTACATGACTTTCGCTGTGGCCGACGAAAGCGATGATTATCGGGTGACAATCGATGGATACCGAGGCACCGCTGGCGATGCATTGGTTTCCCTTGATAGGCCCATCAGGTTTGTTGCATTGCAGCTTTTTGTATTTTGCTCTGGGAATGACCAGTAATATAAGGGTAACTTCTGAAAAGCTCCTGCCCAAGAATTTGGAAATACGTTGAGGACTGCTGGAAGTCGAGGATCCCAATTCTTAAGCTGATCAGCTTTTTTCTTCTAATGACAAATCTAAGCTAAAGTATTGCATCATCGCCGATCAGATTTTTCAACTTCCCGTTTATTGCTAACTAGGATTGCTTCTTTCATAAAGATTTCACGTCAAATTCATGTTGACGCTATTAACCTAAAAAACACGTGTACTTGCTTTACAATTCCGATAATTATCGGGTGACAATCGATGGATACCGAGGCACCGGAGGCGATGCATTGCTATCTCTCAATAAGCCTATCAGGTATTGGTTCATAGCAGCTTTCTGTACTTTGCTCTGAGAATCACCAGTAATACAAGGGTAAGTTTTGAAAACCTCCTGTCCAAGAATTTGGAAGTACGTTTAGGATTGCCGGATCCCTGCACTTAAGCTGATCAACTTTTTTCTACAAATGACAAGACTAAGTTGAAATATCACATTCCGGATGCATCATCGCCGATCAGATATTTCAACTTCCAGTTTATTGCAAACCAGGATTGCTCCTTTCAACATGATGACATCAAATTCATGTTGATACTATTAACTTTAAAAAAAAAAAGCGTACTAGATTACAATTCTATGTTCTCAAACTTTCCTGATGGGGGAATCGTTTTATGTGCACTGCTGACAATTAGTGCTACTTACATATATCCCACCACACAGTGCCGTCTGCACTTTACCGACTATGATATGCTGTTAGAAGCATTGCTTCCTCGCTTTTTCTCAGTTTCTTACGGAATGCCTTTGATATCCTAGAAACATGAGGTTTACAACGAAAGACAAAGATAACGACGTTAAAAGCAGTGGAAACTGTGCGTTAAACAATAAGGGTGGCTGGTGGTATAATAGCTGCCATAACGCCAATCCAAATGGTTTGTATAAAGGCGGAGGTAACGCACAAGGTATTACGTGGGGGTCATTTCGAGGACAAGGATATTCTTTAAAGCACACCGAGATCAAAATTCGACCAGCATGATTTCATGTGGTAGCTGCATCCTTAAGCCAATAGTAAACTGTAGCTTCTAATTAAGAATTAAAGATATCTGTTTTGCGTAGAGTTACAATTCTTAATTTAATTTGTGATGATTGCAATATACAAGTTCGGTTAACGCGACATATTGTTGGCAGATGGCGCGTTTAGCTGTTGTCTTTCAACGCTCTTAGTGGTGATAAACTTTCTTAAATTTTGTTTGTGAAATAGTTTTATTGATTTATCTACGTATGTAGAGCACTTTTTCTGTCTTTGAATTTATGTCACTCCCTCAGTAAGAGAAAGGCACTTTTAATTCGTATTATGAAAACGTTACTTATTTTGTCAGATGAGACTTTCCTAGATATTGATGATGAGCTTAGTTTTAATTAAACGTTTAAATGTCTCAGAGATTGTTTAATTGAGCGAGTTATTTCGTCACTGAGGCTGGCTTGCAAACGCACTTAAAATAAACATCCGCGGAGCCCAGCAAAATATCTCCCGTCAACTCGATGAAAAGAGACCTGCTACGATTAGCTCGTGTTTCATCTTTTCTCTGGTACCTTACACATACCTCAATTGAAAACCTGTCATCTTTCTTTTCTTTACTGCATCTTTCAATAAATAATTACCTCAAAATATAATTTTAAGTGTCTGCTACATTTCAAAAAGAACTTAGATAACTATATAAAAATAACTATGGAGAACGATGTTCTGGACCACGAGACATTTGCTTAAACCCTGAACTCCCTTTGGAGATAGTGCTAAGTTGAATTATGGCCAACAGATCTATAAAGACGCGTAAATCTTAACTCTGTTACAAATCAAGAGAGGAGGGTTCCTCCTACTTTTTTGAAATATTTGCGTCCCTGTTTATCGAAGATTGCTTAATGCTTTTCTAACGTAAAATGGCTGTCAACGCTCTCCCTAAGCGTTACGTTTTGTCTGGAATGATTTTTGTTGGATTCTTTGTTATGTCCGGGCTGAGAGTAAATTTGAATGTCGCTATTGGTGCGATGGTCAATAATCACACGGCTGTAGTGGATGGAGAAATAATCTGCAGGGTAAGTGAAGACAGCACCTCAGAGAAAACTCGTTCATGTAACACTTAAATCAACTTGTGCCAGATAAAAATCCTCATGCAAACACTAAGAGAAGCTCATAATATAAAAAAAACTCGGGGTCGATTTTTTTAATGTATATCGTTGGTAACGATAGTGAAACGTAGTTAAGCTTAACACTTAGTTAATTATCATACCACTTTTCGATCCACTTCATTTTTCAATTCACTATTGCTAGCGATCACCGCTTGCAGCCGACCATGACTTATTTTAGCGCTATTGGTTTGTCTCTATTCTATGATTCCATTCTTCCGTAAGCGACCACTTCACGTGGGCCGACCTCAGTACAGGTGCCCTTCGTGTAACCGGACGTTTTAAAAGCCACAAATGTTGGTCGATATACCGTGTGTTTGCCATTCAGTTTGAAAGTGACTTACCAAGAGACACTCTTTTTGCAAGATTTTTTACTTTCAAGATTGCGATGCAATCGTGTAGTTATTCTTTTGGATAAAAACGTGTTTTCCATGACATCGCTATCGGGTTTAACATTGTATTTCTAAGGATATCAAATTCCTAAATGTTTATTTTCCTCCAAACAAAAGAAATTATATACGTAACACCTAATCGGTAATAATGTTTTATCAACGAACTACCTTTATGTGATAAAATTGTTACTTCAGAATTGTCTTAACTGTTCTACAGGAAGCGGAATTCAAATGGGAACCTGAACTGAAAGGTAAAAAAAAATAAATGAATCAATTAAAAGTGCGATAATGCTGCATTGCTAAAAATAAATCGTGGCGTCAAGATCCTATGGTAGGAAATATTCACATGACAGGCGTCTGACAAGGAAACCACTCACAGTTTAGTGTACATTCGATGGCTATGGTAATGACATTTGTTATGGGATATACCTGTAACGATAAATACCTGGAAATTTCCAGAATGCTGAGACATGCTGACTTGCATAACATGGAACCATATGAAACATTATATTAGGTCACGTAATCATAATGTAATAATACTAAAATAGTTGTGTTGTAAGCCTCCAGAATGTTTGAGAATACTTTGTAGAATTATTTCGTAACTCTTGTCGGGAGTGACCGACTGTTTGGAAAGCTATACCGAGGGAAAGCTACTGTGAAATTGTTCCTCTCAAGGAGCATTGAAGGAAACTGTGATTTTTTTTGGTCAGTGGTGAGCTAAGATATACCTTGTAGTGGGCTTAAGTAAGTGTATTGAGGATTAATACTGTACTGACCATAGGATTGGCTCCTCATTAAGAATATTATTACAGGTTGTGTAATAAAGCAGTTGAGTCTGTGGGATTGCAATGTTCTTTCTGTCGGTTAGATTATGACGCAACACAAGATAACTTAATTTTCTTCCCTTAGGTGTAATTTTAGGATCATTTTATTACGGTTACATGGTGTTCCAAATCCCAGGGGGATGGTTAGCATTACGAGTGGGTGGAGCTCGTCTGTTTGGAGCTGCTGTCATGATCGCCTCATTGTTTACTTTGTTAACTCCCATGGCAACGCGCTGGAACCCAGTTGCATTGATTGTATTAAGAATATTAGAGGGCCTCGTGTTGGTGAGTTAAAAATAATAATAATGATGACACTGATAACGATTGAAGTAAAAAAAAAGTGAAATTAGTACTAATATTTTAAATAATGCAGTTGAAAAAAGTCATTTTTTTAGGAAATTGTCTTAAGCTTCGATATTAAAGTAGTTAGCGACTTACAATAACATATTTCATCAGGGATAAAGTCTCATAAAACTGGGGCAATGCATACGATTATATTTAGGATTAATACTTAATTTCTTTACCAGGCATTTGTCGGAGGGAGGTAATGTGCGGAAAATAGAATTTTGACTTACAGAGGAACTTGAGCCCTTTATTACACCCATTTTGAAATCACTGGTGGTTCCTGTAATCTGATTGGCTCTAATTGATGCGATTTATTCACAAATTGCACCATTTTTTGCTTTAAATCGCATCTTTTTTCCAGCCAGTGAGGTGGCTACACTAAAAACAAAACAACCAATCAGATTTTAAGGCTTGTTCAAAGTAACCGATCAAATTGCAGGAAAATGAAAGACAAAGAGTGTCATGCGGCAAATTTTGCAACTTTTGTTTCAAAAACTCTTATTTATTACCCCCAAAAAAGGGATGAATTTAATTTCAGACCGGCTCAGTGATACATCAATGAAATATTTGAACTTACCAGGTCCTGTATTTGGGTGATTTCAAAATGGATGTAATAAAGTGGTAATTGAACCTCGTGTCGTGCAATTTTGGTCTGAAATCATTCTTGTGATTATAAATCGAACTCGCGCTGGGCGCTCGTTTGATTTTGAAATCACGCGTATGATTTCAGCCCAAACTGCACTCCACTCAGTTCAATTACCATTATGTATCATAAACATATTTAAACGCTTAAAACAAAATGTCAGAATTTGTCCTCTTGGTAAGTAGTTTTGTAGCCAGTGTAACTTTATACGTACAAGTGCGATTTTACAAAAAAAATTTTTCTTGTGTAAGGACCACGCCCAACGTTCTCACCATTACCGGTTAGTCTTTGCAAAAGTAATGGCAATTCCTTGAGATATGACTGCAATGAATAAAGGAACTAATTTGTTTACTTCCATGAATGTCAGGGTGTTCTATTTCCTTGTAATCACGCTATGTGGAGTCGATGGGCGCCTTCAGCTGAGAGAACAACTTTAGTGATGGTTTCCATAACAGGTTTGCCCTATAATTATATCTGGTGATTTTCCTTCAACAAAATCTACCCATGCACTCACGCACTTGGACTTTGCTTATCATCTCAGGGGGAAGCATTGGATACCTCCTTACTATGCCTATTACAGGCTTGCTCACCAAATATGGTTTTGATGGGGGCTGGGCCTCCGTATTTTATTGCTTTGGTGAGTATCTGAGCTCAATACAGTATTGTGAAATTTTATCGTTTGGAAGTAATGCGTCAAAGACATATAACGTACGAGTTTTATATGTCACTGACTTCCTTTTCCATTTGAGTTATCGATGATTTAAAAATTATTTCGATTTTATTTACGTCTTTATCTGAACATTGCAATGTAGCTGCTGCTGCTTTTATTCTTTTGCAATAAACTGCTGTATCTATGCTTAAGACTTGTTTCGATTCTATGAGTTTTAAATAGTTTCTACTCGTAGGTCGATAACGATTTTCGTCATGAAAGTTGGATAAGTTCAAACTGAAGGGCTCGTTAGACCTAAGCTAATCTTTCCTCCCTGTCACTCACGCGTGCCTGTAATATCCTGAGGTATCCACCCTCTCCTCCCTCCATTCCACTAAAGGGCCTCTTGCCTTAGAAGAGGTGGCTAAACCAGTCAGTCAGTCAGTCAGTCACACAAGAATGCTTAAATAGAAGCCGTACCGAAAATGATTTTATGGATTTTTTTTTATCAGGTGTGTTTGGTATAGTGTGGTACTTCGTTTGGCTGATGGTTGTCTACGAGTCTCCTGCACTTCACCCGACCATATCAGATGACGAGAAGAGTTTAATACAAGAAACAGCCCTGGACTTGTCTAAGGTAGGTCTCGTACATGACCTTTGGTGTACTTCTAAATGGGCAATGTTCCCTGCAGTGTTTGTGGTATTCTTGGTTTACATGTATGATCCAGTTCCATGGCATATGATGTTTAGCATGTGGAGCTAATTTATACTAAAGGGATAGCCTATTCTTTAAATGCTTAAGCGAGAACTGGATTATTGGAAATGAGAAAAAAAATTAAAAACATGGGAATTCGACTAAGATTCAGATAAGGAAATTTGCCTCGAAACTTAGGTTATTTAATCTCCTCACCTCAATTCCACTCGCCCCCGCTCTCCTCCCCTACCCTCTCCATCCCTTCTCCTCCCGCGCGTCTCCACTTCCTCTTTTTGTTCAAGACCTGACCTAAGTGGTCTGGAAAAATAAAGTAAATTGTGACTGAATATCCGCGTTTTTCCTAAGTTAGAGACAGTCTTCATGCGTTGATTTTATCTTTTCTACGCATTCTTCTTCAACTTTATTCTGAGTTTCCTTGTCCATTCTATAACGTTACATACATCTTTCCTTTTTTTTTATGATTATTTTTATTTGATTTAATCCCAACATATAGTACTGTCTTTCTTTCCTCAGGTAGAGAATATTGTAATTCCTTGGAAATCTATCTTACTATCACCACCTGTTTGGGGAATAATTGCGGCCAATTTTGCATTGGATTGGGCGTTTTATATTTTGCTTATATCGATGCCAACTTTTCTACTAGATGTCATGAAAACATCTATCACCAGTGTGAGTTTATAGCACCATGTTAAGAATAGGCCAATTCTAACAGCAGAGCTTTTGTTAGCACATTTATGTACCTGTATTCATTATAAGACCCGCCCAGGCCAGAGTCCGGCTCGGTGAGATGCGAGATGGAAAAAACGCAAGGAGAAAGTAAAAAAAAACGAGGCCAGTATTATCTATATGCTCAGTCTACACAGTATGACCTCTAGCAAACTATTTTCTTATTCGGCACTCATACTCTATCGAGAAGTAAATAATGGTCCTCGCTAAGCTTCTAAACTGGGCTGCTTTCAACTAAAACTAACATTCAGTGTTATTCTTCTTTTCTTATCTTTATTTTCAGATGGGATTTATGGCTGCTTCACCTTTTCTCGTCAAAGGTGTTTGTTCTCCATTGTCTGGCTTAGCAGCAGATGTGCTGAGGAAAAGCACGGTATCTACAAAGAACGTCAGAAGAGTTTTTTACGCTGCTGGTACGAAAAAAAAAACCGACTCACCAGTCCATATTTTCTATACCTCTAAGTTGGCTAAAGGTTTCTTAGTGACTTGTCTGTGGTAATTGTCAACGATTTTCAGTGAAATGACTGAACTAACTCAACTCGTTTTAACTTCAAGATCCGAAAACGTATGTACTCAATTTTCGTGGTAGATATCCTTATCATAGGGTTGGCTCCAAGTACTAGAAAGATTAAGCGAATCCTATATTTTAATTGGCCTCTCGGTCGGGATCGCCCTCTTTCATCTTGCTGGTTTCATTCTACAAGTTATTAGGCAATTTTTCTATATAACAAGAAAAACGAAAAAACGTGTTCTGGCTGTTTTAGCTAACACAGGGTTACAAACCCCTTTTTCTTCAGAGTGAAAAAAAGGAGATCAGCGATTTGGTGGATTTTTCTCTAATACCTGTTACTCGCTTAAGATGACTGGATATAGGTTTCATCCTCGTATCGGTCAATAAAAGCGCAACTTCCAGTCTCCATTACCTCGAGCTTTTTGCGAATTTTGTCTACACCTTAACCGATAATCTATTTCACCTTTCTTCTAGATAATAATGTCTTCCTTTTTCTTCTCCAGGCGCCATAGCGAGTGGGTTTTTAGTACTCATAGCTGGTTACTCTTTAAATGTCACGGTGGTTGTTATTTGCATGAGTCTGGCTGGATTGACCACGTCACTGGCATTCCCGGCATACACTGTGAACATGCTAGACATTGCTCCGCGTTACTCGAGTATCATCATGGGCGTTTGTAACACTGTTGGAACTACAGCTGGGTTTGTCAGTCCAACAATAGTGGGATTCATTACCCAAGATAAGGTTGGTATGGAGTGCATTTCGATTGATTGCAGTTAAACCAAAGCCAAGTAATTACAAAAGCCAATCACAGCAAAAGAAAATGTCACAAAGAGCCAATCAGAATTCATAGTAAAAGCACAAAGCCAATTCATTTTACCTAAGAGCAATCAGCCATTAATTTATCTAGTAATGCGATTTATAAACATGTAGATACCATGTTTTAATCTGAGGCGAGCAGGGAAACTCAAAAATCGAAATCTTCAGGTGAAAGATTATTTTTCCTTTTTGATGACATTCAGGAACAGAGTAACTCTTAAAACATTATAAAGTAAGGCAGAAGAGACCTAGACTATGCAGTACTTTTCAAGATACGAGCCCTGAGTAGCCTAGCGTTCATGCACTCGACCCGGGCCTCCCGCATAGTCCGCCATATTTGCATTCAGTCTATATCAAATCATAAAAGCTCCTAATGTAAATGCTGTACTCTAAGCTTTCAAAAAAAATGTTTGACCACATATGCAAACTTCCTTTCCTTCTTTTATAGACTGCTGAAGAGTGGCAAAGGGTCTTTTTGTTAACATTTGTAATTTTACTTGGAGGAACTTTCCTATTTTGCCTTTTGATGTCCGGAGAACGACAGAATTGGGACCAAACTATGAATAAACCAACAGACGAAAACATTGAATCTGAAAGTGCTACTGGTAGCTAGAACAATCCTAGACATAGGTTCTTTGCGTACCTTCGTATACAATATACATATATAATATATATATATATATATATATAATCATTATTCATCCGCTGGCGGGGAAACGGGGGGGGGTGAGGGGGTTGGAGGATTTGGTTGTTTCACAATACCGTATAACTGATCTTGCCACAGGACTCTGTAATCATCTTACGATCCCCCCTCCCCCTCATTGTGGTAAATTGACCGTAAATGTCCTACACTAATTTAGTGTTAACAACTGAGTTGAAAACGTAAATTAGCCACCGTAAAGGGTAAAAAAGCTGACGATTCGAGCGTTAGCCCTTCGTCAATCGCTCTGACGAAGGGCTAACGCTCAAAACGCTCAAAACGCTCAACTCAAATTACCTACTATACTCTCCCACCGACGCAGCATCACAGCTTCTTTAGAAACTTACCCCTTTATTTAATGTCCTATAGTACTTCGTTTATACTTTGCTGGCGACGAATGATTCCGCCTCCGTTTCCTATGAAAACCATGCAATTCTCCACCCCAAAAACCTCTGCCTCTTACCCTAACCCATCCCAGGTGATAAATAACGAGTGGTTCTTCAGCAATTTTCTGAGTTGGTTAATCCAGCCAATCCGTGGTGAGGAAACCAGTTTGTACGTTATTCAATAAAGTTTTCCTTTGTTGTGCAAAATAGAGTTGAGATGCAAAATGAATGTGTTCTGCAAAAGTGTATAGAACTTTCCTGCGAGGGAACCTCTTAGTTAACATTTGTCAAGGTTTGTATTTGAACTTTTTCTCTAATTAAACTCTCCGTTTGTTATTTGTTTTCTTTTGTTTTTTTTATCATTGTATATTCTCTATCAAATCTAAGGTGTCGCATTTTAAGATGTTCCGACGGGCGCCACCTGTAATCCACCATGTTAAAACCTCAAGCAAACTACTTCAAAATGGCTAAATGCTTTTTTATGACATACGGTTTAAAATACATCTATACTACCTTACTCTTTGATAAATAAAATGAAAAATGATCAATAGAGCACTAATGAAATATGATACGTCTTCTCATACAGTATTTGGTATTGTATTGTTACTTAATGTTTTTAACTGTGTAGTTATGATTAATTAATGAAATTCAAATTTCCGCTGCTAAGTAGCGCGAATTGATCGGCGTATCTATGTATCTTGTTTCATGCGGACAGCGTAGTAGTTCTATGCATCTCCCTGTCAGAGATTGCACTCCGCTGGACAAAACTTTTAGTTCTATGAGGACTATCTTCGGGCATAATTCAAATCAAGTGCACCATATTGTAAGTATTGTCAGATACGCTGTAAATATTTTTACAAGGATTTAGTGGCCTTAATTTAAAAGAATGGCACCTTGTTCGAATGGGATTCCGAAGAGGTACGTCCTTTCCGTCTTGGTGTTTTGGGGTTTCTTTACAATGTACGCGTTGCGAACCAATCTGAATGTGGCCATCGGAGCAATGGTCAAAAACCACACAGTTGTCATCGATGGAGTCGAGACAGAAAAGGTAGATAACGCTACTCTTACTTGAATCCCTTGATTCAAAATTTTATTACGCTACATAATTAGAGAAAGACAACTCGCAGACTGATCATGGAATAGAAACCGACAAGGAGGTAAAGGTCTGTGGTCCGTGGTTTCGCGACTCAAGGGATTTTTTCAAGTAGAGAAGGTCAGGGTCTTGAGTTTTCCGAATAAATTTAACACCCGCCGTGACCGACTTTACACGTGCGGGTGGCATTTTTAAAAATGATAAATTCAAGTTTTCATATCACCGAAATCAAATAACCACATAGTAACGAAGACTGCTGCTTGTAAAAGAGGGAAGAATCTTCGCCTGTTAAATAAAGTAAGCTTTCAGAGCGTGCACTCAGATTGCGTGGTATTAAATAATCAACTAAATTCTCTAACATGTAAGGAAGTATCAATGACACTGTAAAAAGCAATGCCAACACAATTTTGTTGTTCCTCTTGCATCAAATTGACACCACCGACTTTGATACTGACTGACCACAAGGATCGCGAAATATATTTCCAAGATCGTGGTCACGGCAAAAATCCTTGCCAATCCGGTCGCCCATAGCAAGGCTGGAATAAACAAGTGATAAACGCATTTAAACTTTACCCAACTTGTTTCGTCGTCAAGTTCTTTTTCTCGCTTTTTTTTTCCCAGGAGGCAGAATTTAAGTGGAGCTCAAAATTACAAGGCAAGATTAATTTGAAATTGTCGTTGTTCTGTGTTGACGTATGGTATATACATAGAGAATAATACATGGCTGCGCGTAGATATGGAATTTCTTATAGTGTGTTCAACTAGAGTTCAACACAAGAAATTCCATCCTACAAGCAGCCATGTAATATTTTGCATATGACATGGAAGCAACAAGCCTATAAGGAAAATCCTTGTAAAACTCCGCAGTTTACATGATAAAGTTCTTTAACGATTCTTGTTAAACTCAACCTCACTTCCTTTACGGATAATAATAAGTTGTGTCACTATACTCACAGGGGTGGTACTGGGTTCGTTTTATTACGGCTACGTTGCGTTACAAATCCCCGGAGGCTGGCTTGCCTTAAAACTCGGAGGAACACGCCTGTTTGGTTCAGCGGTGCTGATGGCTTCGGTCTTAACATTATTAACCCCGTTAGCTTCCAGAGCAAGTGTGGTGCTTCTTATTGTTGTACGAGTTTGTGAAGGATTGGTTCTGGTTAGTATTAGTTTTAATTACCGAATTCATATACGAAATAACGCACGATGGAAAAGTAACAATCCTAGATGCAATTCTGATTTTATCAATAAGCAAGTGGGTTATGTGTTAGTTTTATTTGAGCGGTCCTGTTGAAGTGACCGTTCAATACAGTTAACTAAAAGACACAACGCTAACAGGCCGTTGGGACTCGGTCAAAGATGACCGCGACCGCTCAAGAGGTGACCGCTTTTTGAAGGTGAAAATTGCAGTAACTAAGGGGAAAAACTTAGGACTTTGACAACTGACCACATAGTACATGGTGACCGCTAAATACAATGCGCCCTAAGGCTCGACTCTACAAAGACTATAACCTCCCACGTTACCTCAGACTTCCCTTTTTTTTCATCTCTAATCTGCCTCTCTAGCTACTACCTGGTTTCTGACACATATTTGCCAACTATTAGGGAGTATTGTTTCCTTGTAACCACGCTATCTGGAGCAAATGGGCACCAAGCATGGAGAGAACTACTTTAGTCACTATAGCAGTCACAGGTACTTTTCAAACCCGTTCATTTATCATTGATTTGTTTTATGGATCGTTGAAAATTGGTCTAAAAAAATTGTTTTCTTGGATGGAATTATACCGAAGAGACAAGAATTAACCACTGGCGTAGCACATTGATGAAGGATGCAAAAGATCGGCATGGATTTCAAATGACAATCTTGAGAAATCTACTCCTAAATTTTTACGAGAAGCACAGGTCGCAACGAACTTCCTTCTGCTGGTCTCCCACTCAATTTATGGCAAGTTGGTAAAGAAATAAAGATATTTCAAATCGTTTCCTTCAGCTTGGTTTTTTTCTTCTTTTAATGGTTTCCCCATGGTTGGAACAAAATGTTTTCAAAAATGCAAAACTTGACATTTCTGATTGAAGGTTGCACTGTTGGCAGTATAATAACAATGCCGATTTCTGGGTTGTTAACAAGATATGATCTTGATGGTGGATGGCCAGCTGTGTTCTATGCATTTGGTAAGAAAAATGTTTAAGATATACAAATAATCCTTAGATTGCTTTGCTTAATCAGGCAAATAAAAAAAGATGAACCAATTCTCTAAGGCCTCAAACCGGATTCAACAGTCAAAGGAAGAAGATCGATTGACATCTAAGCAAAACCGTGATCAATGCTCAACCTCAACCGAGCGCATGGAGATCAAGTCTTTTATTCCCCTTCGCGCCCAAACTTATTTTTATCAATCCAATTTCCAGCATGACAATAGCCAAAAAATAACAAAAAATTAGGGCCCCAAAAACATTGCTTTTGTTAAACACTTTGAAACTTCTCTATTCACAGGAATATTTGGCATCATGTGGTATGTGGCTTGGTTTGTTTTTGCGTTCGAATCTCCATCAGTTCATCCTACCATAACATATGACGAACGCTCCTACATTGAGCTTACCGCCGTTAATATGGAAGAGGTTAAAGTCTTTAAGTTCCCTATTGTTTTGAGAGGACTTAAAAATGGATGCTTAACAACAAAAAATAATTTTTTATCGACCAAATTTATGAAAAAAAAAACCCGTCAGATTTTTAAAATTGTATTGTTTATAATTGGGAGTAAGAACTTAGTTCAAATAATTATTCCTGTTTTTCGACTGGTGAAAATCCGCGACTGTTAGAAACGAAAAGATCTCATTGACTCTATGTCATGAATTCCCTGTAGAAGAATAAACTTGCTTTGTTTGTAGCTCGTAACACTAAAAGATCCAGCAGAGTCTTCGGATAGGATAGATTAAGGAAATGAGAAACTAAGTTTACCCCAATTCTTCGGCATAGCGGTTGAATGCGGAAGAATCTTGCAATAATATATGTATATATATATATTTATATATTACTAGGAAACAACTTGCTTTAGACTTGAATTTTACGGTATTACAATTTATCAACAACTCGAGTGTTTCATTCGTAGGTATCTCATGGTACTGTACCTTGGAAATCGATTTTGACCTCGGGTCCTGTTTGGGCCATCATTATAGCCGCTTTTGCTTCCGATTGGGGCTTATATGTGTTACTCATTTGTGTTCCTCTTTTTCTGATGGACATCTTGCACTATGAAGTTGCAGCGGTGAGTTATTATTCAGAAAATAATGTAAATGATTAACACAAAAATATCTGGATCATGCCTTGCGGCCACGCAGAAATAGATCTGCAGTAATTAATACGCTTGGAAGTTAGCTGACATCGAAAATTATATAAATGCTTAATTTAGATGTGAAGAAGATATTCATAATTGCAACATTAAACACGTCCACTGTATGTCATATATAGATTATTCTATACTAACTTTTGATTAACAATAAAAATTGTTTCGATGAAAGTTGGGGTAGGCAGTGGCGGTTTTGTTCGTAAATTTCTTAGGAAGTAGTGTTTGATTTTGCCTCACTGTTAGTTTTGCCTAAAGTGCTGTCGCGGGAGGATCTTAACCAGAATAGTTTAATTCCGCTGAATTCGTTTACAAGGCAAACGGAAGTCATTATTCGGAGTCGTGCACAAGAAGACTGACGTTCTGATTGAAAACAAAGTAAAAGTACAAGGCGCGTAGATTACTTGAAAAAGGAAGAATTGGTATTTTTAAGGAAACATTCTCAGTGCAAACGACGACTTACGATCCTATCTTAACTAGAAATGACTTTCATGAGATATAGATATCCCAACTGACAAAGCTCAGACTGTCCCTCATCATCCTCCTACTTTCTTTTTTTGCCATTTCTACCTTTTTTTATATTTCAAAGCAAATTAGAGAATAGCAACAACTTTTCTTTCAGCCTGGCCCGACCGAAATTAGTTTACTTTTGTAATGTACACATAATCTTTTGTACGATTTACTTTTACTCGGCTCATTTTCTTCGTCTCAGATGGGATTTGCGGCTGCCGCTCCGTTTGTTTTCAAATCTTTAACTTGTCCCTTGGCGGGAGTCATCGCTGACCTTCTCAGGCGGAATATTCTTTCTACCAAGACGGTGAGACGCGTGTTCTACACAACAGGTATAGCACAATTTTTAAAAGTGGGAAATGGTAAAGCAGAATCCCAGTGGTATCAGGCGAAATGCTCGCGAAATGGTCCTGAAGTAAGAAACCGTTATAGCAGACCTGAAACGTCTTTTGAGTTACATGGCGGATGGCATTAACATTAGGTCTTCGTTATAGTGTAAATGGTTTTCATTATCCTGCGTCCTGTACGTACGCCTTTACTCCTTTTGTCAGAAGTTGATCACCTTGATGAACTCTATGCAAATAAAATTGCTTTCTCGTAAATATGAGATTCAAACCAACACATACATTTTTTCTTGACGTGGAATGCCACAGGAATAGCCAATAAAACGAAAACAGTCTTTAATTAACCAAGACATCTAACTGACGATCCTCCGCTTGCCAAGTATACCGGGTACTTTGTATATGATCGCATTTTGTTTTGCAGGTGCAGTTACCGGTGGACTATTTATTCTAATAGCGGGCTATTTCAAGAATCCTGATGCTGTGATAGGTTGCATGTGCGTTAGTGGAGCTGCCCTCGGATTGGTTTATGCGGGCTTCCAAGTAAACATGTTAGATATAGCGCCGAGAAACGCGTCTATCATCATGGGCATCGTGAACGCGGCCAGTAACACCGCTGGCTTTCTCAGTCCCATGTTGGTTGGGTTCATAACGCATCACAAGGTTCGATCCACTAAATAGCTTTGCTCGGCCGACAGTATCACTCTGTTGTGTGTCTTTTCCATGTGTGTCATGGTACTCCTCCCTCCTGTGTACTGGTCGAAAGTGATATCCATTATACAGCTTTGCTCGGCTAATAGCCTCTTTCTGGCGTATGGCCTGACGCAGTCCCGTGGTACATGGACTCAGCCCTCCCCTTTTACACTGGAGTGGAGGCTGAGTAACCTGCCACGAGAGTATTTTTGACTTTATCGCCAAAGGAATGGAATGTTTTTTTTTCCTCGGTGCATCCTTAGCTATTTTAACCACTTAACCGAAAAAGCAGTTTTTTTCTATAAGATCTGTACTTAACCTTTGCTTCTTTGCCTCCTGTTGCCTTTCAGACTTCTGGAGAATGGCGGACAGTTTTTTGGATAACATTTCTTTTATACGTCATTGGATCTATTGCTTTCATGGCGCTAATGACAGCTGACAGACAAGAATGGGACAAAGTTGAAGGGGCTTCGAGAGAACCCAGTTTAGATGTCGCCACTACACCGTGATAGATCTTTATTTTATTAACATAGTGTAGCTAAACACTACATGTTTAACGCCACAACTTGAATGCACGTATAATCTAATTCCCAGATAGACAAATACTTAGACGTAAAGATGCGCAGATGTGTAATTGTGATTCGACTGAAAATAAATAATTGATACAAATATCTAAGTACAAATATAACAGAAAAAAGATAACGAAAGAGCTGCTTGAAATAGAAACGAACTTCCAATTTGTGGCGTAATTAGGTTCGGTAGTAAAACTCTTAAACAAAAGTTACACGGTGTTCTCAAAAACTGACGAAACGACTGACTTAAAGATGTTTTTCGCCTTGTCATGAGCATGGGACAAAGAAAAAATTTTCATGTGGAATCGAACCTCAGACCTTCAGATTCCGCGCTTTTTCCTTTGTCCCTCGCTCGTGACAAGACGAAATACATCTTTATTTCTTTACCGCGCTCAAAGAATTGACTTAGTTAAAATAAACTAACAACGTGAACTTAATTTAATAGAAACACAACATACAACAGTTGTTCAATTGAAAGAAAAAACAATATAAAATAATTTCGCAGTTATTTGACGATAAACAGAAATGAAGATTTTAGTTGCTACACATAAATCTTCTATACAGGTAGAGATAGATAAGAATTAGAAAGTAAAATAACATTCTTATAAATCGAGCAGGATTTGTATATTTTTGAGGAAATTTTTTTTTTTTATGTACACTCGTGTATTTTTTAAATCCACCGAAGGATCTAAACTTCGGCACAAAAATTAAAGGTTACTATTTTAAAATACGGATCAATATGTTCATGTATAATGTGTTTAGCCTTTTGAATTTCACCGCTAATTCGCTAACATAAATTAATTTTTGAATGATAAATTTGTGCGTCGTTACTAGTAATCATAAAAGTGTTGTTTTTCCAAGATTTCCGTATTCCTTCTCGCTCCAAACCTTTTTACGTTAACTGCATGATTGCAGTCTTTCTTCCTTTTTCATTCGTAAGGCATTCTTCCGATGTGCGTAGTTGTTTGGCTTCATCTTTTTGCTCCGTCCATCTTGTCCTACCATGTTGGATTCTTTCCGCGCTCATTTTGCAAAGAATTGTATTTCTTGAGTCACTTCGAGTGGGCAGTAGGATGTAGTTGATGTTAACTACGTTTAAGTTGGAATGAATTTCTTAAATACGCAATAGAAGAGCGGTTTAGAACGAATTTTACGGAGCGCAAAGACTGTTGTGTGGTGTTCATAACGCGTGTCGTATTATTATTATTATTATTATTATATTCACATTGATTGTCTATCATTGATCGGAGTAAAAGAAAAATGATGACGAAGTCTCATACCAGATCCTCTTATCCTAAGCTGGGTTCTCTAAATGAGTAGCAACTGGAAACGCAGTATTTTCGCAGTATCATACTTGAGAACTGTCCAAAGATTAATATCACACGACAATGAAAACAGTTTTTGTGGCTAATGGCACTTAATATTATTGTTACCTCAACGTAATACTGCTTTACTTACTGTGTAATGCGGAATAAAATAAACAAGACGACACGATGTCGAAGCTAAGACCTAGATAATATTTTTGTTTTAAAAAGGAAAATAACGATGACATGTAAGAGAAAGGTAGACATCTTAGATCTCATCGATCCCTAATGCCATAATGCCACTTTTCCTTCAGATTTTAGGTTTATTTCGTATTGCTGTTCTGTTATTAGTATTGCATCGATAGTTCAAAGAGAAATTTTATATACTTCTAGAGGTTAAGGAAGATCCAAAGAAATGTTTTAACTCAAAAGTGCCCTCAACTTGATGGAGATTTAAAACGTTTCCTTGGCAAGATACAAAAGTTAATAATAAAACACAAAAGAGAATGAATGGCTAAGGATGTAAAAATAGATTACCGTACCATGATTAAAAATTCCGATTTGCAAAAATTTGAAAGTGATATTGCTTCCTCAAGATTAATATTAGCTGCAATGAAAAATGAGCACGTCATTAATCATTTTTCATACAGAGTACCAAGCTGCTCATTCGAAATCACAACGATGAATCACTCTCTGGAGAATACCAGCTACTTTTTGGCTTCTGGCATTTCAGTAGAAAACTGTTCACTTCCTCTGTCTCATGGATTAGCCCTTATCTCAATAAACACTATCGTGAGTATAGCGGGAACGCTTGGGAATCTACTGGTTTGTTTAGCAGTTGCCAAAATTCCTCGCCTTCGCAGACCTGCAAACTTCCTTCTATTCAGCTTGGCCCTAGCTGATTTACTTGTGACTATGGTGTGCGTACCGTTATTTCTGGTAATCCTCACTAGAAGAGCTTTTTTTAATGACTGTGCAAAGGACTTGGAACGCCCATACGTGATCTTATCCATGCTTTCGTGCTCTGCTTCTGTAGAACATATTGCGGCTATCAGTGTCGATCGTGTTATCGCTATTTTGTACCCTCTGCACTACAAAGGTATCATGGAGAATCGTGGTTGGAAGGCGATGCTTCTAAAGTCTTGGATATCACCGATTGTGGTTCCCGTTTTGAACCCCATTATTCCGAAGAGATTTCCCAAACGTTTCGTTGCATTTGGAATTTTCAGCCTCAGCTACATGGCTGTGTTTGTGTCGTACTCTCTGATAGTAATATCGCTGGTCAAACATCGGAAAAAACAAATACAGATCAGAGCTTATCCTTCCAATGATGCTGGCAACTTCCAGAATTTCCGCGTCGAGATTCGCATTGCTTTTACACTGGCGATTGTGATCGTTGTTTTCACTGCTTGTTGGGTTCCACTTTTTGCCACGTTTTTTGCAGCTGGGAAGCTACTGGTGAATGATCGCGGTATGGCTTTTATATGGATCAGGACCTTGGCTCTTTCAAACTCCGCAATGAATTTCGTGATTTATGGCTCTCGAATGCGGAACTTTCGAGAGGCGTTCACCGAAATTTTGCGGAAGATTCTTAGCTGTTGTGAATGTTCACGAACCAATGTTCCCGATGTCAGGTTACAAACATTACGATCTTAAAATCATTTAAATGAAAAAATATGAAGATAAGTTAAGAACTAAAAAAAAACACAGTGGTAATCTGTGCGCGTTCATTTAATTAACAGTCGAGTCCTCTTTCGCCAAGAGTGTAATTAAAATCCGAGTTCTAACACACAGTCTGTCCTTGATCAGACAGATCACAATATCACACAGTCTGTACACAGGAGCGAACGTCATAGTGACAATTAGCAGCATCATTTTTGGTTTATCTGTCAGATGCTAAGCTTTTCTTGTTTTTCGTTGCTTTGAACAAGTGCAAAATTCTCCTGAAGACAAAATCGAAGGATTCCAGGAGAGTTAGGAAACTCATTCCAAGGAAAAGACCAAAAGTACCACCCAGGTTTCCTAGTGGAGCAACAGTAGACAGCTTAATGCTAAAGTGGTGTCTGAGTCATGAAATAATGTTAACTAAATTTAATGGCTGTTGTAGTAAAGTATTTTTTTCTTTACTGAACATAATTTACAAGAATTGTGATGGCACATGAACGCTTTTCCAGCAAGAAAACGTTGGGGTATAAAGACATGAAAGATCTTTCGTTAATGTAGTTCTAACATTAGTGGACATACATGCATACTACACTGTTTCATCAAATTCAAAGTTATAACTTTTTGTCTTCACAGAGAGCGGGTGCAGAGATTCCCTACATTTTAAGACATTGGGAATATCAAATCATGAAAAAATCGTCGTGATGTTCACAACTAGGTCACTAAATATGGGTTATCGGAATTCTTACCGACCATTTATCAACATGCGCTTACAAAGGCACAACACACCGAGAGATAATTGTGAAAACTTCAAATAACTTCACTACTAACCAATCAAAGCCCAAGTTTCAAAAACAGGTTTTTGCTCAACGATCTCAACACTCAGGTCTTCAAAATATATATCCAGAGAGATGATGTTTTCGCTGCGGGGAAAAAACCAAATGATCATTAAGTAACAGTTTTCATTTTGATTTCATGGGTAACATATTCTGCTACCACGGAAAACATTATTACCGTCATTTACTTACTCTACAAACTTCTCCCTTTGTTCTTCGGTCATGTTCAAAAAGGGTTTGTACATCTCGAGTTCCATACCAGATTTCTCAGTGTTGTTAAGAGAGAACATGAGTTGCTCAATGAAAGCGTCCCTCTGAAGTCCACTGTAGGAAAGAGATGTCTTGTACTCCACATATTCGCATGGCTCACCACACTTCCTTTCGCAGGCAGACTTCTCACTGGAAGTACCAAAGTTTTCTGCGACGGGAATAAATCATTATGCTTCTGTTATTAATTTTTCCTCGGCTTAGAGTTCTTTAATTTGGTTTGATGCTTTTATTTTCGATGGTATTTCAGTGTACGCTTCAAGGCAGAGAAATTTTCCCATCAAACTGGACTTCGTTTCTTACACTCACAGCAAAGAATGAGCCGACATCGTTGATAGCATAGGAAAAAGTTTTAATCCAGAGATTTAAGAAGACTGTAAGAAAGCTGTAAGAATAAATCAATTTTTATAAACATCCAATGAGCTCATCGACTTCTGCTAAAACATGACCAATTGGTATCAACCACTGAGGACTAATTGCCCGGGTTTCAGATTTTTACTTCCATATTGATGCAACTTAAGCCTATCAACGAGAAGTAAATTCAAATTCCCAATAACATTGGTTAGGATTGGTTTCAAAAATAGCAACAAATGTGATCCTCAAAATAACTGGATGTAATCTTTTCTTTTTTAATAACAACCACATTGTCTAGTTTTAGGCTGCTTTGAGCATATTAAATTTGACATACCATACGATGGGAAAACGCACAGAATTGAGTCATTCACTGCACAAATTGGGATTGGTCGATTGGCTGTTAAAAACAAGAGAAAATAATTGTCCATTATGCCTATTATGCTATCGTTTCATGAGATCTTTTGGGTTTTACGAATGATATTTAAGCAACTTAAGCCGAATCCATCGTCAAGTATAGGATTGACTGCACAAGAGCCGTTGAAATTTCAGTTATTCAACTTCTTTAAAAATTAAAATGGTGGGCAGGCGCGCAGCTTACTAAAACGAGGGCTTCTCAAGTCTCACGTTTAAAGATGTAATCAAAGTGCTCTGTGAGCAAACTCGTGAATTGACACATGATTTTTTGGATTATGTTTAATGTTATCTGGTTTAGGGAATTTTGTGGTTAATTTTCATATCTAGAGTACGAAACAAAGTAACGTTGGGATAAATTTGACAAGGGTGGATGATGTCATGTGTTTTAAACGTATATCATTTTTGTTTCTGGTTCAAAAGAAAAGGTTGGAAGTAATTGTGGGTGAAAAGTGAAATTTACTGTCTATCATTGTAAATATTAGAAACTCAAGGCAATACTGTCTTGATGAAAACATTAACGATTCCCTCTTAAGCAAATGAGACAAACAGGAACGAGTTTTGAGTGATATAACTAAGCCAAGACTGCCACCGTCATTTTGGATCTCCGCCTGGGTAGATTTTAGTCACGTGCTAGGCAACGCATAATCAATAACAAGATAGAATTTCATTTCAGGCCCATTTATCAATTTTGTGGTGTATAACTTTCGCATTTTAGTACGCAATATGTATTTTGAATCTTCAAATTGTCTTGAAACTTAAAAGAAAATTGTTCTTTAAAAATTCACTGAAAATCGGTAGCTAAAATTGTTTGTTTAGGTGTTATTTGATTTTCGTGATAACTTGTAATTTCGTCAGTCGCCGGCATCTTTTGTTGCTTCACACAGGAAAAACACACGATACGAAACGTAATGATCGATTTTGTCCTCAATCACACGCCATAACAGAAAAAGCTTTTAAACATCTGCAAACTCCGAGCGCTCCGCAGTAAGTGATATTTTCAATGAGTCTTCGGATTGTTTTCAAGTTCAAGGATTGTAAATTACAATTTTATGAAAAATGATGGTTGTTCTGTTATTTCAATGAGAATCCTTGCATGCCTGCCAGTCGCTGGCGCCGCTTGTTGAAACTAAAACGAAAAAAAAACTCTTTTAAGATGATCATTGGCTTCTTTTTCACCCCACCACTATTGTTAGCAACAAACGTCGCCATTTCGTTTATTTATTGCTCGCCAAAAACTATCAAATGCATTCAAAAGCCTAAAATCGAAAAAAAAGTTTACAGGAATCGACCAATCGAGAGGGCGAGTGCCATTACCCACATCGTATCTACAACTCGCTCTTGCGCATGCGCGCAATTCACGAGTTAAAATGTGGACTTACTAAAATTGAACGCCTGCTACGTTGCTTTGGTGCAAATAACAAACTCTGAATAAAAACTTCTGCCTTATTATCAAAGACATAGTGGGACTTACCTTGAAATTTTATTACAGTGCAACCGCAAGCTTTGATAATATAGTCGTTGCGACAATTTACCATACAGGCAGGTTTTGTGTAGGCAAAGTCCCTGTCAAACCTAAGAGATCCTTTCCTGCAGTTTGTTGCATACGGCTTCTCCAAGTTAATTATCTGCAAAAATCATGATATGTTCTATATTTGACAGCTTGCCCACATCCATTGAAAAAGTAAAGGTTTGGGAGAAAGGGAATTTGCTGTTCTTCTAACCTGGTGGGAGGCTGAGTGACAGATTGACCGTGACCAACTGGCTGACTGGCTGGATGCAGGCTAGTTGACGGACTGAGCGGCTGGGTTACATACTAACTGACAGCCAGACCAATTAACTATGTAACTGACTGACTAATGTAATTGGCAGGCGGATTGGCCAGCCTTTAGGCTGAATGAAGGACTGAGTCTCCAATGACTGGTATTCAGCTAACTGACGGACTGTCTGACTTACTAACTGACTAGCCCCTGATTTTCCTCTTTACCTTTCTTCTTTTTATGGCGCATAGACTAGACATTCCCGGTTGAATAATAATGCCAAACTCTTCCACAGGTAAAAACGTCTTCTGCTCATGTATGAGAAGCAAAATTCCAACCGAAGGCCTCCATGGAATTGGAATATATTCGTCTCGCTCGATGTTAAGTCGAAGCCTCAAGCCACTTGGAAGACCAGCAACGGTAGTGTTCAACAATGGATTACCACCCTCGGCTGAGTTGAAGGTATGACATTTCAAACCATGAAAGGCGCTCAGTGAGCTAGTGAAGTTATGAGCGTTGCACTGTTTGCCATTGATTGAGCAAGAACTGAATTCTGGGCTGGTTGGTAAAAGCATATCTTCCATATCATCACCAGCTATCCAAAAGTTCGTTTGGGTTTCGTTGACAGTTTGAGAACGATGGAAAAACTCTGGATTGCGCTTCTTGAATTCTTTGGTAAACGCCGCTTTCGATCTTCTTATAATTAGATACATATCCTGAAGCTTTTTATCGACAGTCGCTTGGCCGTAAACATTCGTGAGTGACTTTATGAGTTTTCTTTTGTTGAGTGCATTAAGATTACATAGAGTTACAGCTGGGAAAGGAAATGCGTTTTCGTCGTTATCTCTGTCGAACGTTATTTTTGTATTAAAAGGTCTCTCATAAAAGTGTCTTACAAAAGTGTAAACTTGGTAGTTGCAGAAAATTGCGCACCCTAAAACTGCAGCAATCCAAAGCAGTCTTCTGAAAAAGTTATCTGCGAAGAAAAACCTGGCACCGTGTAGAGTTGTGTCCTCTGCGAACGACTTCCATCCCTCTACATCTCGATGCTCTGTTTCTGAATCCCTCATGTCGACATTGCTTCTTCTTAAAATAGTTCCATCTTCGATTCCCTCAGCATCCACTTTGTGTTTAAGAAATGCCATTATAATTCTAAACGGCTGAGTTCTTTTAAAAGAAATGGTCGAAGACGTGTCTAAAGAGGAATTCTCGTTTCTATTAAGTGCCTCTACTAAGACTTGACGAACTCCCAAGTCGTTTTAGGTTTTATAGATGAAGGTTGCCGCAGTGATAGTTGTTTGTAATTACAGCTCTCTGTCACAGTCAGCACGATTTCTCTAAGTAATTTTTCTGTTGATGCCAGAAATCATCAATAAATGATGGATACATTTCTTATCAGCTAAACTTAAACGTATCTTATTTAATTTACCAACAATGAAGATGAATTCCTTGATTTTCTTCTTCTTTAGTAAGAATACGGCAAATTCAATTATGGCGAGCCTTGGAAGCTGTTCACATTTCGTTTTTGTGTGTGCAGTTTGTTTGGTATCTTCTTTACTCAAATCGAACCCCCCCTCCGAGCGCAATATGAAAGATTTAAACATCGAGCTGTTAGCAATAATAAGCGATCTAAGTGGCCTTGTATATCACGTTCTCCTTGTTTGTCCGCCAATAAGGAAATTTCTTATCACTGTTAACCTTTTACTCCTTTCAGTTTTTACTCTTATTTGGAATCATAATCCAGCTATATTTTCAAGTTGTCTGCATATGATTTTGTTAATTTGGTAAATGGAACAAAGCTACTTATACTAGGAAATTAGTTCAAGCTACCCCGCCGAGCATATGCTCCTCTTTAGAGCCAATTACCTGTAGGTATACTCTCAATAGAGCTATAATCTGCGAGCAAATCCTCTATGACAAGCGCCACCGCAAAAGCATTTCTTCGCCCACGGGAAAGCGAAACCTATCACGAGAGCGCTTATGGAAACGCTACATTTCCTAACGGTTACACTATATTTCACGCGCACGCAGTCTGTTACTTGAAACGCTCTGTGAACGAACAAATGTATTCCATTTTTAGTCTCCCTGGTCAAAAACAGTCACCTTGAAATCAGGATATCCTATTTTGCAATTTTCCCCTAATTGTTCGAGAGCAAAGATTATGGACCTATGTAACTTTTCTTTTTTCGGTATAAATTTGTAATAATCAAAAGTTGCTTTCCACCTGAGTTGATGTCATTCTATCCTGCTTTGCAACATTATGATTACCAGAATATATTCCATGCTCAGACTCGCATGTGGTGTGAAGGCCTTTTTTATATTTGCGTAATTCATTGGGTATTTTTTGTCAAACTGTTTTCCAAAGATTTTAAGCTGATTCCCTTACTGTATTTTTCCTCTTCTGCACTTAATGGCAAAAATCATATGTTCTAAATTTGACGGCCTCCTGACAACCATTACAAAAAGTTTTGGAAGGTGACTAAGATCCAGAGGAAAGTTGCTGTTGTTTTAACCTGTTAGAAGAGTCAGTATAACTTAGCGGTTGATTTATTGACTGAACGATTGATCATGATCGTCTGGCTTTCTGGCTGGATGGCTGACCGACTGACAGGTCGGTGGCAGAGTAAACAACTGACTGACTGACTGACTGGTCAATTGGCTGGCAGATGGACACGGTGACTCGTTTACTGCCTGACTACTGATTAACTGACGAACTGAGTAGTGAAGTGGTTGGCCGATGGGCTGAATGACGACATACGGGACTAATTGAAGGACTAGTGGACTGGTGACTAATCAGCTGACTGACTGTCTGCCTGCGCATAACTGGCTTATTGGCTCGCCCGCCAACGCACTGTCTTCCCTATCATTTTTCTTTCTCTTCTTTCCCGGTTGAATAACAGTACCAAACTCTTCCACAGCTAAAATCGTCTTCTGCTTATGCATGGGAACCAGTATTACAACGGCTGGCCTCAATGAATTTGTAATAATCATGCATATCCACGCGCCTCATCTTAAAAACCATTTCAAATAAAAGAACAAACGTATTCCACGTTTAGGTCAACTGGTCGAATAGAGCAAATTTGAGACCAGTATTTACAATTATTTGATTTTCTCTAAATTTTTTGCAAGAAAATGTTAGGAACATTGTAGTTTTTCTTATTCCTTATAAACTTTTTCTTAAACTATTTTTTTCTTAAACCATTTCCTGATGTTGTCGATCTGTTCTGGGTGACAAATTTTTCAACAATAAAATTCTATGATTAGATTAAGACCATGTGTGGAGGAAGTTTTTACTTTTTTCAAATCAGCATAATTTTTTATGGAGCCTTCCCTAAATTGCTTTCTAAAACAAAGATTTTAATTAAGCCCTCGTGTCTTTCCTACTCGTTAGTTAAATTTCGTTTCGCAAAATTTCTTACAGGAATTGCTTTATCTTGAAATCAAAATACTCCCTGTAAAATGCAGGAAAAATTCGACCTTCATTTGTCAAATACTTTTATAATGATTTACATTATCTTTAAGGAGGTGGCTTAAGAGGCTCTGAAAAAATATGAGCGCAACAAAGGACATGTTTACTTGTATATTAGGAGGTTGAAAATATGACGCATTAGTTATGTGAACTTCTCCATGTGACTTCTATTGAGTTTTCAATCACAATGCTTTTCAAATAAGGTTTAATTTTAGTAAAGCAATGGGCGAAGAAAGCGTTTAGTGCTGTTACAGGTGAGAGATGAGAATTTCATGTGGTTCAAATCATTCGGGAATCACTTTTTGCCAAAGAAGCAATTTCTAAAAATACTAAAATGATATCAGCTCTTATGAAAAGAATCTAGCTCGGTTCAGCGAGTGGACTGAGCTGTGTCCTGTTTTTAAATTAATTTCATAAAATTTAAATATTAAAGCTGACGCTGAAGTTGTAAGTATATAAATATAGATTAGTGTCATTTAAATTAGGTTGATCGAAATCAATTGAAATTTCCCTATGTAGAAGGAAAGAAAGAGAAAAAATTAACTGCAATTGATTCAAATTTGCAGCTAAGAGGAGAAAATCCCTAAAAATGTTAAAAGTATATTTTATTAGTGTCATATATATCGTCGAAAGCAATGACTTTTATGCAAAAGTGGAAATTCGAAAAGAACTCATTTCCTATTCAGAAAAGTCAATAAAGGTTTCATTATTTGCTCGTTCAATTTGAAAATGAAACTGTCATAACTAAGGCGCATTTTACATTTAGGACTTGCTGCGTAAGTAATTCGTGTTTCAAGTCTGTATGCAATCTGACTCCCAGCTTGCTAAAAATTTCACAGCAACTGACGATTTAATTTTTCATGTTCATTAGACTCGATCTCCATATTAACATCACAAAAATTCATACCAGGAGATACCATCGAGCACTGAATGTCAACGCTTTCTGCCAGATGTAAGTCTCTCAGACTGAATTTACATCTAAGCAGATTTAACAATTATTCTAAAGAAGAATGCCAACAACAAACCAAAGAAACGAGATCGCTCATGGAGGGGAAGCCGCCCTCCACGAAAGCGAAACACAAACAAAAAACCTCCAGCCAAACACAAATAATGGTAATTTCGAAGGATTGAGATCGTTCGCTCAGGATACCACACTTCACGGAGCCAGATTTTTGTTCTCTGAGGGCTTTTTTAGAAGACTGGTTTGGTTGGGCATGATATTGGCATGCTTTGGCTTCTGTATTCATCAAGCCTATATTTGCTTAAAGGAATATTCCCTTTATCCTTTCAACACGAAAATGACAACAAACTTTGATGCAGATAACAGTCAGCTTCCCTTCCCTGCTGTCACTTTGTGCAACCTCAATCCTTTCAACATTCGTAGATTCAGACGATATATAGGAGGAAATCTTAGTGAAGTGATGATCGAAAGGCGAATTCAAGATATATCTCTCCTGACGACGAGATCAGAAACTATTTCCAAGGAAGACTTTAAAGCACGCTACACCGCGCTTTCTGAACGCCCAGAAATGGCTAACAAAACCAACCCTCACGCAATGAAATTTAGTCATCAAATTGAAGACATGCTTTTACCAAATGGTCACCTGTTTCATTCCTGTTCCATAAATGGAAAGAAATGCGACGCAAACAATTTTACCAGCTTCCTCAATCCACTTTTCACAAAATGCTACACATTCAATTCAGCAAAAAATGGCAAGCCTGTGCTAAATGCTTCGTTTGCCGGCCAACTAACTGGTTTGAAGCTACGACTTAACATCGAACGCGAGAGCTATATACCAAATTTGATTTGGCCTTCTGTTGGGATAATTATTCTTATTCACGACCAAAACAGCTTTCCCATCGTGGAGGAGTTTGGAATTGCTGTTCCACCAGGGATGTCTATGACTTGTGCCATACGAAGGAGAAACGTAAGTGCTAGAAATAGATTTTTAAAAATTGTTTACCTAGCAAAATGTTTTGTAGCTTTTTCCTACCAAACTTCAAAAACCCTAGATACCCTTGCCAACACTTACGAGAAAATAGAATAAGTGCGAGTGTAGGTGACATTTATTAGGTTTGCATTTAGAAAGTGAAAGGAAAACCATCTTTGCAACCAGTCTCGTCCTTACCGATAATTCTAGCCGGCCAGGACAGTCAGCCAGATCTAGAACCTTTCATCAAGATGGTTAGTCACTCAGGCCACCCAGCAGCTGGGAGCTGGGTGGCCTACTAATCTAGTTTCCTACACTAGTTTAAAGGTAATTATTCCAAAATGTTTTAGACCGACGACCGTAACCATGCCCAGATACCAGAGTACAACTTGATAATCAACCTTTACCAACCTTTGCAAAAGTTTTCATATCAATCTAGAACTTCAATTTTGTTCGACTATGGCTGCAATCTGTGCTAAAGACAAGCCCTGATTTTCTTCTTTTAAGTTTCAAGCTAAAAAAGAAGTTAGAAACATATATTTGATGGAACCTTATTCTCAACATGGCCATGTTTAATCTCACTGGTCGAAAGAGTTACTTTGAGTTCAAGGACAACTTATTGTGCGATCTTCCCCACATTGTTTTGCGACCAAAGATTATGGACCCTTGCAGTTTTCCTCTTTCCTGTGTGTCTTTTTATTGAACTTTAATTGTTCCATCTCAGTTGTTTTCAATTTATTCTGTGTAAAAAATTTTTCAAAAATAAGATTTTATGTACTTCTTGTTTAGATTCGCGCGACGAGTAGAGGTATTTTTTTTTTAAAATCAGCGTAACTTATTATGGAGCAGTTTCCCAAATTGTTTTCCAACACAAAGATTTTTAGCTCTTGTATTATTTCCTGTTCGTTATGTTTCGTAATACACAAGAATTCTCTGTCGATATCAATATATCAATGTCAATATCTTTTGTGGGATTAGCAGGAAAATGTTGACTTTCATGTTGCATGACTGTTGTCAAATCGTTTTTTTGATGTTTTACTTTATCTTTGAGTAGGTGACTTCACTGACGCATTAAAGAAATATGAGCGCGACAAAGGAAATGTTTACATTTGTGCTAAAATTTTAAAAATTTGCATTAATTATGCAAACTGATGCATGTCTTGTTGTGACTCTGTTCCCAATCACAAATACTTCTTAAACATAGTTTGATTTTAAAAGGGAACAGGCGAAAAACACCTTTAGTACTTTACCAGTCGTTTGATGGTAGTTCGAGATGAGAATTTTATCTTGTTCACACACGAATCAATATTTGCTAAAGAGGAATTTATCCATAATGAAATCTTGAAATGGTATCAGTTTAGGCTGTTATGAAAACACTTTAGGTCTCTCCAGTTGGTGACTTCAACTCTTTTTATCACCATTAAGTTCGTGTTCTATAATTAATTCCGTAACATTCAAAAGTTAAAGCTGACAGTGATCAAAAGATACAAGATAGACTGGCGTCGATAAAATAGATTTTTCAAAATCAGTCCTATGTCGTGGGAGAGGGAAATAAAAAAAGGGAAATGAAACATAATGCATAACACTTACATGAAATAAAGAGCTGCCTAAGAACGCAATTTCCTACTGAGAGGGTCGATAAAGGTTTCACTCTTTGTTTGTTCAATTCGAAGTGAATTTTTGCGTATTATGCTAAACTTGGTGCATAAGTAACTTAAACTGCACGCAATCTGCCTCCAATTCGTGCTATAATCTCCAAAACAAATATCGATTTTATTTCTCGTCTTCATCGGACTCGATATCGACTTCATTGCATTCTTATGAGGAGAAATTGTCGAACACTGACTATCATCGCTTTATATATGCCAATCGTAAATCTCTCTGCCTGAATTTACTTCGAAGTAGGCATCTTAAGTTTTCTCAAGGAGAATGACTCTGGAAATGACAGCGACAAACGAAAGAAATGAAATTACCCATGAAGGGCATAGTGCCCTAAACGAACGCAAAGCACGAATCAAAAACCTCCAAGCTGTTGAGAAAAACACAAGTAATGGTAATTTCGAAGGATTGAGATCATTCGCTCAAGATATCACACTTCACGGAGTCAAATTTTTGTACTGTGAGGGCTTTATTAGAAGACTGGTTTGGTTGGGGATGATATTAGTATGCTTCGGTTTCTGTATTTATCAAGTCTATGTTTGTTTAAAGGAATATTCCCTTTATCCTTTCAACACGAAAATGACAACAAACTTTAATAGAGATGGCAACCAGCTTCCGTTCCCTGCAGTAACCTTGTGCAATCTCAACGTCTTTAACACTCGACGATTTAGGCAAATCGCAAGAGGTCATTATAGTGAAGGCGTGATCGAAAGAAAAATTGCAGATATATCTCTCATGACGACGAGATCAGATGATATTTCGACGTTTGACTTTAAAGAACGCAATCGAGAACTTTTTTATCGCCCAAAAATGGCTAACGAAACCAACCCTTACGTAGTAAAATTTAGTCATCAAATTGAAGACATGCTTTTACCAAATGGTCACCTGTTTCATTCCTGTTCCATAAATGGAAAGAAATGCGACGCGAGCAATTTTACCAGCTTCCTCAATTCACTTTTAGCACAATGCTACACATTCAATGCAGCAGAAAATGGCAAGCCAGAGCAAAATGCTTCGTTTGCCGGCCAACAAAACGGTTTGAAGCTACGACTTAACATCGAACGCGAGAGCTATATACCAAATTTGATTTGGCTTTCTGTTGGGATTATTATTCTTATTCACGACCAAAGCAGCTTTCCCATTGTGGAAGATTTTGGAATTGCTGTTCCACCAGGGATGTCTACGACTTGTGCCATACGAAGGAGAAACGTAAGTGCTGGAAATATTTCCAAAAACAGCTTTCTACCCATTTAGGATATTTCGTAGCTTATTCCTAACAAACTTCAAAAACCCCACGTTGTCTTTTTAAATATTATTGAAATTATCGAAATATTATTGAAATTAAAGAGAAAATGGATATTTGGTCTCTTCCTTGTTGGGAATTATTCGATTCTTATTCAGATATCAGTGAATTATTATTGTTGATTAGTCGTCTATCAGTCAATCTGTCAGTCAGTCGTGATAACTCAGTCAGTCAGCAGACGGACTATCCCAGACTTTTTGCCTTTTATTGGTCCGTGTAATTTTTTGGTGAAAATCACGAGTTCGTTGAATAATATCATCGACATGAATTTTCTTGACAGATTACAAATCTGCCACATCCGTATGGCACTAACTGTAGAAAAGGAACCCTTGAAGCGTTCAACGGCGCCTCTCAGATTGCTTACAGAAAACAGGCCTGTCTTATAAAATGTCGCAATAAGTTCACAATCAAATCTTGCAACTGCACATCAACAAAATTCAAAGGTAGGTATCGTTTTGTTTTTCACACCCAGCCTATGAATTTTAATATGATAAGAGAATATAGCGCACCGTAACAAATTTTGAAAGAGGTCGGACCCACCGAGTATAGCCCTTACGCTGTTATTGTTATAATTTTTTTTTTCAGCTGATCCTGCAGTTCCCTTATGTGCACCGATAGAAGAAGCTCTTTGTGTTTACAAATCTCTTGGTAAGTCAATCTATTCCTAACAAGACTAAATATGATATACAACCGATTGAATGATCAAAAATGAAGTCAAATTAGTGTAATAGCACCTTTCTTAGCACAAAAAGGATTACAGTATGGCATTCTGTTCCTCAAATCAAGTTCGTTAAAACATGTACCCATGCACTCTATACCCCCTTTATTAAAAGGGTTTTAGGATTGCTTCTTATTAACATAACCACACCAAGGTTACATCAACATATTTTTACTGGAATGGAGGATCCAGCATTTACTTCTTGCCATCGACCCTTCCTTAAATCTGAGTATGATGCAGGGGCTCAGGTATTATTTATTGATGCTTGGATAAATACATTTATTGTTTTTTTAGAGGGCACGGTAACGAATCTTGAAATCTGATTGGTTCTTTACCCGGTCAGTATTTTCCTATCTCTGCTCACGGGCCACGGTAACGCTTTCGTGAATCGCCGGGTACATCCCAACTTTCGTTGTCATTTTTCATAAATATACCTCGTTTTCCGGCTAGGCAGTATTTTTGAGCAAACACGTTGGTCACTACCTCAAGCCGATAAATAACTTATGAATCCTCTCTTTTCTCTCTATCAAATCACTTTGGTTGACAGAAAAATATTGGTTTCAGAATGAATTTGTATAAACAATAGTGTCATTACGTTGGTTGACAAGCGGCCTAAAAACCGTCTGCAATTAATTTTAATCGTTCACAAAAAGTACCCAGAACGTGAGGTATTTGGTTACAGTTAAACTGAACGATGGTACTTTCATTCATTTAATATCTGAATTTTCTCGAGCAATTTGTTCATAGTGAAAGAGCGAGCGAAGTTTTAATTTAAGTTCTACGACAAATATACGCTCCCGGTGAGTCTTTCCAATTCCGTTCAATTTGGACATTTGTACCGTAAATTGCACAACAGAAATTGAAGGAATTTTTTAAGAAAAGGCCGCATTAAATTCCCTTGTGTCTCGTTGGAGTGTGCCGTTCGAATTTAGTTTTTGTGAAGGAAAGATCAGAGTTAAACACGCCATTACAGCAAACAAACGAGCAAACTCTCACAACTTCAAAATAAAAAAATTGAATTTACTCACAACTACTTTCCTCGCCGTTTACTTAATGAACAGAGGTAAATCTTCGTACATGAATGAATGGTCGATGAGAGTGAATAATACTTTCCGTTAGATCATTGACTGATTTTGAAGAAAATATTGTCGTGACAGTCCTTGCCAAACTAGTTCTGTTGGTTTTAAAATGTTCCTACGCTTTTTTTTTCTTATGCTTTTTTTTTCTTGCGCGCTCTCTAATTGACAGGTGTCAGATTGTGACAGATACTTGTAAAAATAATGTTTCAAAATTTGTTTGGAAGCCTTTTAAATCACCTTTATCGTTACGGAAATGAAAATGTTTCGCTGAGGCATCTCTCTTAAATTTGCATCACCTCTATTTCAACTACCATTTACTCACTCAAAAATTGTTCAGTTTATGGAAGATCTTGCCGTATTTACAGCCATAAATCATTCGCGTTCTTTCGGAAAGAATTTCGTCAAGTCTAAAAACAATAAATATGTTATTTACCGGCTAAGGGTTGGTCCGTATGGTGAAAAACTGTGACCTCGGTCTTGAAAATGCTACCCTCGGCCTTCGGCCTCGGGCAGTATTTTCAAGACCTCGGTCACAGTTTTTCACCATACGGACCTCCCAGCCGGCAAATAACATATATTTATGAAATTCTCACCTGGACTACAATCCCACTTTGTCATCAAATCGATCTTCTATCAGAGCTAGAAAAGTAGAGGATGAACAAGACATTATGGCACTAATGAAAAGTAATGTCTGCTTACAGAGGAGTTTGGCAACTCAGATGAAAAGAAGGAGTGTGAGAAAGAATGTCCCGAGCCTTGCAATCACATTGAGTACAAGACTTCATTCTCGTACAGTGGATTACAGAGGGGTGATCTGATTCAACATCTGATGTCCTTCCTTAATGGGACTGAGAAATCATCAGTCGATCGATCGATTTACGAACCTCTGTTGAATATGACGAAAGCCGAGAAGGAGAAATACATAGAGTAGGTGTTTTAGTTCAATTTTGTAACACTAGGGTTATTTTAACTCATCGTGGTGAATTACAGTAATTAATGAAATTTATCAATTTCAATTTGAGTCGCCGCGCGATCTTTCGATTAATTGCTGCTAGTCTTTTTCAGATCATGACTACCGGTCACGCGTGACCTTACGAAGCATCCTGCCTCGCTGTAATTGCAAGTTGATTTTATCATCTGTGATTTGCTCATTTCGATATTGTGTTATCTTATTGCTTTTCAAGGCTCCAATCGTTTAGACGCCCATCAAGTGTCCTAGTTAACATTGCGAGGGTTGTCCTTTCTTTGTTAGAGTTTAAATTAAAGTGATGTTCTATTATTAACATTTGAGAACATCTCATTCTTCTTCTTTCCCACAGTGACAACATTATTGCATTGGACATCTACTTTGAAGACCTTAGTGTCGACATCATTTCGCAGACTCCGCTCTATGAGACCTGGGCTTTGATTGGTCAGTTTCACGTTTTTTATTTACAGAAGCAATGTTCTTTTCCTAGCTTTTCCAACTATTGATCTGGGCCCAGTTGTATGAGAGTCGGATAACGCTATACAACAGATAAATCGCTATCCGGTGGATAAGTGATATCAAATCGTATAGTGTTATCGAGTCTTATTCTGTGGATAGCGTTATCCAACCTTCGAACAACAGGAGCCTGGGTTGTGAATTCTTGGTCCTGTTTTAAACAATACATGTGATACTGGAGTTCCAAAATCGATTCGATTTCATTTCTACCCGATAATAACTCATAACTCTTCTGGTTTTTTTTTTTTCTTCTTTGTTTTGTTTTTTTTACCGTACGCCTGCAAAAGCACAAGCTATGAATGCTTTTACGAGGATCCAACCAGAATCCTCTCTAATCTTATGAACACAATTAAAATACATTTTTTCTTCTTTTTGCTTTGAAGGAGACTTAGGAGGGACATTCGGTCTGTTCTTGGGAATGAGTTGTCTCACTCTCTTTGAGTTTGTGGATTTCACGTTCAGGAAGTTCGTTCATTTGGCTAAAGGCGACCGGGGTAAAAGAGCTGTCAATGTCGAGTACTAAATTGAACTGTACAACTCTGTGGATTATAACCAAGAGATGTTGTTACCTCTCTTACACAAATTAAAGTGTAAAAATTACGCAACCCACTCCCCCAATGCAGTTTAAGTTTCTCACTCCCCCAATGCAGCTGCCTTCGACAGAAGTCTATTAAAGTACCAAAAACAAAAGCTCTATTGCATGATGCTTGAATGGAACCGAGTATTTCCGAGTATTTCCGAGTATCAAAATTAGGACAGTGCACCACTGTCCATATGGTAGTATAATTTTTAGGTAATCATGGGTATAACCACAACCTTGGCGCTCGTAATGTCACGCCTTAGAAACACTTCGAGCTCCAGATATTCACGTCCTTTAAAATGATATTCGCGATAATAACGATGGACTTTAACTTTGCTTTTTATAAAGTTAAGGTCGAGTCAAGAAGAAAAGTGATTGCTGAGGTACTTGTTCCATACACTGGCGTAGGTTAATAAAGTTTAGCTTAACCATATCAAAGCATCAAGCACTGCAAATATCCATTTATTTAACTAATTTATAAAATGAGATATTATTTCTAGACAGTACGATTCAGTGCCTCCTCCACAAACATCATTATAATGTTCTCATCAATGCTCAAATGAGGCTACATAGTTTTCGAAGATTAACCTATCAATTTTCAGATTGCTTTAATAGTCGCTGGCCGGGGAGCGCACTATTCATGACAATTCATTCTTATTGTAACAATAATTTGAATTTCCAGTTACACAATTTCACTCTCTGCACAGAATTGTACTCTAAGAATGCACCACCGCAGTAGTGAAAGGCAATGTCATACATTTAATTTCGGATTGATAAAGCTGTATCATTTACAAAATATGAACTACAACCTTTGTATATTTGTTAAGAAGTTTCATTTTAACTGAACTTTTGTTCGACATAAATGCAATTTTCCTCCATTGGAACCACTATGAAATCATCTATCAGAAAAATAAACCTCATTACAGTATCCAACACTTCTAAACCATTTTCGTCGCTTTGAATCATTTTGGATCTTCTGCCAAACGTACGCGCAAATTTTTCCAGTACGAGCGAGCGAGGTTGCACATTCAATGATGTCAGTCCCATATCACCAATGGAAAACAAGATTATGGCTGTCTAGTAAGACTTATTGGATGCCAAATTCCCCGCAATTGTTAGACTGACGACATTACCCCACAAATCTCAGAGAGCGCACTATTCATCAGTTTGAATCAACTGAGAAAATCACTGGTTACAAAGTTCGTCGCATGACACTTCTTTGGTTAGCACCATGAGAAAAACGGCGGTCGGTGTTGAAAGCTTTGAGTGAATGCGTGACTTTGGCTTCTCAGTCGATCTCCAGATTCAATTTTCTTTCTTTCTACAGTGACTACGGGCATTTGCACAAGTTGCAGAGGGGATTTCTTGTCCCGCAAAGCCTGAGTTAAGTTTAGTATCTGACAAAGAAAAGAAATGACCACTCAGTCGGTTTATTTCTAGGAAAAACTTAATTGTAAATCAGAAGTTATCATGAAATAAAAAATAGATTGCATGCTTACCTGTCCTCTTAAAACAGACATCTGTCTCTCAAAAAGCGATTTATCAAAGCCTTTGTCCTCCTAAAATGGAAAAAAAATGACAACATGTATTTCAGAATTCCCCGAGAAGCGGGTTTTAAATTAAAAGCGAAAAATACATACCCGAAAGAGTAGGTATAAGTCCTCAGTGAGGTCCTGAACAAAGTTCATATCTGCTATTTGAGGTAATACAAAGTCAGAAATCTCATCCATAAACGGTTCCTTCGCTTGTGTTAACCATGCCCAGTAAAATGGATCTGCCAGAGGTAAAAAGAAAAAGTAAGTATGGATTGGGTACTACAGCATGGCACTTCTAACTCGTACAAATATCTGCCAAAGAGTGACGATACCTATTGTTAACGAGAAACTAAACGTAGTTATGGTTTGAAAAGTCACCTTTGATAACTATAGGCGGAAATTTAGACAGTAAGCTCAGAATCAAATTAAGTCTTAACCTTTTAACTCCATGAAGTGATTAACACAAAACTTCCCCCTAAAAATATGCATACACTGTCCAGCAAACAGGTACATGTAATGAGAATACTCGAACTTATCAGATGAAAATATTATCTTGATCTAACATCAAATTCTTCTAACTAATTTACAAGGAAATGTGCAGCAGCAAGAAGGGAGAGTTGAGAATTAAAGGGTTTAGGGATTGATGTTATTCGTCTTGCCAAGAACGTGCAATGAAGGAAGAAATTTGCGCTCCTATGAGAAATCCAATGCCAGACCCTAGAATTCTGTTGGGAATAAAGTCTTGTTCATGTAATAGGGATTGAACAAGCTGCTTAAGTCAACTTACAGGCTCTCCAAGAGTCTGGATGCTTAAAAGGAAATGCCAGCCCATTGTCAATGGCAGCTACATATATCTTTGGGGGGTCTACATAATCCCAGTCACCCTGAAAAAAAAAATAGATAAATAGATATATCTAAACAAGAGTTTTTAAATTAGCACTGAAGAAGACAAGGTACACACACCCTGACTCAAACACTGTTGCTCTAATATCAAGTGCTAATAATCAATTTATATCACCCTAAGTAAGTTAAGAGACAAGACTCACCCCCTCTTCACCTTCCACTTGCCGATCAACTTCTGGAGTTCTTTCATATTTGATAAGCCAATTATCATTTCCCCGATCTGACAGAACAAAAAAAAAAAAAAAATAGTAGGTCATTTGAAGTAAGCTGTGTCAGCAAATTTGTTTGAACAATTTTGTATACGTTTGCTTATTTTCATATGTTTGTATTTCATGTGTGTCTGCATTTTATGGCCTGTCTTAACCCTTTCGCTCCAAAGATCCTGTTAGTAATTCTCCTTACATCTGCCATACCATTGTTATGACTTTTGTTTGGAGAATTTGATATTAGATCCCCCAATAATTCCCTGATATTTTTCCTTATTCTCATCACTCGTCTGCTTGATATGGTATTGATATCATAAGGAGATATTTTGTCTTGGTCACTCTTGAGAGTTAAAAGGTTATTAGATTAACCCTTTAACTCCCAAGATCTTATTAGTAATTCTCCTTACTGTCTGTCATACAATTCTTATGATGTAAATTTGGAGAATTTGGTATTGGATCAATTAATAATCCCCTAATTGATATTATACTTTATTCTTATCACTTCTATGCTTGATATTGTATTGATATTGTAAGGAGAGATTCTCTCTTGGTCACTCATGGGAGGTAAAGAGTTAAGAATCAAACCATCAAAGATATTAAAACAATCACCTGCCTAAGTTCACAGTGTGTATTAATTATTTGATAGGGCCAAATTCAATGAATAATTATTCTAAAATTAAAATGGGTAAAAAGAAATGGACAATGCATAAAAAGTAAGCTAATGGATTGATGCATGTAATTAGATTAACTCTTCAACATCCAGAAGTGATGAACATGTATCTTCTCCCTATAGTATTCATACATTATCCAGCAAACAGATAATGAGATTACCCGAACTGGCCAGCTACAGGTTCTTATCTTGATTTAACATGAAATTCTTGTAACTTATTTACAAGGAAATGTGTATCAGCCAGATTGGAGAATTATCAATTAGGTCATGGGAGTTAAAGACTTGACATCACCATTGTGCTATACTACTACTGGGTGAGGTACCTGATTACTGCAATATTGTAACTGAAAAGATAAAATAACATTTTATTATTTAAGATTGTTGAATACCTGTATTCCTAATAATATAATCAAGACAAACAAGTTTTTGAAATTGTATCAGAAAATCTTTGTTTGTAATGGCTTGAAGAGGTTCCACTTCAAACTTCCTCAGGTGAAATTCTGCATCTTTATAACCATCAACAAATGTCTGAAACGAGCCCAGCTGAAAACCAAAAAATAACATCAACATCATGTTCGCACAGTTTTTTTTGGCACATAAGGTAGACAGTGATTGTGTATTTTGGCCAAGGAGAGGCAACAAATTTGAAATTTTGGTGAAACATCAAGTGAAATTCATGAATCAATTAGCCACTTTTGCAAGCTACCTGTATTCATTATCATTCTTGCAAGAATAATTAATTCCAAGTAACTTTAAGGAATTCTGTTATTCCAGTAATGAATGTGACAAAGAAGAGTGTTGAGGAGGAGTGGGTTTGGCAATCTGAATCACTAGATTTAGTTTGTTTATATAAAAATATAGATATATATATATAAACTATCTTATCATTGAAAAACAGTCACCAAATAAATTTCTTACCCAGGAGTGCAAAAAAAAAAAAAGGATTCTCAAATAGAATTATGGAATCATGTTACAAAATATATCAAGGAAAGATTCTATCAATAAGCAAGTCAGTCAGTCAGTCTGGGCCAAAGATATATAATCATAAGTATTTTATCCATACTGTAGGCAAAAAAAAAAACATCAAAATAAATGTAGTAAGAATACTTGTAAGAATGAGGGAGTTTTCATCCTTTACTTGGCCTTGGAGGATGATCTAGCTGCAATCACTGCCTTATTTGAAAAATCTACCTTATGCAACATGGTGGAATAAAAGGGCACCTGCTATTTGAGGTTTAAATAATTCTAAATTTGTTTTGTCTACATTTCTGTCTGTTCCACAGGAGTTGCAACTGATAATCATGCGTGAAAGAAAATTAAACTGAACCTACTTTAAAATATTACTGATCTACATGTGCATGTAATTTTTGGTTTGAACCATAACATGGTCATAAAGAGGGTTTTCAAAATGTTTTGAAGTAGGCGTCAGACTTGGCAAAACTAGGTGACTATGAAAAGTTCATTTAAAGGGCCTAAAAATTAATGATTTTAACCAGAATAACCAGCAACACGTTATCAAGTAGCTGACGGAACTCCAGCGATCATCTGCTTGTTCTGAAATCCCTGCATAAAGGTTAAAGCATGTCCCTAATAATTTGTTTTCCTTTGGACTATATTGATTTAAATGAGAAAATAACTATTAAAGCCATTTATCACATTTATTCAATACAATCATTCAGTGAAATACCTTTGGAGGAAGTCCTGCTTTCACATGTTTTCCTAAAGTATCAGGAAATCTTTCTGTAGCAAACCTTTTCGATCTTGCTTTTGCCCGATCAAATGCTGTGTAATTAAACGTATCACTAGCAAGTCTGACAACCTAAAAGTCAAGAAAATAAAAATAAATAAATAAATCCTATGATATCACTGAGTTATGGATGAAAATAAAAGCTATTTACACCCCTCATTTTTCTCTGTATCACTGTAAGTGGAGTATTTAGAGTCCTGTGGCATGCTACTACAGGAGCTTAACTGGTTTGATTTACACAAAATGACTGTATAAATGAGTATCACCAGAATCTACATGTATTTTTTTTTTAATATTTCTGCAAGGAGAGAAGCACTGAGAGAATTAGGTGTCTTTCCAAAGAACACAACCCAATAATCCTGACTTGAATGCTAACAACTGAGCCTCTTAAACCTTTTAGTCTTTACACCACTTACATTTTATGATACAAATATGAGGAGTAAAATTTGCATTTGTTAGTCAATAGTCACCTTACCTTTGTCTTAGGAACAATATTTAGACCAAGTTTCTGATCCACAAGGCTTGCTCCAGCCTCAGAGAGATATCCTTGGTTTGGAATTAAACAATTTCTACCAAAACAACATGGACAGCAAATCTTGTGACACCATTTTGTCCACTTGGGATTAAGATGTCCATAGGGCTCTTCATCTTTAGGTTTAAATACACCAATCTTCTTCTGCAGACAATAATTAAACGATTGTAGAATAAATTTGGAAACTAAAGTTTATGAGTATTGTCAACTTCCAATACTTTTTTCTGCCTGCACACATATAGGAAAGTTTGAAATCAAACACCATAAAGAATACTTAAAAGTACTGAAGAGACATTGTTCAAAATTACATCTGTTTACCTTTAAGTTTATTATGCAAATAAATGTGCACAGGCAAATGTAAACTTGACTTAATTTTGGTTTGGATAGTTCACAGAGTTTAAAACTCTTTAAGACAGCCAATTTACATTATCAACTCAGTTTCTAATACTAAATTACCCTGTTAAACTCTCCTGACAACACAGCACCACAGTTTCTTTAGAAACTTACCCCTTGAAACATAACTAAAACTAGTTTGAAACCAATTATATTAATATATAAATATAACCGCATACAGTTATAAACAAATGTAATGGAAAGCAATTTATGAATAAAAATGAAAAGAAATGTACACTAAGCTCCCTTAAGCACACATAACTTGGGTAAAAAAAAAACTTCTCTGTTCAGCTCAGCTTAAATTGGTTCAAAAATAGGGATAACAATATTCAAAAGGAAAATTTAAATATTGGTGTATCTTTACACATTAATAATGAATGTAAGATTTCTCATGTCTTAACAATAACAAAGATGATAGCAATCAGAAGCAAATTGGTGAACATTCAAACGATTTTTCGTTGTAATAATACCGTTAGATTTACTTTATAAGATGTACTTGTGAGGCGTTTTGTCGAGAAAGGGAAACCGGAAATAGGGTCTTGCTGAACGACGAGTACCCATCATGTTGAAAACAAATACCATATATCTAAGTGAGTTTCGATTTGAGATTTTTCCGTGGAATTTCGTCTAGACAAGGTGAGTATTGACGTGAAATATCAATGAAAAGCCATGTATGAAAAATCTTACCCCCTCTTTGTCTTTTACGAAGTAACTGCCACTGGATCCTTGGTAGATACGTTCGGGCAAAATTCCTACATCAATAGCTTGTTCGGCGGCTTGTATAAGGCTGCTAAACTCTGGATCGTCAAAGTGATTTCCTTGGTATTCAGTATCACTGTGACTGTCCATTCGAGATCTCGATCTGCCGAGTAAAGGTCTTTGTTCAGAAGTCCTACTATCGTAATGAGAACCGCCAACTATGGCTGTGCTGTAACTGGCCGGGTCCGCGTGATACGGAACTACATCAGGTCCGTTTAGCCGGCCTTCCGAGGCAAAATCAATGAGTGGACGCCCTGTGTCGTCTACGGACATCTAAATCTTTAATTTGGCCGCCCTCTTTAGAAATTTTCCAATCGCTCTCAGAGCATTTCATTCGTAGAAATCCAGCATAAAACGATCTATTTTGGTTTCTTACAAAATTATCGAATTGTCATGATTTCATTTAACATGCGCATGGTTTCTTTTGACTTTCGCTGCCGCTGACTAGTTCACGGAAGTGGTCGCGCTTTCAAATTTTGCTTCCACGAAATATCTTATGTAAGTGATTTAATTTCCAACGAGATTTTAATCACACAGTCTATCAAAAATGGACTTTAGTCGCTCAAAGAGCTCACTTTATTTGGTTGCCTATTAACAACTTGTTCAACGTCTCCGTATCGATCCTTTTTAGCGATATTTTGAGCTGTCAACGCGGTATACTCGTGTAACTAACACACTTGAAGGGATATTCGAAATTACCAGCAGATAAGGCTCCCCTTCCTTTTGTAGTCTTAAATATCTTCTGAAATACTAACGCTTCTACAAAAATAGTACCTATCTGAACGATAAGCTTCACGATGTGTAATGGAACCTAAAATTATTCCGGAAATTTTTCTCACCGTGTGACGAAATGAAAAAAAATTATACTTGATATTTAGTAGAGCAGACGGTTAAAACAATCAAAGCAGGGGCGGAACGCGTACCTGTTTAAGCAGAAATTTAAGCAATATTTGTGCAGCGCCGAAGAGAGTTGATGTGGACCAAAGATATCACCAAAAGATGTTTTGTTGCTACGTAGCCATGTGCCCTGGGAAACCGCCGAGCAGAGTATGCAAATAATTGCACAGGCGGCTATTCATATGCAAAAGATGCTTTTCTTAGATACTGGGTAAAGAAATGGGCGATCCTTCGGCGGAGTTGAGGTTTTTGAGAAGCTGAATCAATCCAAACGTCCACAAGAAAACTAAATTCTGCATCTCAGATCCGTATCATGAATAAATTGTGACCAGAATCCATCCTTTACTTCACAACCCGTTACTTGCAAAAAATTCGGTATCGTATCTTCTTGAATAGGCGCCGGGGCGCTCATTGGAAGGAGGACACTTTATCGAGCGGGGAAATTCTTAAATTTTTTCTCTCAAAGGGGTGTTACCTAAGTTTTGGCTAAATACTCAACGAGAAAACAAAAACTGCAATATCGTTTGCTTACAGACGTACAGTCAATACGGAGATACAAATAATTGGATGTGACTTAACGAAATGGAGACTATTCTCCTGTATTGATTCCGCTGTAGTTGAAGCTTCATAAAAAAGTTGTAAATAAAGTAGCAACAAAAACAGGGTTTCCTTGTATTCATGCTCATTTTAGAAAGTGAGGGAGGAAGGGGGCGCTTATTCAAGAGGGGCGCTTGTTTGACATTAGGGCCTGGGGGTGGACGCTTATCGTGAGGGGAGAGTGCTTACTATAGCGTGCACGTTTATTCGTGGAAAGACAGTATCTCTATACCATTAGGAACTGAACCTGATGCATTTCCTTGCCATCCATTTAGATTTGCCGATAGACCACAGTCGCCCTTGACTGTGTCAACATTATATACATGCCCCTCAGGTGTCGATGAGGGAATATTTACTTAAACTCGCTACAGAGTATTTGGAGAAAGATTTTTCCTCACACATTTTTATCCTGGCAACGGGGATATGCATTTAGTGGAAATATCACCTCATTTGTTCCCCGAAATAAAAATTTAGTCACTTTTTCATCCATTCTTCCATTTATTCGGTGAGCAGGAAATGAGAATAAAAAAGCGACAAAAACTCACAATAAAAAAAGAGAGAAAACAAAAAACAAGTAGGAACTCAATTTTTTCAGCGCTTCAAACCCTTTTTGACCCCCCCCCCTTAAGAGTGACTAGTATCTAAATTCTCCTTACAATATCACCCCTGAATCACACATTAAGGTCACGAGGATTAAGAAAATAATCACTAACTAAAGAGGCCCCTTGATTGCAAAGCAAATTCTCCTTGTTATCATCTAAGGAAATATAGAGAGAACAGTACGGAGAATATACCTGCTGATGTTCGGGTGAAAAGGGTTAGTTACTCAAGAATTTGGTCCGAAAAGGCCTACTCGATGACAAATTACACAAAGCCTCGTCACATTATTTGTGTCCTTTCAAAACCAATTCCAGGCTCTCTTATTTTTTTCAGCCTGGTTACTGAACATTCTCTTTATATCTGAAGGGAGCCTGGGATGAGATACGAGGGAGTTCTGAGTGACGTCACAGCTCATAAGTTGATTTTATCACCAACAGCTTACATGAACATATCACGCTTAGGGATTGGACACTATCAGGTGCTCCTGATACTATTCATCGCTGGGAGGGTGGAAGTATATTTTTTTTGGGGGGGGTGGGGTTCACATCGTTTTCAGGGGGAACAGAGGAGGATAAGTCGTTGTCAACAAAGTATAAAAAGGAGACTATAGAAAGTCAAGAAATTCTTAATCTCTTTAAAAATTTTGTGTTTCTTTTTTCCAATGCACTCTTTCTTCTTTCCCTTTTCTTTCCTTCAGGAGCCTGGCTACGCAAGGTCTGGTTTTCTGATGGGGTCAACTATTCATATTGCATTGAAACTGAATGTTAACAACATGTATTAAAAGCTAAAATTTCATTTGAGTTGTAGTGCACAGTTATAAAAGGAACTTGCTTGCTTGCGCCATGCAAATCACCGGTCCTTTGCTTGTGCATAAACGATCATAATATATGCAAATGACCAGTAATTTATATACACAAATATATTTGCAAAAGGGTAAAACAACGATAACAGTTGGAACAAGGTGTTGAGAAGATCAACTCTCATCAGTTCGTTCATCGTTATTATCTATCATCATCGTCGTCGTCGTCGTCATCATCTCCGTCATCATCTCCGTCATCTCCGTCATCTCCGCCATTCCTCGACTTAATCGCACGATAAATATGAGGGTACATTTCACACTCACAGCACGATCGAATCTCCTGTGTGTAGAAGTCCCACACTTCCTTATACACAGGCTTGCCAGCAAAGTTAGTCATTTTAATATCAGGCGCGAACTTGCCAGTAAACCGCAAGAAATCAAGTTGATGTGTTCGCTGGAAACAAAGCCCCATGTTGGCAGCACACTGGTGGTCGCTATCCCGGCAAATAACTTCGTTGATGTACTTTGGGAACCGATCGTCACTAAGCCGAGTGGTGGCTGAACATTCCGTGCATAAGCGGTGCAAATTGGTGCCTTTTGTGATTGTGCCCCGTTTCTGACACCCACGGAAAAATGTGCCTGGAGACGTAGGAAGGCTCCTTTTCAGGCGCTGTTGTTTCTTCAAGTCAAGTTCCTCTTTGTCAGCTTGGCGCATAGGTGCATGGTGCTTCGTGCTTTCCGTCAAGTTCATCACTTCGGTTTTTTTCGGATCATGATCGGGTGTCTTCGGTTGTCCCTCCGGGAAAGTGGTTAGATCCTCAAAACCACTTGCGTCAGTGATGTTAACAGCCGCATATCGTTTGTTTAACCCTCCAGTAGACCCTAATTGTACCAAAAGGTCATGTTCTGACTTTCTTAAACACACGACTGGGCCGGGCTCGTCTTCCACTCGGTTAACCCTCGAGTGGTTTCGGCAAATGTCCGGATTCGCTTTGATCGTCGCAAATTTCGTGATTCTTGATCTCCATGGATATCTAAATCTTTGTCTCATTTTATTTCCAGGCCTTCCCCGATAACCTGCCAGGAAGCTTCTATTTATGTCACGCGGCTCTTTTGACCCAATCACAATTCTGCGATCTGCTATCTGCTGCCTCTCATCATTCTCATACGGGTGGTGATTCAGGAAAAGACTCTCTACTACGATGATACACTTGAGTATAAAAACCAACGCAACAAAAGTTGTTTCCAGCTGAAACAAATTAAGAAGGTTCAAAATGCGCCATAAACATCATATCTCTTTGAGGAAAGTAGGTCGAATGAAAACTGAGGTCGATATAGGTGAGCTACTTTAATTCAGTACTTTAAAAGAACAAATAGAGATATGGGAGCAACTGATGATTTGAGACTCTGGTGCATTAACAAGCAAATAACATGAAATTATAATAATCCACTTATTTGACTTGGACGCGAACCTTGTAAACCTGAAAATATATTTCTAATTCAATACTTCCACGTTTTATTTGCATTTATGTAAACACTTTTGAACAATTAACCTTTTGGATGTCTGGCGCATTAACAAGCAAATATCACGAAAGTATAATGGTAGATTAATATGGCTCAAACGCGAAACTTATAAGCCTGAAATAAATTTCTAAAAAAAGAATTACACGTTTTATTTGCGTTTATATAACACTTTTGAAAACTTTTCCAGCAATCAACATCAGTTAATTCTGTTCAAAATATTTAAGTGACTTCTGTAATTATCAATTACTTTGAAGTAGAATTTATGATCATTTATGATCGTCAAGTAAATTACCATATATTTTCATTCAAAATAAATCTTTTGAATAAGTTTCAGTAAAGATATCTTTTTAATCATCAAGACTTCAGTTTTTCAAAAAAGAATCAAAGCTCTTTTTCCCTAGATAATTTCCATAATTGCCTTATTTGGCTTGATTTTTTTTTTGACTGATATATCCGTTAGAGGGGTAAATCTTCATACCGCAAACGTTTACTATTCTTTTTCCCATCTCTGGAGTGGCATTGTTTAGTGCACGATTTTATTTTCTAAAATGATAGGTCTTTCATTCTTCTTTCTTCGGATTTTTTTTCTGTATCAGCTATTGATAGTTACACTATTGGAAGACTCGAAAATTTTGAAAAGAGTATACACTGATTATCAGAAAATGAAATTACCGCCATTTTTCTCACCTTCATTCTCTGCGGTGCTGTGTCCGTTCTGCCACAGGACAGATTGTTTCTGCTCCCCAACTGATGGTTGAGAGATAATTGTTTTAAAGTCAGTATATCGATCATTATAACTGATTTTGATCTATCGATAGAATGACCAACGCAAAGCCTTAATTGGGTCGCTATAACTACTTGATCTTGTTATCAACGGTGTGTTTTGCAAAATCTTTGGTTGATTTTTTTCCAGTTCATCGTCTGCAATCTGTTTTGATGTTCTCCCACCTTTAGACATCCTAGAACCTTCTCGATTCATTATTGCCTCTTAAGTATATTTTTATCGTGATAGTTTCAAGTTTCACAACCAAAAATACCGACGAATGACGTCACTTCTTCAAGGCAAATAGTTTGGAAGTAATTATAGATATTCGGCGTGAAAGCCAAATTAACATTACAAAAAAATATATGTACAACTTGGACTCGAAGACAAAGTCAGAGATGGAATTTCCTGGAAGCCTTCATGATTTTATTGTTAAACTGAAGTATCAGTTTCAGAAGTTTAAATTTCCCGTTGATAACAAGATCTCTCCCTTCCTTGCTCAGTTGATACTCAATGCGTTCAAGCATGCTGCATGATATCGTATTAGCATATGGATCATCACGTTCATGTATTCTTTCACCATAAAGTTATTGAATACTCCCGTGCAAAGTTTCAGAGGAATTTTTAAGATAAATGCAGCTAATTTGAAAGAGCATAGCATCAGGCAGGAATCCAGTTAACATTACGCATATGTAGTTCCTTTTAGTCTGCGGCGATTTCCCAAATTGCAGCGATCCCCTGACGATGTAATTTTCTCCGGCGTACACTTAATATAAGAAAACATTATGTTTAAGTGGAGGTTACTAAAGAATATTATCATTGGCATCCTCCTGCCATGTTTCTGAATGCGTACTGAAAGAGAATTTGCCATGAATTTGAGGAATCCAAATCCAAATTAAATGACACTCCTCAATTGATTTTATCAGTTTCCTTTCTCAAATGTGGCCACGGAGATCGATTTATACCGATGGGAAAATTAAAAATTCGCAAAGGATCAATGACCATGTTAAAATAGATTTAATTTAAAAATAGCACACTACTTTCAGTGATAACAAAAATCTTAATGGATAGTACTCTCCGATTCTTTGGTTAGAGTTGAATAAACAGGCCTTTTAAGGTTTCGTTTCCAGTTTTTAAATGCCCGCTCAACAAAATTCAGTTTTCCAATTTTAAACACGTTCGTATGTTGGGCCTTTTGTGATAATTCATTTCATGCTCAGCTCAAAAAAAACTTTGTTTCTAAATTCATCAATCAAAAGAAACAAAGATGGCTTCATCTCCACACTTTGTCAAAAACAGTTAATCACAAATCTGTTCCGTTAAGTCATTTGCATTTTTCACTCACCTTTTTTCGACGCAACAGAACGTCGACGCACTGAAGGTTGCTTTAAATGACAGAAGCCTTAACAAGACGGCTGTTACTCCAAATTCCAATTTAAGAAACTACCATAGCATTTATAAGGACGTTGAAAAGGAATTCTATTTTTGAACAATTTTTTTTTTCTCATATTTTATTTCAAGTACTCTCTTGCGACCAGAGAAGTAATATTGCAGTGATCTTTGATAACCAGTATACTAAGGAAAGTCCCTCAATTGAAATAAAATGTTTCATCCTGCTTTTAAAATCGTATTCTATAAAGCATATCCAAAGAACCAAATAAGGAAAGGATTTTATTTGGGTAAAATCCCTCCTACCTGTGAAAAGCAGCCAGTTTATTTTGCGCTTATTGCAATGAGTAAATTCATTATTATGAGTAGCAAAAAATGTTTGTAATGGATATAAAGCGTTTTGTCTCAAACTTGTCAAAGTACTTTAGCTAAGTGAAATGTTCATTGAATTCTAACTGTCAATAATTTTACTTCCTATCTCCGAAAAACCGGTTCGTGCTGCAATCAAATTATTAAGTCGACTCACTCAACACGGCTTTTTTGAAACTATGTGACGCTGAATTCTCGGAGGCAGCCATCAAGGGCTGGAGTTGATATGTTGACCCAACTTGGGAGACGTTTCTTTCTGATCTTGACAGATAAGAAGACGTACGCAGACATTCGTGAGCCAGGAAAAATCCAATACTCTCGAGTGCTATTTATCCAGCAGTGCTTGTTTTAATTTGCATAGTTAAATGACATGAAACATATTATTAATCAGTAACAAAAGATAAATATATATATATATATATATATGTTTAGCAAACTAACAAAATAGCTAACACAGTTACATCTTCCAGGATGCAATTTTTCTTGGCTCCTGGCCGTCCTTGCTTGGGGCAGCCGTCTAATATATGGCAAACATTGATAAATATCAACTCCATCTTAACTCTTATCTGCGCAGGTTAAAAGTTCGGCGTTTGAAGGGTACTATCCATTTTCGACCGACTGATCGATCAACCCCCACCGCTAATTTCTACTTCTATTTAGTAAATCATTTCAGGATAACATCGTTGGTAATCAAGAAAATGAATTTGAAATAGGTGATTTTGCACAGCTTTTGTTATATATTGCTCTGTTTGGTAATATCGTTATCAACATATATGGGCTGTTTAGCTTTTCAGACTCTATCTATTCTATGACGTAAGATCAGTGGCAAGGAACTATATCGACACAATTCGTGTGAGGCTGGTATAACATGCGGTGGAAATCTTGCCGTCATAATGTTGTATTTTCAAAGTTACCATTAGGCAAAATACTAAATATGGGCACAATATAAACATTTCGTATGCCCTTGCCGATAGTGTCTTTCAGTGAAACAGTGGCGACATAATATTTTACGCCTTACAAAATCGTCGGTAACATAAAAAAAAAACAGAAAAAAGAAATGCAAACGTGTGCGAAGACAGGATTTGGCCTGAAATAGTCTCTGTTTTTGCGATAAACAAATTTTAGGGATGAAAATTATCTTTTCCAATATTTGGCAGCTGATTGAACGAATCCATGAGGTATGATTGTAGAGGGGTCATTACTTGTGGTCTTGAAGGGGGGGGGGAGGGAGGGGATTGATTGAACGATTTTGTTTGGGTCATGATAAAATATAAGATTTACCTGATCCTCCCATAAGGCTTTGCAATATTCCTACGATCCACCCTCACTAGCTCTGTTATATCTTATGATCGCCCCCACCCCCCTCCCCTTCCGTAGTTAATTTTCCATAGTCCCTCCTTTACACTCTGTTACCAGTGACTGGTGCCACCTCTGCCCCTCCTGAAAACCACGAGATTCCCAAAAATTCTCTCCGCTCGGCGATAAATAATAACTGATCTTTTAACACCAAAGAAGCATTGATCTCGAAATACCCATAAAACGTTATTTGAGTGTATTTTTGTCCTCGTTTTTTTCTATTTTTTCTTTCGCTCTGACCAAGGGCTAACCTCGAAACGTGAGATTTGTAACTCTTTACGTTATCAACTAAGTTGATAACACCAAATTACCCTGTTATGCTCTCCCACCGGCATAAAACCCCAATTTCCTCAGAAACTTACCCCTTTTTATAGCTTGGCAACTGAGTAGTAGATTTCACAGTTGAATTTGGCAGCAAAAATGTCTTTTGATTGTTGCGGGCTGTACAACTCAGTATGGCACGAAAAGTTGGTCAAACATAAAGTGCGCAGTAAATGAGATATTTAATAATTCCTTTCCCCAATGCGATCCTTTCTTTATCATTAAAGTATTCGTTTATTCTGAATGCATAAAGTTGATCCTTCTTCTTCAAATATTTACAGCATTAAACACTGCACAGCCCATGATCAAAAAATCTTTTTGTGTAAAATTTTGGCGTAATAAATTAAAAACAATATGCTTCTGTACACAACGTTTAAGATAAACTTGATGCATAATACAATATCGTAAAGAGACGCGCACAGAACGCGTGCCATATCTTTTGTCATCTAATACGTGGCACATCATCTTTGAACGGGGTGACATGTTGGCGTGTCGTCGTTCTGTAATTTACAATTTGCCGCAAAAAAGTTGCAGAATGACAGCCTCAAATCTTAAGTAATTAAAAAGTCTTATTAGTTCCTTGCTAGACATTTTGGCATTTATCTAATGAAGGTTTGTTTGGATATCCGAATTTAACTTGTTTCTATTTCTTTTATTTTGTAGTTATGTATTAATTATTGCCTTATTACGAAAAGCAGGTATGCTTGGGAAGATTTCAATCATTGCCTTTCCAAATTTTTGCCAGACATTTTGGCATATATCTGGTGAATATTTGTTTAGATATCTGAAAATAAATTGTATCCATATCTTTAATTTTATAGTAGCAATTTATAATATAACCTAATTACGAAAAGTGGTTATACTTAGGTATAATATATTTTGGTGTTCTATTAATCTTAGGACTGCGGACTGAAGTTTCAGCCGGATTCCATAGTTGCAGAGAGACAAAACCTATTTTTTACGGTTACCTTATGACAATAGAGTGAAATTTATTCTACACATCCTTAATTAATAAAATGACTGACGTTGCTGATTTCAGTAAGTTGAGTCAACATTCATCCAAACAGTTTGTATTTACCACCAAGTGTACTCTCCGAAAGGCTGGGTTAAGACAGACAAAACTGAATTTCAGATCTCCAAGGAAAGCTGTTTTGTGAGGCACTGAGTAAATTCGTAGAAAAAAGGTAAGTACATTATCAAAATACAAAAGCTATAAATTCCGTTTCCAACAAGAATTTCTTAGATTCAAACCAAGATGAAGAGAACTTGAGCTTCTGGGAAGTTGCCGTAACGGCAATTTGTTGCTTTGTAATACGTCTAGTGAAAACTATGACGGCCTTGACGATCGTAAAACAGAGCTTTTGATTCAACTCTTTAGAAAAGAAAAAAAAAGGTCTTTGTTTTACTTTGCTTTCTTCTTTAAATTTTGCCTGATCAGGAATTTAACTGATAAGGGTTTTTCTTTGGCTCGCTTGAAAACAAACAAGAAATCTGTATCTGTAGAAACTCTTCTTTGTATCTTAAGAATTTGTTGTGAAGCATTCAGTTAGACTGTTTAAATTTTATGGTCTCTCCTTTTGTCTTTTGTGAAAGAAACAGATTTAAAATTTTGTTTTCGTTTTTGTTTTTTTTTAAAGGCAGCTTTGAGTTGTTTTAATTCAAAGCTGCACTCTAGGAATTCTGCGAAAAGCGCGCTACGACATTAGGGGCACCTTCGGACAAAGTGTATCCCAAAATTCGATCGGAGATGGCTTCACACTTCTCAAGCCTGAAAACAGAAGTGTAAACATTATAGTTTCCATAATTGGCAATTAAAATTGATCGTCAAACACTTTGTTAAATTTTTAATCCAAAAAGTCTTTTCACTTGAGATTCATGGCAATTTTTTTCAATTGTTTCTCACTCGTCAACCAAGAAGATTTTAGGGCCCACGATGCGAATTTCTGAAAAACTTTCAACGGCCTTCGCAGTTTTGTTATATCTTTTCTTTTTTCTCGACTTATCAAGAACAACCTTGCTATGATATTTTAATAGATGTCTGTGTTTCATCCAATGCGTATGAAAACACCATTTTATTAAAAATGAGCAATAAAAATCAGGTTAGAATGTCTGCAATATGTTTCCACCAATAAAACCGCCGTATTGTTAACAAACGGGCATTACGATAATTAATATCTTTGCTCAGTGAATAACATCACTGTACATCATGGCAACCTAACATTTAAAACTGATTAAGGTTATTTTGGTCTGTCAGTTACCCTTTATTGTTATTTCATAATACTGAGACCACTGACACTGTATCATTTGGTTTTATTTGCTGAGTTGATAACTGTGATGATTGGCCACCGTAAAGAGTTTCTGATCTCAAGCTGACGTTTGGAGCGTTAACCCTTCCGTTGTAGAAGCTCTTTACGGTGGCCAATATTTACCTTATCAACTTAGTGGATGAAGCCAAATTATTCTTTAATGCCCACACCGACGCTGTGCAACAGTTTCTCCAGAAGCTTACTCCGTTTATTCCATTGTAACTGTAGTTTCGGTAAGGATAAATAAAATGCATTGTTTTGTTTATTTGGTTCACGGGCCTCCGTTTTCAAGATAATAATAAATTCGTTCTTGATTCTCTTTTATAGTAATTTAGTTTCATAAAATTTCCTATCGTTTCTCTTAACTACAAACGCTGATCCAAGTGTTCTTCATGTTTCTTCTTGTTTCGATGATGGCTTCGTCTGAGACATTTTTTACTATCCAGAACAACTCCCTCAAGGTCACCTGAGAGAATCAGTAAGGATAAATTCGGTTAAAGCGTGAGCGAAATGCCTCAGCCGGATCTCAGTTTCTCTTTTGTATGTCCAATTTGTGTTCGTCTCAACGCAACAAAAATTATGTAACTAAGCTACCTACAACCCGCGTTACATGACCATCAATGAAACAGGGGCGTGCAAACAGCTCGACGACCTTGTTCTCGCGGAGTCGATGCCTCTATCGGAACAATTTCTGCGTTTATTCCAGGCTTAACATGATCAACCTCAAGCTGCTCGACTGTAGTCGAGCGTGATAAGCGATGGCCTGAATCAATTCGAGGCCGATGCCTAACGCCTTGAACCATGGATCGAGGGCAAGTGGAGCCGGAAGCGTGAAAAGTTTTTGATTGAGAGTAGTTAAGTTGGCCGGTGCTGGACACGGGACGCTGTCATGAACAGAGGTAAACACCTGTGCAACTGATGCGCCGCAATAACGAAGTTAAAAAGTAATATTTCCCCCCCGTACATCAATGGGATAATATACGACAACACTCAATCCTCCTGTAATAAATTTTCCGGTAAATGTATTCAGAGAGCTATTACCTTCGACTTCTTTGAAGTTACTGGTAAGTTTTTACCAGACCCCGTCCTTAGCGCCCTGTGAGAGATGGATATCTATATACAGGATTGTCGGGGAAAATATCACTCGTGAGATCAGATCATGCTATGAGTGTGGTGTCTTGGAGAATAAATTAACTGGTAGAGCAATAACATCATGTAAAAGATGAAGAGTTGCAATATTTGATTAAAAATTCGGTTCGATCTAAGTTTATTTTATCTCAAAAAGCGTAAAAATTGTTCTATAGCAAAAATGAAACACTGATAGACTTGTAAGACCCGCTGATTTGTTAGATTACTATTGTGTAATATCGTAATACGCTTTACTTTCAATCTTAACTCTTGCTACTTCAGCTGGATGTCTTATTGTAAATAAATGGATATTAACAAGGAGTATTGTTGATAAGTTTTTTAATGTATGTATTGTGACTAATTTCTTCCCTGGTCTAAACTTTAAAAAAAAATTTCATTTTTTGTTTCCCTTTGTCTTTATCAATATCACATCTCAAACAAGGGGAGAATGAAACTAAACTGGTTTGAAAAGTTTAGAATTACAGAAAATTTAAGAATATAAGGTTTTGAGTGCCGTGTGTTCTGCGAATCATACCGATGACTACATAAAGTAATAGAATAATCGCTGAACAGACAACTTGGACAAATTTCAATTCTTTGTTAGAGCTCCTTAAATGTTTGGCCAATTTCAAATACCGCATGATACCAAATGCGGATTATGAAACAACTTTCTTAACTGCTATCACTTCCTGAAATGTTGAATAAGCCGATTGCCGTCTAGAGTATGAATTCGATGTAATCGCGTACATATGGGCCTCTAAACATAAACATCTCTAGGCCGCCTGATGATACAGAAGTCAAAGTTTTTTGATCAGCGGCTAATATTGTCACTTCAACGAGGATCGAACGATTTTAATAAAAATTTCACACATTTATCTCCTCCACCACTCCAAACGATAAACATCAAAAATGATAAATGGATGGTTTGATAGTAAGATTAGATCTTCGTCAAAAGTGTAGACAGTCAAAAAACTATCCCAGAGAAAAATGTTGTAGTTAAACTTGGGGTCAGTGACGTAAAATAACGCGAGTTTTCACATCCTCTGGCGGCGTGTTCTTCCACGATGTGTTTAATATTTGTTAATGTGAAAGGAGATGGCATTGACCTTTCCTAAGTACTTTATCGTGTTCACCAGGCGTGAACACATCGCGTAGAGCACAGGCGTGGGCACATCACGTGTAAAGCTGACTTCTACACTAGACATACACGCAAAACAAGCGGTCATAAACTTTTGACGATACACTGTGAATTTTTATAGAGACATTTGCGACAACGGATGAGAGCGGAAAAACTTTAAGAATCGCCAAGGCCTTCTAAGTCATTTTCAGAAATAAATATTCATAAACTGAAACCACAATTAGGATCAACAACACGCTGAAAAGGAAATGTTCACGCAAACCGATTTTTCTAGAGAGCGGAATGTTGTGATTTGTCTCGGAAGGCTTCATTTAAAAACGGAACTTCCAATACGTTGGCGTATTAAAAGCGTGCCCAGCAGTCGAAAATAAAATATTTCCAAGTCCAACGAGACTGGACTAAATGGAAATTGAGTTTTAGATACCGCAACAGACATCAGCGGTATGTTCGAAAGAGGAAAAAATGAACACCGATTTTTCCAGAGAACCAAAGTGTTTTGTTATCATTCATTCATAAAAAGCAAATTTTGGCGTTGCTCATAGGAACATTGTCTTAAGCGGAAAAAACACAAATTAGTAAATTAACTAGTTTGTTTGGGTGGGACTGAAAATAGTAAAGAAATTAGATTAAACCATTGAATAACAAATACTAAATAGAGGCCTACGAAATTAGGGATGACGAAGTAAATAAAATTCAATTTATTTAATTAAATACCGGAACTTTGTACTTGACCCTTTTTTCGGGAGACTGATAAGGAAATGTCATCATATTGCAAAAAAAAAAAGAGAGAGCGAGTAACAGAAAAATTAAAAGTTATCAGGGTTTTTAAGGAAAATTAGACACAATATTTCAAGCTACGAAATGCAAATTTCCACCATGCCATTGCTCTTATTAAATTTACTTTTTGGTTCACAAGTCACCTAGCTCTCCAAATTTCCCGCACAAAAACTGAGGACAGGAAAGAGTTGTTCGAAGTGTGGCCGAGAGCAACTCACGGTTCTTCTGTAATCTGCAAACTTCCCAAGTGTTTTATATCTCTGGGAACGCACGCTGCCGAAAGAACCAATTGATGATCATAACACTTTATTGTCAGTGGACTTCTGTTAGTGAAGCATGCTTGTAAAATCGAGTTTTCATCAAGCCAGTTTCAATTAGTGTGAATCAGACAACAAATGTCGTGAAACAAGGTTTTGAAAGAGCTTTATTATTCAGTTCCAATACTCCATTTTATTTCCGAGCATAATTGACCTAACTAATCCTGCGTCGCTAGGACGGTGTGTTTGTCAAGGATTTTAGCAATTAGACAGAAGCGGAAAAAATTAGCTGCTTATTCTTATGCAAAGCGGATTTGATTTACCATCGTTAATTGCTCGAACTTTACAAAAGTTCTGGACTGTTTTTTTCCGCTTAGCAGTTGTTTTAAAAAGAAGTCCAGTTATCCAAGAAAATCACAACCGCAAACAGGGCCTCAAAGAGAACACGATTTCGGACACAAGATTACCTTACCTTTCAGCAAGTAACCTTCGGTCTTCAACGAGCTAAGGGTAAGAACATTTTTGAAGAAAGTAACAGGATTCTGCTTACATACCACCCAAATTTATATTAATTAATGACTTGATTTATATAATTGGACTTAAAATTAAGTTTAGACACATATATTGAAACAGTTTTAGCCGCATAGGGTGTCGCCGTTTCCATCGCACAACTCTTTGAAACAATTAGAAAGGGGCTAGTTACTAAGAAAACTGTAGTGCTGCGTCTGAGGGAGGTATTATCAAGATGATTTTGTTTTATCAGCTGAGTTATAATGTAAATTGGCGGTCTCCTTGAAAAGCATTAGCGCTTCGTCAGAGCGATATAATTGTGGTGTTTGCGGGGTTGACGAAGACCAAACAGAAAACAATCAACCAAGAAAGGAAAGAAGTTGATTGAGAAGGGAAAGGATTAGTATTATATATAGGAAAAGAACTGAAGCTCGTTAAATTTACTACGATGATAAAATATTCCTGAACTGCTGATTTTTCAGGTTTTCAAAGAATCTTGAATTGGTCTACTATAACTTTCCTACGGAGTTAAAGATGATGAGCCTAGGGCTGAAGGTAAAGTAATTTTTTTACTTTTTGGTGGAAATCCTTATTTTGTCTTTTTTTAAAATTGACCTATTGGGATGGAATTCAACTTTGGTTGACTTTCTCTGTCATTTTAATAGTACACCGAACAAATTGATAAAAAACGTTGCACTTTCACTGAAACACGCGCTGACCCCATACTTATTTTCTCAGTTGTATCTGCTATTTCATTTAGATTACGAGTATTAGAAATGAATCTCACGGATATTTAATGAGAGGTTTGCCGAACAAACAGCTGTTAAAGCTGGAGGATGCAACTATTGAGCGTCAAAGTTGACACCTTACATTGCAATTGGTGCCTCTTATTTTACAGATGCAGTTCCTCGCCACTTTGATATTTCTGTACGTTGAGATTCCGCCATCTTTAGGGCGCCGATGGAACGTACCGCAATCTCCTCCTACGGTGTTCAATCGCCTTCGTCCAATTTCCCAGAAGTCAAAAATTGTTGGCAAAGAATGCAGTCTCATTGTCGACGAGATCCCTGATCATCGCAGTAGAGGAAAATTGCGACCCCTTGCCCCACTTTGCATCCGCCTCAATGACACCCAGCTGATAGCCAGGCTTCGACAGGTTGGCGACTTCAACTCGCGTTACATGGCAATCAACGAGACAGATGCCAGAAGACTTCGGGACAAGCTTCCAACCAAATTCTATCAGAATAACAAATCGCGTGTGGGTCAAAGCGGATTAACTCGCTTATGTACTGAACGTACTATTGTCACAAGCCTGCCAGAAGGAGTTTTCCCCACATTTATCAGAGAAGTCAAATGTGAAGGTGACAGCTGCCTCACGAATCAGGGACGATGCATTCAGCGGTTCATGGAGTTTACATTTATTCATTTCACTGGGGAATATGAGTTCCATGAAACCGTTAGTTATTGGCCACGGATTGATATTTACACCGAGGTATGGAATCCGTATACGCAAGAAATCGGTATTTGCTGCGAATGCCAACGGCTGAGCTAAAACCTGGGCCGGTAGTTCCCTGGCTATTGAGTAGGCTGTTTTCTCTTCGTTCCTAGGCCTGCGCAACCTGGAATTCCTTCTCCTGCTGTTTTTTCTTCCGTCGACTCGACTTTTTTCCACATTGAAGATTGGAATCTTACACATCCATTTTCAAAATAGACTAGAGATGCAACATTTTATTTGATTTTTGCCTCCAGATATAAAAAAAACCTAACAGTAGATGGTACTACTTTAAGATGATTTTGTTTTATAAATTAGGCACCGTAAAGAGTTTCTGAAGCTTACATTTTGAGCGTTAGCTCCTCTTAAAAACAAATATAATCATAGTAAGCCTACCTCGCGATTTTGTGGTTAATAATAGTTGCTGTTTTAAAAGTAAGGCATGTTTTGCTGCACATCGAAAATAAACCGCAAGTTAATTGACAAACGTTTCTTCTTACTCTCCCTCCCCCTCCTCCTCCCCCTAAAATCCTCCACCCACCCCCTCCCCACCCCGTCGTTAAATAATGAGTGATCCCTGAGCGCAGTCATTAAGTATAGTACATAGCCGTGGTTTTGAATTCGAGAATATATAGAATTGGAAATAAGTGTGTTTTTTTCAATCAGAAAGCATGTGTACCGTCTTGACTTTTGTGTAGCCGTACCTTTCCTCCCTTGCAGAAAAGGAAAACGTTTCTCTTCCGAGTAGAGGGTAAGGCTACACGTAGGCTAGGACCATGTTGAACAAATGTCATATTTACTCAAGATGCTCAAACACCTTCATGTTAAATTTGTTCTCCTGCTTGAATTTTAATCAGTGTATTAAAGATAAATTGTTGCAGATAAAAAAATAGATATGGTGACGAAACTCTTCGGCTCTTTACAAGAAGAATAATTAAGAAAAATGCTCTAAACAGAAATATCTTTTCCTTGATCAGAAATATCTTGGACTAATGAACAGATGTTACTTAAAAAAAATTCAGCTCAGTATACTGGCTGTTTTCATGGGCCATTGATTTGCTTCCTAAATTAGTTTGGTTCCGACTTTTCGGCAAAGTAGTTCTCTTTCCTTTCTGAAATACTTGGATCTCAATATCAACTCGGTAAAATCCCGTGGCCTACGCGCTAGAGTTATAATACCATGTTGTGACCGCTTTATAACTCAGGATAATCCAATTACATCAATATTTTTGCTTTTATGTATTAGATTATTGTTCTTTAGGTGACGATCTGGCTCTTACCTTGTGCGTCATTAGGGCGAGTGCCAAAATAACCACACTGAACCATGACGTCATTGCATGACTAACTTTAAGCAGAAACAATAAACAATCAGATATTTGCTTATTGTTTCTAGGAGACAGAAGGTCACAGTTTCAAGTTGTTATTCAAATATTGCCTCAGTCTACTAACTTTAAATTTACGCTTTCGTCCTACTCTTTGACGGACAATTACTTTGTCGACGAAAGTATACAATTCCAGAGTACGCAAAATTAGTTTCGCGGATGCCTTGATTCTCTTTAATGAATGATCGTTTTCCACAGTTTGTAGAGATCTAAAACAAATTCCGTTCTATTTTTCTTTAAATATTTTGCTTTATTTTCGCCCACATCTTTTACTTCTTCCTAGGGAAATACTCTTGCGTGGAAACAACGGAAGTTGTGAGCTATAGATCTTACAACTTTACACCAACGTCATAACAATCGAAGAACAAAGAAGTACACCGAACTTTTACGAGTCAAAGGAGGAATTTTCAATTTAATTAAAAGTGTGATTTCTAAGAGAATATTTTCCCCCATTATTTAACTCTTAAAACTAATATATTTTCCAGTCTAAGGTTAGGATCAAGGTTTCTTTTGTTCACCAGCCGTCAATCAGTTGCTGATGGATTTTGTCAGTTTTCTATTGATGATTGATTTATAATGCAAAAATAAACCTAATATTACCCAGAGAATCCACCACTTACACAAAATATACAGTGCTGATGTCTGATATCCTTATGACAAGCTACAAATATGCTATTGACAAAAAGATCAATTGAAAACGTTATACGCCGTTTTGCATCATGACTTGTAGCAACTTAACTATGGTGAAATCCGAACTTGGCGAGAATTAACAAAGAAAAAACGAATTATAATAGCAAACCTGCTCAGCTATATTTTTATTTCTCCCTTTTTGGTAAACGTCTAAAGTTCTGTCGGCCCTTTTGGCCGGTGAAAGCAGTAACAGGAAGTACACAGGTAGCTAGTAATAAAGCTTCATTATTATGCAAAACAAGTATTAGGCTAAAATCTTTTATTATTTTTTCATAAAGCCACAAAAGGAGAAGAAAATATTTCGAGACAAAGATATTGCTTTCTGCTTTTTCCGCCTTGACTGGTTAAAAAGAGTTCGTTATACTCACAAAAGATTAGAACGACTGCAGAGCTGAACAATAGAAAAGCGATCTGAACAGACTGAGGCCTTAGTTACTTTTAAAAAGGTATGTCACGGGAGTTATGCTTGGTTATAAATTTACTTGTTCTTTATATCCATCTGATTTTATAAGTTTTGGTCGTTAATGCATATATATTACGCTGGCCTTACACAAGCAGCGACAAAGTTTCAAGCCCAGTAAATTATTTTTTGACGATTGCAAAGTTTGGGTGTAGCAAGAAAACTCTCTTACAGAACTTAAATCCAAAATGTATGATTCTTTGATTGAGTTTTGCTTAAAAAACATAAATTCGCTATTAATTTGTTTATAATTGGTACTGTCAATCATGATTTTTCTTCTTAGGACGAGAGTAGAACATGTCTTTTATATCTTTAATATTCTTAATCGAAAGAGTTTTTGTTTGTGTAACGTCGAAGGAGTATTAAGATATGTAAAGACTTGTATACGGTTTATATAAAGCTTCTCTTTTTAAAGAAATTCTGGATTCCTCCGCGTTCTGCCGTTGAAATTCCGCTCCGTGAAAAGCTTACCACTATGCTTTGTTACTTTCTCAAGGAAAGTTTAATGCCGATCGAGAAATAACTGCAAATGTCTATATCTTAACAATTTCGATTTTGTTCCTTTCCTTTTAAATTGAGTCAAATGTTGAACAGCGGTTATGACTTCCTAACTGAAACATGAAAATGTTAACTTAAAAGTAAAAAAAAATAATGATAACTTCGTTTTATGGCTTAAAAAACAGGCCAAACGGAAGTGTGACATATATGTGTTTTGTCAGAAGTCACGAGTCAAAAGCAAAACAAGACGGCGACGGTAAACGAGGACACAACAAAACAAAAGATCTAATTGGAAGAAGAATAGCACAGCATGAGCGGTTTAACACAATGCTGTACATTTATAGCCGTCCTCTGCAAAACAATTTGACGTGAAGTCACCGAAAACCACGGCGGTAAATAATTTAAGTTGTTACTTGGAATTTGACGTTATGGCAGAGTTGATATATATGGCGCCGTAAGAGACGGTGACACATCCAGCTGTTCTCAAAATTCTAACTAAAATTAAAAATTCATTTGTTAATCGACTTCCTCCGCGGCGTTGCCTTCCTGATTGCATAAGTGATTTGTTTTTCAAGATGAGAGAACAGAAGGTTTCATTTAAAATCTGTTACACGAGTCCAACTGTTTCTAACTTGCTTAAAGAGTTTACAAACAATTGCACCGTCTGATCAAACAATGAACACTTGTGAACTTCTCCACGCAAGTGAATTTATACATCAGCCAACACCAACGTCAACAAGCATGACAGGCAAGATTAGTATACCACGAACTGATTTCACTTGCGAAAAACTGATCTTAAGAAAAAAAAACAGACCGACGGTTTAAATTCATTTGAAATTTTAATTGAAATTCACTTGTCAACTAAAAGGCCTTGGAAAAACACGAACCCTGTCAAGACAATTGTTATCCAAGAATTGTAGTCGACATAGCATTTTTCCCCTAATAATGGCTGCCAAACAGCTGGCTTTTTTAATCAGTCTTTCTCTTTGTTTGCAATTAAATTTAACCTACTTACGAGAGGTAACGTGTAAAAATCACAGCTTAAACTCAGTATTATTGATTTTCTTTAAGGTCAAGTGTTGGAGAAGTTGACCAGCCAGTCCAGAGAAGCATGGAGATACCTGTGAAACCGAAGGTGAAAATTTTACTTATATGGAGCCTAAGTTGCTTCGCTGTATATTAGACAAATAGGGTAAGATTTTGGCCGCACCTATTTGCTGTTGTCCTTTACAAACTATAATTTAGTAACACTCCACAAGTTAGATAACAGTGGCTTCTTAGCTGAGTTGGCGGAAAGGCCCAACTACTGTTTGGGAGACACGGATTCGAACTCTGTTACAGCCACAATTTTTCCAGATTTCTTTTCCTGTAATTTCTTCGACCTGATTGCAGTTCATCTACGAGGATCCGTCACTAATTTCAGATCGTTTAAATTTTGATGGTTAATTCATTTTTTCTTATAGAATATTCTTCCATTTTATCGCATTTCTAAACAGGTAATGTCAATAGTCTTGCTAGTGATTGTCGTCTTGGCTACGCTTCCGACTTCTAGTGGGAGGACTCGAATTTTGCGTCAACGCCGAACAAGAACATCACGTAAACCTTTAATAACATCAAGGCCTAAAATTCAAGAAAAAGATTGCACTCGCATCGTCGATTTAGTTCCTAAATATCGTGGAAGGTTACTCCGGAGTCATCAACTATGCGTTCGCCTCAATGAAACCCAGTTAATGAGCAAGCTTCGTATCACTGGCGGAGGTTTCAACCCACGATACATGGCCATTAACAAGACAGATTCTTGCAGATTTCAGGATCTAGCTGTTGCAGACGAGCTTCCTGTACAACTCGCTACGCCATCTGAGGCCCAACCTGATCATCGGCCACGCCAAATTCAGCAAGACCCCTCTGAAAATGATTTGAGCCGCATTTTGGATGAGCCAGAAGTAGGTGAGGAGGAAGGAGACCGGTTGAGACAGAAACGGATGACATCCTTGAGCCCAGGCTCCACCCTGCGCGGCTGCTGGGGTCGAGGCTCCACCGTGGATAACACTAACTTGCGACGCCTCTGTACGGAGTGTGCTGCAACCACTAGACTTCCATCAAAAGTGTTCCCGCCTTTTATCAACGAAGTTATTTGTGACGACACAGACCATTTCTGTTTTCGAGCAATTGGAAGATGTGTGCAGCGCTACATGCAGTTCACATTTCTTCGCTTTACAGGAGACTTCGAGCGAGATGATACTCTGAGCCAACTATTGGGAATTAATGTATACATGGAGGAGTGGGAAGATTATGAACAAGATATCAGGTCCTGCTGTGAATGCCGGATATTTTCAATATTCGGACGCAAATAATTTCGAGTTATTCGCATTCAAATATAATTTATATTTCATTAATAAGAAATAATGTTGAAACAAGACTACTTTTCATATATTATATTGTTTAATTTCTGATTATGAAGTTATTGTCATCATTGTTTTGAAAGCAAATAGATGCTTCAAAGACATTTACATTTGGATATCAGTATTTAAATATTCAGTAGAGTCTTATGGTTTCTCCTCTATAGTCTCGTTCGGAGATTCTGAGAGTCTTAGTTTAAGTAACCAATATATTCTGCATGTCTTCTGGGATGCAGAATGAGTTTATCGTAATTATCGAAGTTATTTAATGTCTTAAACTGAGATCGTTTTGTTTTGTTTTGACATTAAACCGAATTAAAAATCTTACGTTGCATTTGAGTAGTCATTGAGTCTCTTTCCTTTTTACTGGGAGGGAAGGGGGGGGGGGGAACCCGGGGTCTAGGAGGTCGAAAGATTTTGATTGTGTCGAGATAAAATTTACTTGAGTCAACAAGTCACGGCAGTTTTTGCAATTTAGTTCATCCCTTTAGTAGTGAGCTCCATTTATCAGTCATATAAAGCAAGTGACAAATTCTGATTCGGAGCACAAAACAGTACTTTGGGAATATCATCCATACTTTGCTTTTGTCCTGCGTCTTGAATTTTCAACAGTTTCTGTGAACTTTTTTGCTGTGAGGTTGAATCATATTCTAAAATTAGTGATTTAATGTTAAAATGTCTTTCCAATTTCGTGCCATTGGCCTGTTTACCATTCCTTTTGATGGGATACTTGACGGAAACATTTCTAGGTGTTCCAGTATCGCTGAGACTTTGGTCTCTAAAAACCGAGATTATGAATGATCCATCATTGGTGTAACTGAAAACAAATCCTGAGTACTTATTAAATTCCTCTTCTAAGCTTTATAATTATGTCATAAGAGCTCAACATTTATTTTGTCTAAATGAAATGAATTTGGCAACGAAAATTACTACAACGTGCCTCTTAATTAAGCAGTGAAAAGAGGAGAAGTGTTTTGTGGTCGTGATTCTCAGTACAAGACGATGCAGTTTTTATTAGAAAATACGATTTGGAGAAGTTAATCGTAAAGTCATAAACAATATGAGGCGATATCGTTTGATGCTAAGCTTTACCGATTCCGTGATGCGGGAAACTAGCCATGACAGAACTATGGTACCATAGGATACAATATTTACGTTGTAAGGTACTCTAACTTCCTTCGGATTTCCGATAAGGAAATCTTTCGCAACAGATAAGACTTATAACCTCACAAGAAAGGAAAAACTATATTCAGGTCAGTAACTATTCCGCAACCAATGAATACGACCTCTTACGGAAGTTAGTCAAGTTCTCTAGTGGGTTGTAGTGAAACTTTCCGTCAAACTTGATCTCGACGATGTATACTGTATGTTAACTGTCATCAGTTGCAATATAAAGAGTGCGCTCTATCAGTTAACCAGTAAAACCGTGTGATAGATGCTTCTTCAGATAACTGCTCCAGCCATTCTTGTCAGTCAAAAAAAATAGCTTGTTTGGCCAAATTCTTTACGAGGAAAACCTCCCTGAATGGGGGGTTTATGCCTTTTCCGGGGTTTTAGAATGCAAACACGGAAAAACTGCCAACCGCAATCACACCTAAGTGTTATAGAATGTCTAAAAGGTCATTTTAGATTAAAAATACAAGCTTTCAGGAATTCAACCTTTCTGCTTTTACCAAGAAGCAAGGAGATAAAAGTGGTTGCTTTCTCCCTGTGCTGAGAAAAGCCGAGATCTTGTGCAAGAGACAGCGGAATTTGCTGCGAAGATTGTTGAAGCTGAAACAAGCTGAAACTTTCCGTTAGTTCCTGTCTCGCTTATAAAGGAAGTTTATGCTGACGGGACGGTCACTCACTGAAGCCGGGTACCACAGTCGGCGGAAAAAATTGAAATGTGTACGTGCCTCTGGTGTTATTTTCGGTTGCCTTTAGGCAATTTATTATTTGTGTACGAATTCCTCAAACAAACTTGATCCGCACGATTGTGCTTCCCAGTAAATGACTATCAACAACTATCATTTGATCAACTCTGTGAAGTTCACTATCATGACCCACGCTTGGAGGAATCTTTGCAAATATCTTTTAACAAAGAACTTCTCGGGACAACTGACCAGTTTTGTTTACTTTTTGCAAGTGGTGATTAATCCACAATACCTCCTCCTCAGCCATATTTCATAATGTTAAATGAATTTTGTGGGAGCTTTTGTCACATCAGAATTAGTTAAGCCATGTTGAAAGCTTCGTCTGCCATAAGAATTGCTTGCTTACCTAAATTCCTTATGAGTAAAGATCCCTTAGATGGATCTAGAAAGCGAACACATGATCCAGTCTTTGTCTGCTAATAATGAAGCATGGAGATCAAAGTTTGCGCTTTCTCAATGTATAAAGAAAAGCTCGAGTTACAAACTTGATTCTTGTGGAAGATGAACTTTGTTCGTTTGTCTCGCGATAGAGTCACTTTTGACGTAGATCGCGACCAGTTTCGACTGCAATACTGCTATTCTTCATCAGGCGATGAGCTCGATTGTTTACGCGTCGCTATTTGATTCTTAAGATTGGTAATCCCGGCGAATAAGTGTCAAAAACTTTCTGTTTTGAGCTTTCAATCTTTTAGGAAATATAAGTTTGAACTGAGAGATTATAGAAGACTGAAAAAGACAGATCGAGAGTCCTTCGTGCTTTCGTAAAAGCGTGATGCAGCCTGAAGCTAGTTTCCCCTCCATTGCGACCCAACAATCCGATTACAACTAAAATTGTATCACCCTCGCGCAAATATCCTTCGATAGAGATCTCCGCATGCTATTCAGTTACTTTTTTACAGTGGTGATTAATTTATCAATTCAAATCAGAATTACCTAAACCATATTAAAAGTCTTTCATTTATTTGACCTCTTCTGTCTTTTATCAAGCTGTTAGAAATGTAGCTGACCCGTGATAAGTAAATCGTGATTTATCTATCAGTACAACTGCGGCTGACCCCCGGTGACTTGAACGTTCGCAAGTAATTGAAAAAGATCCAAGTCTTTGGGAATTAAGAGGAGTTAAAACCGGAGATACGGAATCAAAAGCGTTTATTTTAAGCAATTTTAGAAAGGTAAAGAAACTTCAAGTGATCTTGGAATAATTTGCAGGAGTTAAGCGGCGAAGCCTTATGAATTGACTACACGCGCTGCAGTTAAATGTTTCCTTATCGGTGAAAATTGCAATGAAGTGAAATTCTTTTCATGAGAGGAAATGGAAAGAGAACAAAGCATCCACAAATGCTTACCTATCAATTCAATATTAAGGACTTAAGTATGTTGTACAGTTACTGCATCTTGTCCTGTCACGAACAGAAAAACACTATTTGAGTACTCGAGGGCAAAACTGTAAAGAAAATGAACCAACGTTATTTTCGACATGGTATGCACATGAACAAATTAGTTTACTCGTGAGAAAAGAATCCGTTTTATCGAAATAACAATTAGAGAACTTTTCATGATTTTTGAAAAATGTCTGATTTGTGAATTCAATAAATTCAATTGTTCTACAGAAAAAATAATACACTGATAGACTTGTAAGACTCGCTGATCTGTTCCATTACTATTGTGTAATATCGGAATACGCTTTAATTTTTCAATCTTAACTCTTGCTACTTCAGCTGAATGTCTTATTGTAAATAAATGGATATTAACAAGGAGTATTGTAGCTGAGTTTTTTAAAGCCTCTATTGTGATTAAGTTCTTCCCTGGTCTAAACTTTAAAAAAAGAATTTCATTTTTTATTTCTCCTTGTTTTGTATTCACTATCACAACTTAAACAAAGGTAGAATGAAAATAAACTGGTTTGAAAAATTTAGAATTACGGAAAATTTAAGAATATAGGATTTTGAGCGCCGTGTGTTCTACGAATCTTAAAGATGACTACATAAAGTGATAGAATAATCGCTGAACAGACAACTTGACAAATTTCAATTCTTTGTTAGAGCTTTTTGAATGTTTGGCCAATTTCAAATACCGCATGACACCAAATGCAGATTATGAAACAACTTTCTCAACTGTTATAACTTCTTGACATGTTGAATAAGCCGAGTGCCGTCTCTAGTTTAAACATGCGCAGGTCCAGAGTGTTTAGGCCATATATCTACCGTCTTAGAGTATGACTCCGATATAATCGCTTACATATGGGCCTCTGACCATAAACATCCTTGGGCCGCCTAATAATACAGAAGTCAAAGTTTTTTGATCAGCAACTAATATTGTCACTACAACGAGGATCGAACGATTTTAATAAAAATTTCACACATTTATCTCCTCGACCACTCCAAACGATAAAAATCAAAAATGAGAAATGGATGGTTTGATATTAGGATCAGATCTTCGTCAAGAGTGTAGACAGTCAAAAAACTATCCCAGAGAAAAATGTTGTAATTAAACTTGGGGTCAGTGACGTAAAATAACGCGAGTTTTCATATCCTCCGACGGCGTGTTCTTCCACGAAGTGTTTAATATTTGTGATGTAAAAGGAGATGGTAGTGACCTTTCCTAAGTACTTTGTCGTGTTCACCAGGCGTGAACACATCGCGTGTAAAGCTGACTTCTACACTAGACATACACGCAAAACAAGCGGTCATAAACTTTTGACGATACACTGTAAATTTTTATAGAGACATTTACGACAACAAATGAGAGCGGAAAAACTTTAAGAATCGCCAAGGCCTTCTAAGTCATTTTCAGAAATAAATATTCATTAACTGAAAACACAACTTGGATCAACAACACGCTGAAAAGGAAATGTTCACGCACACCGATTTTTCTAGAGAACGGAATGTTGTGATTTGTCTCGGAAGGCTTGATTTAAAAACGGAACTTCTAATACGTTGACATGTTAAAAGCGTGCCCAGCAGTCGAAAATAAAATATTTCCAAGTCCAACGAGACTGGACTAAATGGAAATTGAGTTTTAGATACCGCAACAGACATC